CGAAATTGAAACACAGTCAATTAATTATGTGCGCGATGTACCATTTTTCCATTCTGAAACTACCGACGGAGCCGCATGCGCTAAAATAAATTTCAATCGTTCGTATTTTTCCAAGACCTTGTGATTTTTCAAACGGCGATATCTTGCTTAAAAATAATATCGAGTGCGAAAGAAAAAATCAAGTTTAACAAATCCCAAGATCGCAAAAATACGACTCCAATTTATTTGTAGTTGGCAGTTTATGTTATTTTAGAATAGTATTTTTTCATTTTAGTAATCCTAACACTAACAGTAATCTCGAATCGAACGTGAGTAACGATGAGCACAATTAAATTATTACGATAAGATACTTCAAATGCTCGCATCGGACATGAATTGAATATTTTACGCAACAGAAATCTCGTTATCCGTTTTTTTTTGAATCGCCAAGAATGTTACGCGTAAATTTCCGATTCCAATATTTAACCTCCTCCCTCTTAAGAATCCTGGCTGCGCTCCTGCTTATAAATAATGTCATTTTTTAATTCCGCCACTTTGCCATATTTCTAGGCTATATTGTTGTCAAATTTTATTAAAGCTGTTACTGCTTCTAGGAATAGTTTTAAATTAGCCAAGTCGGTATTTTAAAAAGTAATAGAATAGCTCGCGGAGCCCCTGGGTTTATCTCGCGGAGCCCTGGGGCTCCGTACGGAGCACTTTGAGAACCTATGGACTAGTGTAACATCAGAAGTCCTGAATAATATTGATGTAAAAGAAACAAATATCCTGCATTTTCACTCAAAAAGTACATAAATCAGTAACTTCAGCTCATTCGCCCGAGTGTAGTACTGTCTATTTATGCCTCCACTAACAGTATCATCTTGCAAATGACTTAACAACCTTGCTATATAGACACTTTCTTCGAGCAATAATAAGAAATGCCTCTTATCATTATTTTAGATCACTAAATTGTGAAATATTTATTTCTTCTGGGAAAAGATGCAAACAGTGTTTTATAGATTTCCTTGTTTTACTTTTATTACGAGCTCGGGGACTGTTAGCCAAGTGAATATACATACACCTGCCCATAAGTTTCAGTTCCTTTACACAAATTGATGTAAAGTAGGCGCACAAAATTAGTAGGAGGAGTGCCCAAATTTATAATTGTACAATTATTAAACAAACTTTAATGTACTTAGTCGATTCAAGACAATATTTGAAGATAAACCTATCTTTTTAGTCAAAGAAAATATTGTCTACAATTCAAAAAAAGATATGATGGTTGGCTTTGTTGACTTGGGAGAGTCGAGAAAAAGTTCCTGCACACAATGCACTGCAAGTTTATGCACATGGCTTGATTGGGAAGTTTTCAAAGCCCTTGAGGTTATCCGCTCAGACCATCTCGCCAGCATTTTCTGGGAAAGTGATGTTGAAGTGGGTTTAGGGCTCATCGCACTCATTACAGATGGACTTAGTGCAAACCGTAAAATGTTCCATGAGTTAAATAATTTGAAGAAAACTTTCCCATATACATGTATCAATGGTTCTGATCATTTCATTTACTCAAAACAAGTCACGCTGGTGGAATTCGCCTATTAAATTATTAATTTCGCCATTTTCGTCCAGTACCATCCTTTTCATCAGAAGAGTTCCGCTCCTGCAAATTGACGGAATCCCACTTGTGCTTACAAAGCTACCCAAAAGTGTGTGTCAAATATGCAGCCCAGGTGCTATCTAAGACTGCTGCAAGATTGATGCAGCAGGGAGGTGGGCCAGAGCTCCTGGTCAGCATCGTCTATGGATAAATGGTTTGATATTATGAATACCTGGCCAAATTTTGGATATAAAAACGGGTGCTCCCGTAATATGTGTACCAGGTTGTGCGCTATCTTGGTACACATACTACGGGAGCGCCTAAAAAAATGCTCCGGCCATTCCATAGCATTGATGAGCGACTGGTTCGGCTTGAGAATAATTTTCATCCCAGAAATACGCAACTGGAAATCATCTGTGGCTGGGACAACTCAAACAGTTGCCTATTGTCATGAAATTATACTATATTCCATGCAATGAACATTTTGTTATGAAAAATAGATTAATTTTATTATGCAACTTACATTGCCTATTGTCATGAAGATATACTATATTCCATGCAATGAACATTTTGGTATGAAAAATAGACTACTTTATTTAATTACTGCTAAAGTAATAAAAATAAAACTGGAATCACATCTAAACGCACCCTTTGCAAAATAAAGTGAAAAGAGATCATGCTCTTCATCTACATTTATTTTTTGAGCAGTTTTCGTAGGGATAAATTCTGGTTATGACGATTTCTGGCTGTCAGTTATCAAACAGTCCGGTTCAGGATTAAATAATGACTGAATTCTTTTGCAGTCTTCCGGGTCTTAGCATCGTTTTTGCATTTTTTGTAAAATAAACCCAGCTATGTAATGGGTTATATGGACCTCATCGTCATTCAATATGATAGAACTTAAATCCAGTAAATCTGGAAAACATTGGTGTAATATTAAGATATCGCATTATTGATTACCATGAATGTCAATCAAACGGTGTCAATACTTGAAATTAAAATCGATCAAGCGTCTGTTAATTAAGCTGGTGCGCACAATGTATGATCAATCAGGTAGTGCTTTATTGCCTACATTCAAAACCAACCACATTTGGTAAAATAGGGAAAGTGGCTGCAATGATCTTCCACTACAATTTTGCCCACACTAATATCTCTGCCTAAAAATAGAAAAATTCAAAATTATTTTGACAGATTTATGCCATGGTGTTGAAAAAAATCTACACTTCATGTTTATGTTGAGTTGTGGGAGTTGTATTAGTAATCATGGAGTTTATGTAGGAGTCTATAATTATGTAAATATTACCTTGTTTGTGAATATGTTGAGCCAAAGATACCACGCTGGAAAATAACTTTTGACACGTTGAGCACCTTGAAATAAAACATAAGTTATTTTATATAAATCACAGAATAAGTTGTTTATTAGCAAAAATATTGTCATGAAAATATCACATTTAAGTATGTCTTATCTATAGAATAAAATCCAGAAAATATATTGATGAGATAATTTAATGCATGATCTGTTGGTGGTCCTGCATTAAACCTCTCCTAACACTTTTTTTTCAATAACTGTCTTACTTTTGCTCATTTAAGGTAAACTTTTCTTCCATTGCCTCGGCAAGATCTATGAATACTGTCAGTTTATGATCCTCTTAACATGAATGAGTCTAATACGGTACAGGCAGACAGGTAATGTCTGAATGTATCATCAAATTCAGAATCTGATTCAGGGATTTAAACTCGGCAGCTCTGTCTGTCATATATCAGCACATGGTAGGACCCTGAATAGTCACCCGCTAACGGAAACATAGACTACTGATAGTATATATCTAACGTATAGAAATGGTAGACTTACCTTTATTAGCCATAATAGTCGCTGATAGGTTACCTGGTATTAGTTCCATTATCAAGTCAAGGACCTTGGTTCCATGGAATTGATCAAGCTTCGTGACTTGTTGCAGCAGTCCGCTCCAGGTGAAAAACGCTATTTTTGTGCTTACAGGTTAAATCAACAAATCAAAGCAGAAAGTTAAATCATCAGGTACATAGTGTACAAATAGGAACATGCCTTTGTCTGGAATATCACGTTTCGTATTCCCACTGCTGACACCGCCCAGCGATCAATCTTTGCCACACCATAGTCACGCCTTTTTCTACTTGATATGTTATTGTATCATAATGCATAAGAACTTTTACTGCTTTTATTCATAGTGACGTTTAATTTCGCGAGTATGTTAGTTAACATCTCGGAGCGGAGGTTAAGCTACAGCAGTGGTTCTCAACCTGTGGTACGCGGGGGCTTTTCAAGTGGTACGCGAGGAGCTTTGAATTATTGCAACAACCGACTTTGGAGGTGGCTAAAATATGGCAGAAGTGCTATCTCTTTACCTTCCATTACTGAATGTATTCGTTGAATAGCGTTACCAGTCCATTTATTTATAGAGCGCCCTCGCTCGTTACTTCCCACCTAAAAGGAAACGAGACGGACATATTTTCGCCCGTTTTACGTGGTACAATGCATCTGCATTGAGAATTAGGCAACGAAGGGATCGTTCGGATTTCGGAGGGAGTGGTCGACGTGTGTCGAGATACTCTGATAGAGCCTAGATACATCATAAAGATGTTACTATTACTGCCTGATGTATGTGTTGGCTGATCGGCATAATCTTGACTTTTGAGGCAAAATTATTAGAAGACTAGGTTAGGCATTTCCGGATAGCGGCTAGCGCCTACCAAAGTGTATTTGTCAGAGTTTTTCGATAATTCAGTGGTTGCGATGATTAAAGCATTTCAGCTCTGACGGTAGACGACGCACATTCTCTCGTGATTTTGCACGCAATCAATACGTTGTTACTGGATATAATTAATACGTTGAAACTTTGCTCAATGATCCTGGAAAATGGAATGCAGTGCCACATAAAATACTACCATAGGCTCATTTTTCGTGCCATTGTTCCCCGCCACAAAAGCGGTTTTTGTCGGTGGTAAGCGGCAGAGTTAAAAAACACTAGAGTGGTACGAGGTCAATAAAAGGTTGAGAGCCGCTGAGCTACAGTAATGGATACAGTGGAGTGCAAAACAAACAATTGCAAAAGAAGTTTTCACGCTGCAGTGAACACGAAATAGCCGCTCACAATCCATCCGAGAGAAACCAGTGACTTTCAAGTCAGCAGTCTCGTCTTTGCAGTCGTTAAAAAGATAGCTCCAAATTTTGACCGATCAGATTCAGATGACAGATATCCCACACCGATACAAGTCCGAAGATCTATATACAAAGGTAAAGTTTTTGTAGGTTTATATTTCGTTGTCAGGTGTAGGCCACTTGCTGGTGAGGACGATATTTAATAGGCCAACAGTCCAAGTGATTTAGGTTTTTTTAAGTACAGTTTAAAGTATATATTTTGTCAGAATTTTCATCAACCAACGAAATGGCACGGATCCGTTAGTGGAAAAACTTTTCCTACAATAAATTCCATGTACAGAAGGGAAAATTTGCGATGCCCCAAGAGGGAGACAAGGTACAGACATTCTTTCATTAATTATTATAGCGGTATAAAAAGATACTGTAGGTATATATTATGGGGCTCATGCGTATTTTAAGGAAATGAATGGAAGTAATAGCAAACAGGAGTTTTTTTGGCGCTCCATTTAGTATGTGTACCCAATATGGAGCGTAAACTAATTTTGTTCGCTTACTTACATCAAGTTGTGATAAAGGAACGGAAGGCTATGGGTGGGGGTATTGTCCACTGGCCTAACACAAAACAGTCCCCGAACGCGTAAGAAAACTAAATAATGAAATTGGATGATATTGTGGCCTAACCCTAAACTGGTACCAAATTCCTACGAGAGTACCTTCTTTTGACCCAAGAGGCGGCCCGCCAAGCGAATGTTGATTAAGCCTACAATCATTCAGGACTCATTCATTTGACAGCTGATTACCTAATGATCTACTCTCTTAAATTAAACATCGTTTCGAACAGCAGTTATTCAGTTCAAGCACAAATCACATCGTTTTGATGTTTGCATTCGTTAATAAGTTACGACTAAACTATGAATGTATTTATAAAGTTGTATACTTTGCGCAAATTTATGCCGAGTCATGTGGGATGTGCGTCTGTGTTTGTTTTTGACCCTTTCCGAACCCCATTTAGAAATTGAACGCAATTAAACAATATGTCGCAAGATTTTCCAGTCGATGTTGCTGATCATTTTTATGACCTGACCCAAGGCGATATTTTTCTTATTTGTTGTGGTTTGTATTGTTTTGGCACAAGCACAGTCACGTGCATGAAAATGTTTTATTCAATTGTGAAACTGGGATAAATTGTATTAAAACTGGACAACCATGATGACGGTGGTATGACTGGGGGCTATTGCGCTTAAAAATAACCGCCGTAAACATGTTTCGACAATAAAATTCTGCGAAGTTTTAGTAAAATTATTGATAAATTAACACATCGATGCTTAAATACCACATGCATTCGGATTTTACGTTTGGTCGATGCTCTTTTTTAGTCATATTTGGTTCATACTTAATCATGGCCCTGAAGCGCGTATCAATGGTATACCAACTCTTCCAACCACACTTATTTTAGTAGCATTCTGGCTACTGTTTACTTGACTACAGTAAAATACTATTGATCTTTCGTAATCAACGAAAAAAATGGAAATTCTTAATACCTAAATGGATTTCATTTCATTGAAAGGAAGTATCTTTCATTTTTAGGCTGATGTTGATAAGGCAGTGGCCGCAGCAAGAAAGGCATTCAAGCTTGGTTCTGAATGGCGACGTATGGATGCTTCGAGGCGTGGATCCTTGCTTTATAAATTGGCAGATTTGATTGAAAGAGATCGTCAATACTTGGCGGTAATATATTTTATAAATTATAAATTTTTTTAAATGTGACTATTTTTAATAAAGATAAAAGATAAATAAATATATTTTTAGAGTCTAGAAACGCTTGACAATGGAAAGCCCTATTCAGCGTCCTACAATGCCGACTTGCATTTGACCATTTGTTGCTACAGGTATGATTGAAAGTGAAACACGTATGATGAATTAAGATGATAGTCATTGATTGCATTTATTACATCACAACCTCTGAAACTAGATGTACGTGATGAATGCCTTTTCAAAAGCACTGCAATCAGTTTTTTTCTTGCCACATTTGAACCTGTTTCAATTGGTATATTTTGTCACGTAACGATAATTAGAATTGCACTTTTCCAAGTGAAGCATGAATATGGACATCTCAAATACAAAGTGATGATCGACCGAATCATATTAATATTATATAACACATATCAAAGCTTTATCAAAACTCGCATTGTCAGCGTTCCTCAACGAGAATTCGTTGACCGATATACCTGCGTTGACAAAGGGTATTTGTAATAAACACTTTGGACACTGGACAGTATTGCTCAGATTTCAGAATGTGGGCGTCTCCCGGGGCAGCCAATCGCCGACTTTAGGAGCAAACAATTGTATATTCCTGTAGTATGCGAACCAAGATCGGGGACTAGCCAAGTTACTCGCGTAGTATTAGTGCTGAAATTATGGCTTCATCTTAACTTGGTACACATACTACGTTCCGGTATCCGCCATCTGGGTTCACATACTACTGCGCAATAGCGTTGCGCTGGCAATTAATATAATTTTGTAAACAATGCAAATTTATCCATTCTTTCAACGTATCAGTCAGGCATGACTGCAGTCCATTGATATGTAATCGATGTCATGTCACGAAAGAGTTGCTGTCGTACTTACTTCCATTGCTATTTTTTTCATTTCATAAATTATATTCTGTATTGTTTTGCAGATATTACGCAGGATGGGCCGACAAAAATCATGGCAAAGTAATTCCTATGGGTAAGTTGTACAAGCCAACCAATCAGTCAGACATCCTAAGGTAAATAAAGCAACAACATGACGAAAATAGTTGGATAGTTATCCATTGCAGATATAATGTAAGTCAAACCAGACTTCTCGCGGTTTGAGTTGACAAAATGTTGACCCACAAACAAACAAGAGTAAACAACAAGTATTTGGGTAGTTACATTGAGCAACCACCTTTACTAAGAATATTCCGCATACTTCTGTGGACACATAGCTTCGATTGTGAGGGGTGCTTGCTTATTGGGCATCTCCTTATCATCACAAACTGGCCTACGGAATGATGTAGTTATGGTAGTTTTGCATACTTGCACACGTACACACGTGATATAGGAACGCGTTTATTTGTAACAGTTGTTTGAAATCTCGGGGATTTCAAGAATTTTTCGAGTCAGATTTTGTCGGAGTTTGAGCCTAAGGCGTTTATAGACACGTTTTACTGCCTTAATTAAAAGCCCCTTATTTAGTCTTTTTAATTCATTAGAGTTAGACTAATGCGAAAATAAGGTGGAACAGAAACCAGAAAAATCTATTTTGAGAGACGGCACTTCTAATAAATTGTTGACGAAAAAAGTGTCATTTTTATCGATTTGGATTGCAAGAAACCGGCATTTGTTATCATAGGGCGCTACTTTTTGTTAACAAAAATGATATTACTCCTTTTGCCACGTTATTTACTCACTGAAACGTCATAATACAAACGTTATGCCTCGTCTAACTGTCGACCAATGTTTATTCGTATTATTGTATATACATATGAAAAATTCTGCGTGATAATAAGCTGCACTGTATAACGCAGTGGTTCCCAACCGCCGGTCCGCGGACCGGTGCCGGTCCGCAAAGCTTTTCTGCCGGTCCGCGAGAAAATTTCATTGTTTTGTTGTTTTTATGCCATCTCAATCGCTTTACCGTAGACAACGTTGGTTGGCTCATTACGCAATTCTCTTCCTCCAAAATATTGCGACGTCTTTCGCACATGTTGGCGCCCGTCTCACGCGACATCTTGGCGCCGATCATTTACACTTCTCGCTTTTTCGGCTCCGATTCATCGCGAATGCGCTCCATCAAATCTCGCAAAATTAAGAAGCCTAAAAATCGGCACGCGGTGCTTTTTTTCTGTTCTGCGTGCTTTTTCCTGATTAATATGACCATCCATATGAAACGTAATGCATATTCTCCTTGTTTAAACCTGAAAACAGTCAAGAACAGTATAATATTCCAGTAAGATATGAACATCTTGCGACCCCACAGGTGGTCACGAGACGCGCAAAAAAAGCATGGGTCGCAGAGGTCTTTTTCAGACACAGTAGTTTTGAGCCTGTTGCCAAGTTATCGACAATTTTGTCATTGTAATGCAATTCATTTCGTTTGAGGCGTCGATCAAACTGCGGAGGGATTAATATGATGAACCCAATGGAAAAGAAAAGGCTTGATTAAAATGGCGATTCTACTTTAAATTCCAGATTAAAAAAGAATTACTTATCACAATTTTAGATGATAACGAATACCCATCGCCAAGTAATCGAGCAATCAAACTGTTGTTCGTCTTTTCAGCCAGTTAATGCGTTATGCGAAAAAAACATTTTCATCACTAGATTCAATAAAAATGAAGCAAAGAAATCGGCTGCACGCGGCTGTAGAGCTACGGGTTGCAAAAGCTTCTTTGATGCCTCGTTTGCAATCTTATATTGAAAACGAAACAGCAGCAAACTTCTCACAGGAGTTAATTGTGCATGTTTTTAATGTGAGATATTTTATGCGTGCCTTTCTTACGCATAATGGGTGCCCAGCTTTGTATTTCATTACGCAAATATATGGCATTATTTTATACTTCACCCATTTTTATTTTTAGTCGGCACATTATTTGATAGTTTTTTTCCGTGTGAAATGTTTTTAAATGTGCTTTTTTGTCTAGAAGCATATTAAGAGCCCGACATCGCATTATATTGGGAAAATATATGTTATTCTTTTCTGTTCCGGCCATTTCAATTTTTTGCCGGTCCGCGAGTACATTTTATCTAATTTTACCGGTCCGCCGGGGTAGAAAGGTTGGGAACCGCTGGTATAACGGTACAATATATCTACTATCAAAACGCCTAATATGAAAGAAAATTACTCGTAAATTCATTTAATTTCGAATCATTTTTTCATGTACTCTCAACTCAATATATTGTTGCAAACGTGAATTGGAACCATACATGCCATTGTGGGTTATAAAATATCTCAACTAGATAATATCTTGTGATCTCGTTAAAGGTTAGCGTTTGTAGCGCATTTATACGTGCATAAAATCAGATTACACGCTGTCACCTTACCGCATTCTATGCGCACTCATATTTATTATTGAAATTTTCGTAAAGTTTAATATCTTAACCACGTTATGCAGTCAGTGGCAACTAGTAAAACGTTTGACAATTACCAATGCCTGTTATGTACTGCTTTGCGTTGACAGATGGAGAATTCTTTGCTTATACTCGACACGAACCTGTGGGAGTATGTGGAGCTATTATACCCTGGAACTTTCCATTACTGATGCAGGCATGGAAGTTGGGCCCGGCACTGGCATGTGGAAATACGGTTGTGATGAAGCCGGCAGAACAGACGCCACTAACAGGACTGTATGTTGCTGCTTTAATGGCGGAGGTAACAAAATTAAAAGCAGCTGGCGACCTTACAAATTGTATCTCAGATATAATATACATGTTAACAATATAACTTTTAGCCAACTGCAATTATTTTCCCAATGACGATTTCAATTCATGGAATATACGTGATAACAAGATAACGTTTGGCCGACTGCAATTATTTTCCCAATGACGATTTCAATTCATTGAATATACGTGATAACAATATAACTTTTAGTCGACTGCGATTATTTTCCTAATGACGTTTTCAATTCATGGAATATACGTGATAACAATATAACTTTTAGCCGACTGCAATTATTTTCCTAATGACGTTTTCAATTCATGGAATATACATGATAACAATATAACTCTTAGCCGACTGCAATTATTTTCCTAATGGCGAATTCAATTTATGGAATATACATGATATTGATGATAACAATATAACTTTTTGCCAGTTGCAATCATCTGTGTTTAGTGTCTTTCGCTATGCCAATTGCACATATCAGCCTGCAAATGAGTATACAGCTGGGGTTTGATTTTCTTATACTGATTCATGTTTTTGGTGATCGCAGGCTGGTTTTCCACCAGGAGTTGTGAACATGGTTCCGGGATACGGTCCTACAGCTGGAGCAGCTATTTCTGAACACATGGATGTTGATAAAGTAGCTTTCACTGGATCGACAGAGGTAAAGTAAATAAGTCTCTATTATCGCTTTGTCATACAGTCATTGGATATCGCACCAAGTGCAAATGTACTAAAGTAATAATAAGAATGATTTAATGACCATAGGTTCAATAGCGTCTTGTTAAGTTTTTTTTTAATTTGATCCCGTAATATTGTTTGACCAATATTGAATTTCTTTGGACAAGCACACACTTCAAAATTTATTTTCCAAAAACGTACATCAATACGCAAAATCATACAATTACAATATTAAATGTAGGGAGACGTTTGAATTGCTTATAGGTTGAATTACGTGGAAGTTTGTTGTACAGTTGAGTTTAAAAGATTGCAAACATTAATTGGCGCTCCCGAAGTATGTGTGCCAAGATGGCGCACAACCTGAACCCCAACCTGGTACACATACTATGTTCAGGTTGTGCGCCATCTTGGTACAAGCTCCCATTAATGAATAGATATCCTGATACAAAAGCAAACACCGCCGTGCTGAGAGCTATATGGGGGTGACCGGTATATATTAAACAGTGGTTGACACGAGGCCCAAAAACACTCGAAGGACTGTTACTGCATATGGTTACCTCATAATGTTTATTCGTTTACTTATTTCCAGATCGGTCATATCATCATGCAAGCAGCGGGGAAATCAAACTTAAAACGAGTAACACTTGAACTTGGAGGAAAGAGTCCTGTGATAGTGTTTGCAGACACCGATCTTGATTACGCCGTCGAGAAATGCCATTTTGGACTCTTTTTCAATATGGTGGGCGATTCGATAAAATAAAACCAATAAATTTGCTAATTACTTTTACGGAAATAAGGAATTTATTTAACACTTGAACTTCTGTTTGTGTATGATTGTACCCAAAATTTTCAGTACCCAAGGATGCTTTGTACGAAAGGTGTGTTTTCTCTAGGATATGTTACATATAACCTGGGTGTTGTTTTTTGTGAGGGTCACCGCATTAAGTTGTATGAGTTTTTTTGCGCCTAAGTCGTTTTCGAATCTTACTATACTGAGTACTTCGTTCCTCAATTATCTATATGGCATGTATAGATTAAAGTATTGGTAGTTTTTCACGATCTCCCTAAATTCCAATGATCTTGTTTTACAGACTCATAAGATAGCGGTGGCTACCATTCACTGCATTTTTGCATGTATTTGACATTTTACTGAACCTCTCTATTCGTCTCGAGCGTATTTCTATCAATTCCCTTAACATTTGAATTGAATAATCGTAATTTTTGCCCAGGGCCAATGTTGTACTGCTGGGTCTAGAATATACGTTGAGGAATCGGTATACGACGAATTTGTGAAGAAAAGTGTCGAAAGAGCTAAGAAACGAACAGTTGGAAGCCCATGGGAATCGAGCATAGAGCAAGGACCGCAAGTGCGTATTTGTATTCACTTCTTCTATACCACATTTTAACCACAAAACCTAGCAGGCAACATCATAATTATGAAGTATCAATACCATATAGTACTATTGCCAAATTATAAACCAAATAATAGATACCATGGAGTAAGCGTTGGGTTTTAGGTTCAAATTGCTTAGGAATGTATTTATAAGAATTCTATAAGTAAAATCCACATCTTTGTCCATGATGTAATAGATCCCATATATCGTTTTTCGAATCAGAAAAATTTATTACACACAAGGACACTTCTTTAAATGTGTTTATGACAGTATTACTGTTTGTTCATTATTAGACTCAAATGTTGCGATTCTTGCTAAATAATTCACAATATTTTTAGGTCGACAAAGATCAGTTTGAAAAGATATTGGGTATGATTGATGAAGGCAAAAAATCAGGGGCTAAACTTATGTGTGGAGGGTCAAGGTGGGGTGATAAAGGTTATTTTGTGGAACCAACCGTATTTGCTGATGTGGACCAAGATTCTGTCATCGCTAGAGAAGAGGTAAAAAACTTAATTCAACGCAAAGTGTCTCAATACACAAGGGAAACAAATCAAAGAAGCCGCTTTAAACATGATCAGTCAGAAAGCTGGATTTGCAAGCAAAAGACGTAAAATTAGTTTTATTTACCGCGTTTCCCCGAAATTAAGACCTACCGTGAAAATAAGACATGAATATGGCATGAATTTTAAAATTGATTCTAATATAAGCCCTCTCCTTAATAACCCCTAGTTGATATCGCAAATTTCGCATGATTCTTCCTTTTAATTTAAAGCATCGAATCAATCAAAGAATCCAAGCCCGTGGGTACAATATATATGGCATATATAAAAGTCAATTTATATTATACAATGAAAATTTGGTGATTTTTCAGATTTTCGGTCCTGTGCAGCAAATTATGAAATTCAAAACAATAGAGGAAGCAATTGAAAAGGCCAACGATACAAAGTATGGTCTTGCAGCCGCAATCATGACAAGCGATCTGGATAAAGCGATCACTCTTGCAAATAGTACAAGAGCAGGAACCGTTTGGTTAGTTTTTTTTATGTTAACGATTTTCAAAGACGTCTTTTTTTTATTTACGATTACTTCCTAAAACTTAAAATCACTTTAGATATAATGATTGAACTTTGGCTGGTTTATACTCCGTACTCCATTCGGGTCAATTTTTGGTACTCCCGAAGTATGTGAACTAAGATGGCGGACACCGGAACGTAGTATGTGTACCAGGTTAGGTTAAGTCATGATTTTATTCCAATTTTCCTTATTTTAGTTCTATTACGAGTTTGCGGACTAGCCAAGTGACTCCCGTAGTATTTGTACCCGAAATTATGGCCTAACCCTTACCTGGTACACATACTACGTTCTTGTGTCCGCCATCTTGGTTCACATACTTCGAGAGTACGCAATTTTTGGTAAGGTTTATCATAGTTTAGTCTCCATGTCTATTGTTATATAAAGAAGTCGCTTTAAAAAGATGGAGTATTCTCTGATCAATCGACCTAGCACAATTTATACACAACTAGTGAGCTTCTTGACATAGGGGATTAAGCTCGTGACATTCAATCTGAGAGGCCAATTCTTAGTCAAGTCAAATGTGCACTGCTTGCCTTTTTCAAAATTCTTATAACAAATTTTACGCAGACCTGGGCACATCTGTCACCATTTTGCGTTTATATTGAAAGTAAAACATCGCGGTTGGTTGGCGGTGCACATCCCCTCCAAATCAAGCCGGCCTCAATAGCCCAATAGTCCTCTGCGTCATCCCCATTCCTAATTTACTACTAAAATATAGAATGTGAAAATTAGGTAGGCCTTAACATGTCTTGAACCATTTTTAATTGCGTTTTCGGCCATTTCAAAAGTCGAAATGTCTTGAATAATAATTTCCCTTTGCAGGGTCAATACATACAACACGTTTACTGCCTCAATGCCGTTTGGTGGATTCCAGATGTCAGGACAGGGACGGGAACTTGGAGAATATGGACTGCAAAACTATACAGAAGTGAAAACGGTAAAATATGCTCCACGTGTTTATGAATTTCATTCGTATTTTGGCTATGCCCAAAGACGTCAGACCGTGCACTGCTCATTATTAGTAAAAGAATGCGGCCCACAAGGAAAAATTGTGCCGCCCACTGAAAAGTGCCAATTTTGCATGATGAGGGGCCCGCGAAACGAGGTTTTAATTTAGTTTAGTCTGGTGCATGCGAGCAAGTTCAATTGTTTTTGCGTCGCGAAGACTACTATACCCGGGTCCAATTTATTATCTATGCCTATGACGTTACAATGTCCTAACAGCTAGCTTGTGCGACGCGAACAACGCATGTCATAAGATCAATAACCAAAATTTTTATGCATGCACTACTAGAAAGCCTATGTTGAATAAAGGTGCGCCCGCTTTCTCCCAGTTATTTGTATCTGGCCCTCCTGTAGTAGGGGTAGCACACCCCTGAACTAGAACATAACAGTATCAATAATATAGCATAATCTCATTGATGGCCAAAGTATTCCAATACTAATTGCCTCTATACTAGAAAAGAAGGAGGAAGAGTACCTCATTAAATATCCGAAATTTTCAGGATTCCATCATTTCTCTTTAAATTTTATTACGCATTTCGTGACAATACAGCGGACTCAATTACCAATTTGACGACTCAAAAGAGTTATGTAATATTAACTTGTTTTTTTAGGTGATGATCAAAATATCTCAGAAAAATTCCTAATTTCGGCAAGATGAGCATTATGTATCGAAGGGGCGTATTCATCTATGTCGAACGAGCTTACATTTGTTTATAAATGAAAAATTATCGGCCATTACAATTAAGTATATACCAACAACTAATTTTGTTAAAATTGTGTAATAGTGTGTTTTTATTATTTGATTATATATGAAAACAGCACGGTGTTGCTGATTTATTATAGTGATAATCAACTGGTAATGTGAATTTCACTGCTGTTAATTGAGTATTGGTTTTGGTAACAATGGGCTATGAGACATTCTGACGCACGGGTATCCATCTCTGAATTAGGTGAAGGAAATAAGGTACTGATTGTTAGCTTATTGCCATATGCTCCATAGACAGGTTTTTAGCAGAATTATGCGCGAATCAAGAATAACCCGAGTAACAAATCCATAATCGTGATTCGTGCCAGGGCTGCGGAGAAATGTTATAATCGATTCCTGACTGCAAAACTTTTCTCCGAAATATCTGTATAAGATTTTGACATATTTTAGCACCATGAGAAGTCTGCAATCCTGACTCCAAGGCTTTCGGAACTCCGACTCCGGGAAGTTCGAAAATACGACTACGTGAAAACTTACCAAACTTTGACCCCTCAGCAACGAACGAACGAACAAAATAGCGTCCTAATTGAATTCCTCTAACCAACAGAAAAGCATAAATTGATATTTTGATGCAACGTCTGATAACGATACACATGATAAGACATATTCAACCAGCGACGTTCATAAATAAATTGAGATGCGCAGCTTACAGAGCCCATCCGTTAAAGCGAATACGAGGCCATATAACTTGACATATAACCCTAGAAACACACTATATATATTCAAAATCCGGCGATCCGGAAGCTGTGTGTACCAGTATGAAGGAAACTAATTTTGTTCGCCTATTTTACATCAAGTTGTGTAAAAGGGCTGAAACCTATGGGCAGGAGGTATATTCACTTGGCTAACACAGACAGTCCCCGAACTTATAATAGAACAAAAATAAGGAAAATCGGAATAAAATTATGGCCTAACCCTAACCTGGAGTACCCAAAATCCAACATTTAGTGATGTACCAGTTGCTTCAGCAAATATGACAATATAAATTGCATTATACCCTTCCTATAATGTATTCTTACACATTTCAGTAAGAAAAACGATTAGTAAATTTATTAGTATATAAAAAATAATGATGATATAATAAAAGAAATGATATATATACAACATTTGAGGTCCTGTGATTTGCTATTTATTCCACATTTCCAAGCAAAAAATAGCCAAAATAACAAAACCTCCAGCACGATAAATGTGGATGATAATTTTCTGTTTTATCATGCGCGTTATCTTATTTTCAAATAGAAAACAAATGATTTAATTTACCCCTCGGTGAAATATTGTTAGTGGTAACGCTATTTGACACTTGAATACAATATTCACGTTCACGGTTTCACGATCAACATGAGAGTTAGACTGCACGTCAAAGGGGACACAAATTAATCTGGAAAAAGAAACCGCACTAATGAATCTTCCAAATGTAAAATGTAATGTCAATATTAATATTCTATCGATAACTTTTATTCGGTACTTTGTTGCAATGCCGCATCTTCTTCTTCCAAGCCTGGCTTTTCTTCAAGGGAGGCAGAATCGGGATCGGAAGTTTTGACTTCTTCATCATCGACTTTTTTGTACTCGTGTCCGTCAGATGGAGCCAAACTACTATCATCACCCCATTCAGGTACCTAAAAACCCATTTTTAACCCATTAACGGGATATTAAGTAAATAGTGGTTTTCTTCCTTCATTGTACGGTAATGTTTTTGTCGTTCTGAAGCCCTGTATGGCATTACTTAGTTTGAGATATTACTGAAACGCAATTGAGTAATTCAGAATGAATTTCGATTACGCTTGAATTTAAGTAAGTCCAACTAAACCCCAGTCTAAAAACCGTATTTGGGACCAGAGTGAGTGACTTGGCATTGAAAATATATAAAAAAAAAAAAACTCATTTATTGAAATACTATTCTAAACGCGGTATCAAATAATACAACGACGCTCCACAAATACGTCTTTTACCTGCCAGAATGAGCTATCATCGTACAACTCCGCTCTCAACAATTTGTCCCAGATTGGTAGTTTGAGGAAAAACCCAGTGATTGCTCCCCCCGCCATAGCAATTGCTATAGCAGTTACAACACCAGCTATTTGAAATCCGCCTTGGGTTCCGGGGCTTCGATTGTGCGGGAAGACGACGGGATAGCTGTTTCATAAGTATATATTAGTTTAAGTAAATTACAGATAAAGCCAAAAAAATATCATTAGTGGTTATTACGAGTAATGGTGATATTTGGGATAACCAGAAATGTGGGGCGAAAATAGAGGGAGTCACCGAAGTGTGTAATATATAACGAATAATGCATTTTGAGTACCAAGGTAAATATTTTTTGTAGAAAATGGCATGGTATTTGTTTGATCTAGAAATAATTGATCTAAAAATGTCATTCATGAATATACACCATGAACAAGTGCAGGAGTGAATTATTGGGACTTACTGCATTTGGCTTAAGCAAGTCATTTTTTCAACATAAAAGACAGATAAAAAATCATTTAATCAGGGTTAATTTGAATTTGCCAATTGTATAATCACCATAAATCTGCATGATTATTTAGATAAATCATGTTAGATGATAAGTGTTAGAGACTGTACCTATCATTGTAAACTTCTACTGAAGCAACAGCACAGACAACGGAACTTATCATCGCTCCCAAAATTCCAGGAAGACCGTGCAGGTTGTGAACTCCGCATGTATCGTGAAGTTTAAATACTCTTTGTAGTGTGGGCTGAAGACAAAAGATAATTTATTCATTAAAAGTACATTGCTCATCAGCAAATTTTTCAATAGCCTAGTTCGACTTTACCTGAATATAACGAAAGCCAAGAACAGATAATATACCAGCTAGAGAACCGGTCATCAGAGCACCGAATGGATGGATAATCAGGTTAGCACTGGATCCTATGGCAACCCCGCCAGCGAGTGTTGCATTTTGAATGTGAACCTGTGGAAGCAATGACATTTATTCCAATCCTTACGGACACTTGGTTCATTAGGCGATCACTTTAAAGCTTACCATGTCTAACTTGTTTTTCTTGTTTGTAACTGATGAAACAGCAAAGGTAACTACAGTACACGCTGCAAGGCTTAGTGTTGTATTGATAACAGCTCTATGTCTTTCGTTACCAAGTGCTGGAGCAGAATTGAAGCTTGGCCAGTATAGCCATAAGAATAGAGGACCTGAAATGTTATTGGGGAATATTATTATTAAGTTAGATTCTCAGTGATGAAGTTATAATAATAATAAAGTAATCATACAGTAGCGATTTACCGAGAATATGAATTTAAGTTAGCTTTGGATATCCTACTCGAGTCACGACGCCGAAGAGTGCTATAAATCATACCAACTTCTAATTCCACTGATTGGAAACTAGTGATTCCAAAGATATAGTGACATCAAAGCAAGATTTTTACCAATCATTGAAAACATATCTGAGTGATATTCTGATCCCTCCTTGGGATTCGTAGTGTGATGAGTCTTGTACAAAACTCTTGAAACAGACAGTCCGAAGTAAGCACCGAAGGCGTGAATGAACATTGAACCTCCGATGTCCAAAGCCTGTAGTAATAATAAATTCATTATCGTTTGCAAGACAATAAAATGTCTTACTGGCCGCACATAAAGCAAAGGAGTTGAGCAAAATCAATTGTTAAAATTGAAAATTCTGGCAACATACTTTGTAGGCTAAAAATGTCATTTTGTTACTGTAGCATTGCTTTAGAGTTGCAAGCAACGCTGGCATTTGTTTTCGTCTTTCTGATTAATATTATTTGCAAACAAAAAAGTCATTACCCCTAACACATGTACTCCGACCCAGAATGAAAGGTTATAGAAGACAACTTCAAATGTCGCCATGATAAGCAGTTGTATCGGACTGACTTTTCCCAAAACAGCACCGAATGAAATAAGAACTGTGGCCACAGCAAAATCAGCATCCAAGAGTCTAGACGGAAATATGAAGAATAAGTCTGCTTAAATTAAATGATGATATGTCACAAATATATACATTTTCACGTGGGCAATAGACGTTATAAAAGCGCGATGACCCGATTGTCATCTCCGTGGCTTTACCATTCCGGTATTATTAGTCAAAGATGTCGGCGATAGAATTCGTTAGAAATTTGATTGGAATTACTTTACCAACACATTTCTTTAAGGGACCAAAGCTTGGATGCTCAAAACTCTAAATAAAGAAATAGTGAATGAACTCAAATTTAAGGTTGCCAGATCTAACACCGTTGATTTATGTTCATAATTCAAAATGATCGTCAAACGCGAACTAAGAATGAATCTATTTCTAGCAATTTTGGATACAGGATTAACTCACGTAAGAATGTTGACATGGATTTTGGTAGAAGGACTTCCGATTAGACCGAACCACCCGTTTACTAGTGTTGCCCATTCGATAACGTAACATGTCAACAAGAAATTGAAGCCAATTGATCCAAATCCATGTTTCTTGAGAAAAGTCATCAAAAAGCCAAAACCGATCAACATCATAACATGAACATCTTGAAACACTAAATTGTGAAATTGATTCATTATTGCAAACGAAAAGTAACTTAGAAATACTTTGATATATCTATTATCTATATTGTTATAACAATTTTGTGACATTCATGTTTCCAAGAATTTTAATCCAAATCCAGTTCGTTTTGAACTTGTTGATTATATTTTGAGGCGTATCAAACCCGAAATTGATTCCCGTTAGACACAGAATACAACTTCTCCATTGCTGGAAATTGTGATGGACTATACGGAAGTTATCTAAAGCTTGACAGCAAGATGCTTAAACTTAGAACATTTGTCGTACGCTTCAATGCTTGCGGATTAGTACGGATTAAATTGTTGATCCTCCGTGAGAAGTTGAACTGATTTAAAAGATTTTGCTTGTTTAGTGACAACGTAATTGGTTTGTACACTGTTAAATGGTTTCGATTGTCACATTTTGTTCACGGCATTATTTTGTCTCAACTATATATTTTTGACCAAGCATAGTATACGAAACCTACTAGGATAATAATCTGCTAATTCATGTCCACCATGGCCATCTGTTTTTGTCACGTTTCCATTTCGGGCTGCAGCACCTGTATCGTAATCAACGAAAAGTCCGAAAAACACCATAAATAAAGCTTGCAGCACCAGAAGAAACCCTGTTGTTTTCCCACGCGTGTTCCTGAATAAAAAATTGAACTGACTTATAGTAATTTTCATATAGTAAGCTATTGTTGACATGCGATTTAGCCGAACTTGAAGACTTTCGGCGACATAAACAACGATATCTTACGAGTAGGCCCACTGTGGGTGAAGAGGTGAAATATCATTAAACTTCATAGCAACCATTATGTAAGGGGGAGAGAATTCAATTGAGACTACACTTTTTCAAAAGAAAGTAGCAGCAACATATTACATTCGCTTGTAGTTTAAAAAAGAAATAAACATTGATTGCCACATATAGTCGGATTAAACAGGAACTCTAGAGAGGGGCGCTGTGGGCCTGATTTCTCACATTTGTTATCTATCAAACCTTATCGAAACGTTTTAAAAATTCAAAATCGAAAAAAACGGAAATCTCCGTGCAAATTTTTGGCTCAGTTTTTCTTGTGTGTATATATGCATGCCGATAATCGCTCGAGCGATCATCAAATACTATTACAAGTTGGTTTTCTGTTTCGCCTTAATCCAAATCTGTTGCTACGATTCACGTGACTTAGAAACAGGTATTTTTATCTTTCCAAATATTTTTAGCTCAGCAGAAAATATTTTTACGACGTCAGGCTTAGATTAATTCTGTTCTCTCGGTGTCGTATATAGTGTTGTAAGATTGGCGGAACTTGAAGAATACTTTATCACATAATGATCCACCAGGTTTAATTTAATGATACTGAGCGATTCTGTCGAAATGCTCACAAAACATAATTAAATTCAATTTGCAACATAAATATAATTCATAATCTGTTATTATTTACAAAAAAATTCGTTTTATATTACAATTCGAGTTCAAAATATAGATCAATGCATTACATAATGTAACAGTCGTGAATATCAATATTTAATTCTTTATTCTTCCGTTGGTATTTTAGTAACACTGTTGGGCAGCTAAACCACTATTTGAATTTATAACCTGTTTTCTCGGGCTTCGCTGCTCATATAAGCCACTCAAATAAAAAAAATGGATAGCAATATCTGCAGACGTTTTGCCCTGATTTATAACAATTGAAAATATATATTATAAATTACGCTTTTTGTCATTCAATATAAAATAATTGAGGATACTATTTAAATCATTTTAATATTTAGGATGCGTGGTATTTGCTTTTCAACTCTGAGGTTAGTTTTTACGACTAGTGTACGGACCTATTTCTTTCTTTTATAATTCCATGCAAATAATACTTACGACATATTTTCTTGAGTTCAATTTCTGCTTCCGTGGTCTTGTGAATTTCTGGAACAAATATTTCAATTCCTACAATAATACTACAGACTAGAATATATGGCTAAACTCAGAAAGTCTGTTAATGTATAAAAAATATTTCGAAGTGATTACGGTATTAAATTTAAATTTGCATCAAGTTTTACTATTTAAGGGCTACTATTTATACAAGCATGGTTGAACAAGAACAATCTACCCGCTCTAATAAATAGTAATGTATAAGCTTCGTTAATATACTTGTTTTGTAGTATATGAAACATATTGCAAAGTACATGCACGAAAATTGACACCTCCGCTGCATCACTCTACTATGACTGATGGTCGTTCGACCGCACCCTCTACTAGGTTATGCGTGAGCAACTAAGGAATGCGAACGTCGTTAATTTGCTGCAACGCACATTTTTGTTGATGTAATGGTCATTTGTTATCGCTTTAGTAATCATGGTGTGGCCCATAACTGCATTTTTTCGTGGTACTAATTTGCTTTAACAAATTTTTTCGTCTCTTCTTAATTTCCGGTTCCAGGCTAAATGCAAAACATCATAACAACTTTGTGGTCACGTTCTATAGCCTTACAGTTGAGTTTAAGCCAAAACTGTCATATGTACTAACCTAAAATAAGAATTTGTACGGTGGTTTCTGCAAACAATTTCTGGTGTTGATTTCCACTTATAATCGGACACTGAATATTTTATATAGATACAGTATCATTAAACCAGAACACAAGAAGTCTTTATTTCACGACCTGTCCTGCTTTGCTTTATCGTCGTTCGTTCTCAGCCCGTTTGTTAAAAAAACAACTGATTGATGCATGACCATAAGATTAGCTGTGATTTTGATAAAACTGCTGGGGAGTTGGGAACCATGGCAAAATGTATGTATTATATTAATAGTAAATGACAACTGATGCTCTTGCAATAAAAAAAAAACATTACAACGGGTTGTACAATTAAAAAAACAGCACAAATTAATATGCTTGCCTTCGTGTTATTTTTCAAGAAAAAAAAAATCTTTCTATCTTCACAACCCTACACATACCGGTACAATGAAATGAATAATATTAATAAATGTTCCCAGCAATAATCCAAACCCATTCTCAAAACTCTCCACTGTTATCGTGTACTTTCATTCATTGTACCTGAAACAAATTCTCTACAACGATTCATACGATTCGAATATTATCGTATACTAAAATCAAACAGCGAGAAGTTGAGAATGAAGCCCGCGGGGAAAATATCGTGTTATGATAATTATCACAAAGTTTATATTTAACATCGGAGATATTTGTGACTGATTACGAAAATGCTCAATTCAGTTCTGGACTTCTTGCTTCAAGATCGGACATTTGTATTTACTTATATGTCTTCTTATGTCAAAGAGCATATTTGCGTTTTTTTTTTTGACAAAGTTGCGTCGTTTCAGGAAATATTGCGCGGTGTCAAGTTCAAATTTGCTACACTTGAAGAAGCAACTGACGCGACAACAAACACCAATTGCACCAATTTCTGATGAAACATATTATGTTGAATTATGCCCATGTGATGAACGAATCCTTAAAAATAAGGCATGTGAATATATACGTTTGACTCACATTAAAAACAACATATTTTAGTATCACATCTTAATCTAATAGAAATTTCCTCTATTTAAACGTTTCCAAAAGTGTGTTTATTCGCCTTATAGTTTCTATAAAGTTTCCTAAAATTTCATTTTAACAATGAATCAATTAAAAATTGGCATTTTGAATGCTAACGGTTTTCTATTAGAACTATACAAAGAGCGGTAAAACATTTTCCAAATTTTGCTGAAAAATCACACAAGTTACTAATATATATATGCAAAATGCAATACTCACTTTCTATGGTTATTCGCTGGGACGAATTTTATGAACGCGACAATTAGCAATTAAATCAACTCGAATTATTTAAATTCTATTACGTCTAGTCAAGAATTAGCTGAGTACGCCGGTGTTAACACGTACAAGCCTACTGTCATTACTGTGTTGAAACCAAGTCCAGACAATTTCAAATTCAAGGGTCACACTAAAAATACGACGAAGTCACAGCGCCGATGAAGTCATTCCCAATGCAGAATAATTCCTGTATTATGATTATTCGGATTTTTAGACTTTGCAACACAAGTTTATTCAATTCTCGAACCAATTTATTGCATGTATTTGATGTAAATTGAAAAAAAATCAAACATGATGTGCCTCCTTTTTTTTTTATATATGATTTGTCACCTCTTCTCTTGTAGGGGTTTTATACATAGAAGAAGCGGTTTGCCATGTTCCACTAATTGTTATCATCACACATGACAGCTCACCAATCCCGCAATGCTGATTTGTTCAACAAAAAATGCTAAGTCAATGAATTAGCGAACGAGGTATGTACCTTTGTATTCTGGGCTCGGTTTTCCAGGCTTAAAGAACAACTGATTTCAAGTTGTCTGCCGTCTTTGGTTTAAGAGACTGTTTAGTGCATTAAAATTACAATATATTTGAAAACTATCCATCCCCCTAGTGGAAAGAGATCACACATACGTTAAACGCCTGGGGCCCACACTTTGCGCTAAGCATTGCATGGTAAGCAGCAACAGTTCTAATTTGCCCATGCAACAGAAACGATGTATTATTTAATTCTGAGAGCTAGTGCATAGCTTAGAGATGTGGAAATGATATGAGTATGGTGGTTGAATTATTGTTGTCTTTGGTGACAATTTTCACTTCAGTGAAAGGGTCCTGTATCAAGGGATGTGTGTGCAATGAACAACCTCTAACGGTGTTCTGTAATGAAGGCGATATGGAAACCATTCCAATGAATGTACCTGCTTATGCGCAGGTAAGAGTAGAGCATCATAACAATTGTTTACATTACGTAGCTGTCTTCGTACAGCCAGTTTTATACGCTAAGATAAGTGTTGACAACGTATATAACTAATATATATATATTAGCCTTGTGGCGAAAATTCGAGTGAGATTACCACTATACATTTCGTTTATTATTGTTTTGTTATATGTTAACAGAATACATTTTTGCAATCAGATTATACCTTCAATTTACCCTCCCAGCATCACAAAAAAACTATACATTTTCAATACTATTTCTCTAACTTCTTCCATGTTTGTGAAGTTTACTTGTTACGTAGTTTAAAATAATGAGACAAATCATAGTTTTCCGCAACAACTGAAACTGTTCCTCTTCAGGAAGTCAGCTTTGCGGGAAACAAGATCAAGACCATCAATTCCAGAATTTTTTACAAAGGTCTCCGCATCACAAAGTTGGACCTGTCTTCCAACGCTTTGACTGACATTGCAGATGACGCATTTCTTAACGTCAGACATACATTGAATACATTAAATTTGCGAGGAAACCAGCTTACAGATGTTCCAAAAAGATCGCTGTCTTATTTACCGTTGCTACATAACTTTTTTCTAGCTAACAACAATATAGAAAGACTTTTACCCAGGTAAACTTTTATTGAGATATTACATCCAACTCTACATTATTTGTAAACGATCTCCCCCCAATCTCATGCATGTATTAGTAGCGATTTTAAACGGAAACAGCTGTTTGCAACAAGACTGCAGAGTCGGATTCTTAAGTAGGAGTCTAGCGTTGTCATGCGAACAGCAATCGGAATCATACTTGCCGGGTCTGGAGTCAAAATCTTGAGATGTCGGTAAACGAAGTGAAAATGTACGGAAACCGAGCAAATATATACGTTTTCGAGGTCATAATTCGCTAGTCTGGAGTCGGAGTCAAACATTTTGAATCCATTCTTTTACTTATATTCTTGCTTAATTTGACTCGTTTTATTTACTATATATATACATAGAACGTTTGAAAGTATGGTTAACTTGAGACATCTGGATCTAAGTGGAAATTGGTTGGAACAATTTTCTCAGAACGCATTTGTTGGGTTACATCAACTCACTCATCTCAATTTATCTGGCAACAACATTGCTGCGCTTTCAGCATCATCATTACGAAATCTAAATTCCGTCATTGTTGTAAGTTTGCTTCAAATATTTCTAGCGCTTCAATTAGTGAAATCTAAAAAACACAAAGTTTTCCTTTCTATGATAAAAGCTAGTGGTAAAAGTGATTTTGTTCATTACTTAGTATAAGTAGTTTTATTGACAAGTTTAGCGCATCTGAAATTTTGATACAAATATTCTGTCTAAGCGCCCGTTATACCAAGGATTGGCTATTAATCATAATGGGAGTAAATATTATTACAATAGCGTCTGCTTGGTTGGAGTAAGAAAATATTTTCAGAATCCATAATGGGTTATTTTATGATAGCAATAGGAACGATATTTAGTCGGTAAATAAGGGTTTGTAAATTGAAAATCAAGTGAATCAGTATGAACGTGGACAATGATGATTTATTTTGATCAAAATAACTTGTATTGGATATATTTAAACATAATTCCTCCAAGAATTACAATTTATACGATATTTGTTTTGCTGCTAATATGAAGAATAAAAAATTGTTTTTGCAGTTGGATCTTTCAGATAACAACATCGCAAAAATACACCAAAATGCACTGACACATACTTCTTTCCTGGAGATTTTAAATATTTCTAGAAATAAACTCGAAGAAATCCAAATAGGACATTCGGGTGAAACGGGACGCTTGTTAATTTTGGATTTATCAATGAACAAGTTTTCGAGCATTCCTACAGGTAGTTTATCAGGAATGAAGCAACTCGACGAATTATATTTACAAAAGAACAAAATTAGGAATATAGAAAAAGGTGCATTTGAAAGCATGACTAAACTGAAGACACTCATTCTTTCAAAAAACGTTTTTGCAAGCATACCTGAATCAGCTGCCTGGAAAGGTTTGAAATCTTTGCAGAAAATTTCGTTGGCTGGTAATGTAATACATTCGCTGAATGACGATTTATTTGGAACAAAACACAAACCTGATAATTCTGAAATGCAAGCGATAACAAATATCGACCTGAGCAAAAACAATATTTCGGAAATAGGTTCCGATGTTTTTAGTGCAATGGTAGTACTTCAAACTCTCAACTTGGAGAGAAATTATATTACAAGGATTCCAGGAGACGCATTTTCTTTCAATCCCATATTAGAAGAGCTGTATCTTGGTTCAAACCATTTGCAGATGCCAAACTTCTCTTGGTTCGCATCTGCAATTCATCCTTCTTCACAAAAATTAACCAATTTTTCATCTTTTCTGCAAAATAATCCCTGGACGTGCAACTGTAAACTATACCAGGAAAGTACTGACTTTTTCAACTTTGAAAACGCTAAAGAAAAGAAATTGCCATCACTAGATGGTGTGATATGTTTTGAACCAACGTGGCTCAGAGGCCGGTCTTTTTCTTGGTACATTAGGTCGAACAAAGACCATTGTGACCGAACATTATTAATTATGTTAAGGACACTTTTGCCATTGCTTACATTTCTTTTGATAATATTTTTATTCATCAAAAAAATGCCACAATTTAAATTGTTTAGAACCTTGCCTTCGGAGCAAGTTCGGCCGAAAAGAATTCGGTTAGATTCTTACAAAAGAGATAAAATTCTTTAACGAACATTCAGCTTGTACATTGCTATAGAATTTTTCTCATATCGTTAATGTATAATGACTCATTTATCGTTAAACAATCCCCTGTGTAAAAACCAACTGATATAGGGCGGCATATATCTGTAAGGATCGAATAAAGATAAAGAGCAGTAAATTGAAAATTGTGTTGCCTGCCAGAACTCTCAAAGTATGATATGAAGTTGCTTGTCATTAAAACTAAATTATAAATAAATCCATGATTTATTTTCTATCAATAAATACTTTATCCACATATATACCTAAATAATCTTTGTTTGGAATCTGTGCCTTAACGTGGTACATATACACACAACTGTGCCCTGAGTAACGAGTTGTTATGTGCAAATATTAGGTCATAAAAATGTCAGGACAACTCAATATCACGCCTAACTGCATGGGCGTGATGACACCTGTCGTCGTAATTTGGAAGCCTAAAATGGGTTCGAGTCACGCCAATATAGGCTTGGAAACAGATTTGCCGTCCGTGCTTGGGACATTTTCACCTTCCTAAACAGTATAAGAATAAAATGATCGAGAAAGGAATGAGTAATTTTCATAGGCTTATTATTTGTTACCCACGTGAAAATGTTTACTTCGCGCTTACTTGAACTATCATTTTTCGCACGCCCTCGAAAAAAAATTTACTTGTTTTGGAGACAACACTTTTATACTTTTCGAGCTTTTTTGAACGACTTAGAAGAAGATCTTTTGTTTGTTGCTTTAGTTTTTAATTATCAATATAATTTATACTGGTCGATGAATACTAAATCTCCTTCTCTGCAATTCCCGTGTCAGATCCGTTGTAATCTACTTCTTTTTTCTGCACAAAATGATTATGTTAACTTATCAGAGTAGTTATACATATATATTCAAATTCTATTCAAATCTATTCTATCATTAAAACTTAACATTTTAACCGAATGGATAATACATAAATACTACCGCACATTGGAAAACATTGCCGTTTATAAAACCGGGTGTTGCTATGAAACTAATTTGGAGAGGGGGTTGGCAACCTTCTGTCGCTCGCGGGCCAAAATGAAGGATTGCAAGTCTCGGCGGGCCGCACTTCTATTGCGTACATTTATCGCGACTTTCGTATCTCCACAAAAGTCATAAGATTTTAACCGGAATGTTTATCCGAGATATCAAAGAGACGTTTTGAGTAAGAAATGAAAACTAACTCACAAGCCTACTACAAAATCAATTAGGGGAATGGCAGCCTTCGGCAAAACGAGTGGGTTGCGATAATGAAAAATATGCTTACATCGACGAGGGATGAGACACGATAGCCTGGTCTATGTTAATTTTAAGAGTCCTTTGATGCAAATACGCTTCAACTAATCTGTTATGACGGCAATGACGCCATGATGTGGATTTCGAGTTCATGTATCGACATTTTCTCATAAAATGAAGGCATTATTGCGGTCAATACTGTTCGATTAATTTATGCTTAGCAAGCTTTGTTTTTAAGGTTGAAATGATAGAGTTTTTCAAGGTTATACAAACTCATTTAATTTTTTCAATTTTCGCAAGGTGGTTTCGTCGCAGGGTCGTTTACGTAATGGCTTGTCGGTTGCGTCTTACTGCGCCAACCACTAAACTACAGCTTGAGGAGGTGTGCAGGAGCCTCTATCGTTATTTGTGGCGTTTCGAAGGATTTATTGCAAATAAGAAGCGCTTGGCAAGTTTGAAGACATTTTGAACAAAACAAGCAAAAAAACTTGATTTAAAATAATTGTTTCAAAACATTTCTTTTTAAACAAATCCCTAAGTCTATTTAATAGTTTGATAGCACATAGTAGGGTACCTAATTGACATTGTTCGTGACATTTTTGGTTAATTTTGAAGGTTCGCCAGTCCGCAAAATCTATTTTGAAATTTTACTGGCCCGCGAACTGAGAAAAGTTGAAAAAAACTGAACTAGAGCAATATTCCCATTTGTGTCCTCTAGTCTGGTGTAGTGATGTATCGGTATCGGCAATATCGCTCATTTTTTGGCATTGGTGTTGTATCGGTATCGGCTAAATGTAAATCGATATTTCAGTTATATTTAGCTTCTAAATATGATCCAAAATATTTTAAAATTTATGTGGATCTGAACTATGCCATGCACATGTCCATCCCCGCGAGTATAAACGGTGATGGGATTCTAACCCGTTTTAGCTACTTCAGCCAAACTAGTATATCATCAAATAACTTCAGGTGTATGAATTTGTTTTTATTGGTGTAAATTAATGGCATCATATGGTACGACTAAAAAATTGTGAGGGCTGCTTACTCGGTGGTGACTGATAAAATGGCCCGCGATAGAAAATCCGTCACCTCTTGTGCGTCACTTCCGAACTTGCATCAAAGTGGTTTCCTGGAAGTTTTTCTCATCACTGGCATTAGAGTAGATGATGCGGCTCTGAGTATGTTTTAGTTTGATGAAAGGATACCAAATGACTCTTTCAATGCTAAAGGTTGCCGACTCGTGATTTAGTGCTACGTGCGAGGGGTCACAAGATGGAATCGGAAATTTACACGTAACGGCGCCTGAAACGTTCTCCGCGTTCGTTAACAATACCGGCTTTTTCGTGTTATAATAAATTTTTCTGTCTCGTAATAACTACAATAATTCAAAATGTCTCTCTATTTTAATTCATTTGCGTTCAAGGTAACTCGCGGTTGCGGCGACTCAGGACAAAATAAACTTATTACCTATCTAAAATACCGCGCCAATCCGCGGATATAATAAAGTGTGATCAACTGCCCGATTATATTTAGTTTTTATATATATTGCACTCATGCGAATTCGTTGTCGTCATTAGAAAGATTTGGTATAATATCCCAGAAAGTATATTTAATTTAGTACAAATAAAATACATGTACAGTATATTAGTAGATGAAAAATACATATTCATCGAAACGAAATCCCCGCGGTACGGCTTCTGAGTCAGTCCTCGAGATTACGCCAGTCGTTAAAAGAGCCGACTTTTTCAACGGATATGTATAAAATGGTTTTTCTGTTGAATAAAATATTCAATCCATGATGATTGATATACTTATTTAAAATGGTTTGCTTTATTCATTTAATTGTGATAAATTAAATCTGCGATTGCGTCGATAAAATAAAATGAAAAGTACTCCAAAATAACACGGTAATCCGCAACCATAAAAATGTCAATTACATTTTGTTTTGATTTGTATTCTTGCCAATTTCACCAATATGAGCTGTCCCTGCAACTCTTACTCCACTCTATCGCAATGCCGCCACTCGATTAATTTCAAGATATCAACGTTACAGATATTCCTAAGTCTGAGTAAAATTTATATCAAGTCTGTATTTTAGAACACTACTGGTGTGCCGCACGCACAAGTAATTTATGAGATTTTCAATGTCTAAGAAAGTGTTTTCAATATGTCGCGGTCCATCCAAAAACAAAACTCATGGCGTTTTCCGTTTTATTTTTAGTATTTTATAATGCCACTTTTACAATAAAGAAATTTTTAGTTTTGGATTCACTTCTTTATTCTATCTTTAGCATCTCGTCTCTGATGATTTTAATAAAAACTAACTCGTTTTCCTCAGAGGTGTCATGGTTCCATTCGAGAACAAAAAAAGTAATTATAATCTTCTTCGCGGCACAAGAATATGTCGAGGGAAATTTCGGATTTAGGAAGAATAAACACCGAAATCAAGATATTTAGGGCTTAAATAACACGCCACGCTGACGTAAACAATGGAGATTTAAACAAAATGCAATCGCAAACGCCTTAGCGACAACAATTGATTGAAATTTTATGTGTCTTATGTAAACGTTTAAGCAGAAATACATTAAAGCATAGGTTTATTGCTTGTTTAGTTTTACTTAATAATTATTACTTATCGATCTTAAGATCGGTATTTGTCTGTTTGTCTGTCTGTCTGTTTGTATGTTTGTCTGTTTGTCTGTTAGATGAACGCGATATCTCACGAACGCGTGGTTGAATCTGCTCCTAACTTTGCATAATTAGCGAGTTATTAACTAATTACCGATCTAAGATCGATGAGTCTTCGGTCTCCGACCGATATTCTCGTTAGTTTGACTTTGCCAAGTATTGCAAACTGAGCGGAAAAACGAGAATGTATGATGACCAACCACTATTTGGCATTATACATACGCCAGTGAATGGCGAAGTTGTACTCCGAAGCGTTTTATGCCTGAACAATCTGAGCAATGACGCTATGAGACCAACACTCAGTTGTAACGTCATCTTAATATATAACAACTTGTCCATCACAAAAGCATTTTATCAAAGCAAAAAGAGCGGGGGCGCGAAGTTTGTAAAATTTTTCAAAGGGGGGCGCGGCTCAAAAAGTTTAAGAACCAATGCCTTATAGTGTCGAAGCTAGACTTGTACTTCTAACTTACGATAGTGGGGTGTGGTTGCTATTAAACTGTATTACACGTAATTGTCATTGAAGACAAGTATACCGGTTCCAAGTTGTTTCCTAAGTAAGTTGGCCATTCTAATCGTCGTAATTGATCATTTGACAATGTCGTTCCATATGATATCACAGATGGAAAGTTTTATTTATTCGTCGAAATTACCGACCGACTCAACTTCGCTTCAGTTTCTATTTTCGGGTTAACATTTTTCGTCTGTCAAGACAATTATTCCCGACTGCTCAGCTCCGAGTTGTGCTGGAAGACCAAATGACATTGTAGGATTGTTGCGGCGGCATTATACAGCGTCAAATCGGCATATCACTATATAGTCTTCGAAATATAAAAAAATGATTGTTTGTTGTTTCTGTGGCTTCAAATGTTATACAGTATATGTTTGACATTATTTGTGGAATACAAGAGAGCTATGCTCAAATATATGGACACGTAGAGTAACATAATTTTGATGACGTCATAGCGAAAAAAAAAGTAATAGCCTTCTGGAGAAAATTTTTATCTTTAACCACTGAAAATTTCAAAGCAATTGGTCCAGTATTCGAAGAGAAAAGCGACTTTTTAAAAACGTGTCAAAGAACAAGAACAACAACAACAACAACAACAACAACATAATATTGAAACGATCGTTATGTCCACTACGTGTCCAAAAATCCCTTTCTTTAACCCAGGTATAAATATGAAAATACCCATTTCACTAGAGGAGCTATTGCACTGAAGGCCAAGTTTGGGCAGGACAGGAGCAGCGTCCTTTGAAGAATGCGATTTTGGTAAAGAATAGAAAAGGCCCCTCCACACGCTCTTATAAGTATAAGTATAAGTTTATTTCGACTCCATAATCAGCAAAACAATAAAATGAATGGTAAAAATAAATAAATAAAAACTGATTATGAAATCAGGAGAGCGAACAAGAACTTTGAAATATTTGTGCAGTTGTGAGGTCATTTGTTTTAGCCATTCTAGTTATGTAAGCGCACACCTAGCCAATATACTTGAAGTTAGTAGTTATAAGTACGGTATAAGTTTATTTATTTGTTCTCAAGCATCGGAATTTATACCGGTATCTCGTTTATTTTGGAACTGTGCTTTACACAAAACAGCAAATTGTATATGATTATATTTTTTCTGATGTATTAAGAATAATTAGTCTATTGCAGTATTGTAACTTGAAGCATATAGTATATAAAACATGCATTTTATTAGACCTAAATAATCAGTGTTTTTCTCATTGATTGATCGTAATGCTATCATACATTCATACGTACTTTAGTACCGTACGGTACGTACCGTACTTCTTCTGCTAGATCAGTAAATACTGAGTTACAGAGATATAAGATTTGGCTAGAACGTAACACAGTTATTTTTGAAAATGCTAACCCTAGTGTTAATAAGTCATAACAGAATTAGAAAATCCCTTTCAGCAAGGAGAAATATCTGAATATAGAAAAATGTAGACAACAGCCTAATTTTATAAAAAGAACCTGACATAATACAGCACCGTAATATGCAACGACCCACAGACCTAAGACTTATTGCAGTATTGTAAAAAAAAATATTTTCTGCTATAAATAATTAAAAAAATAAATTGTAAAATAACTGATAACTAGCCTATGAGGAAAAATCTATCCAGCTATCTGGTATCAACAATGGAACATTATGGATTACTTGACAATACTAGATGAACATATCTCAGTATCTGCATATGCAGATATGGAATAACTGAGAGCTTTGTTCATGTAGCCTATATAATTTCTTTGTGTGTGCAACTATGATTTACATGTGTTATTATTTATTTATCATTATCATCTTAATTTAGTCTATTTATCTTTTTTTTCAAACTTTTGAATCCACAATGTCTGAATGTGTAACCCTTAAGAAAGGTTTATTTTGCTTTCCCTTAAAAAAACAAATCGAAAAAGTAAGATTGTTTAATCCTGTTCTTACCAGTCTTCCAGTGCGCCATGTACGCTATTATTAGATTGTTTCCCCATCGGGATGAGTGGGTCTTATTATAAATCATTTCATGATAATTTTTATGAAATGATTTATTTTAGCCATACCAATACTACTATTAGCCGAAGCACATCGTCAGACTTCCAGATTGTAGGCACATTTAGACTTCCGGGCTTTAGAAAAGAGGCCAAAGTCAAAAATTGTGTCTATTTGGTGAAAAATAAACTATTAACTGTATAATGAGATGATTTTTAGTCATGCTAGCCATCCCCATTTTTCTGTCCTTGACACATAGCTGACCGAAACCTGAATAAGCTGTAGTCTAGTCGCTCTAGTGGTTTGAGCTGATTATCAATTTAATATGCCTGTTAAAGATGTCAGTGGGATGCAGCTTTCTATTTTCTTAAAAATGATGCTAAGCAAAAAATATTCTATTATGTATGTCGGTTTCACTCTCTACTGAATTGAGTGACCTTTTTGATATATTCTATAGAGAGACAGTGAAAACAAAAAAAATTAGTACTATTCAACCTGAAAAATACTCGGCTTTATAAGATAATTCAAATTAGGCATTTTAATATTTAGGTTGTAACAAGACATGTAATCTGAAATATGAAATTAATTTTAAAATTTGTTCTAATCTGAATTCTGATCTCACAAATTTATCACCTCTTTTTCGATGTAGAGATACCTCTTATGCTTTTGCCAGATTTTTGTGATGTTGATATATTGGCTGGCACATGTTGGTACGATATGGTTTATCATAGCAAATTCTGAATGAAATATTTAGAAAATTATTTAATAATAAAAAAATTTTGATTTGTTAGAATATCCTAATAAGAAAATGACATATTTTTCATTCAATTGCATAAAAATAGGAACTTCTCTTTGATCATTTTTAAATTTTTGAATTCAGCTTTCACAGAATAATAAAAATGATTTCTGTAAATTCTCACTTATCTGAAAGAATGACCTATGGATTGTCTGGCAGAAATGTTTTCTTGGGCTTTTCAGGTTAATGATCTGGGAAAATTTTTTTCACAAGACCAACTAATACACCAATCAATTTCAAAGTTTCCATGCTTAAATATTGGAAAGAAAAAGCACAAACATTTTTTTATTATTTTCCATTGGTGTCCTGTGGACTCGCTTGACTGCAAACTCGATGCTATAAGGCAGTTATTTTCAACTTTTTTGAACTGTGGAACACTTTTTATATCACGAAATTCTGCGGAACACCAAATAATCATTTTCAGCCATCTGTCTTTTATTTCAAATATCTATCCACCATAACGAAAGTAATTGCAATAACATGTGGTACACATTGTGATATTGTTGGCAAGCTGCCTACCGCTGACAAAAGTTAATGATAAATTAAATTTCTGTAATGATGTCATAAAAACTCAAAAGGATTCGCTTACTTGATTTCCATTATCAGATAACAGACTCGTCTTAAAATCAATTAAATGATTTTTTAATTTGTCCTATTTTATATCATAAAATATGCCAAAAAAAAATGAAACAACAATTTGACGTGGAACACCTGGGTCAAGGTCTTTTACGGAACACAGGTTGAAAACCACTGCTCCAAGGCCTTACCAAACTGATAACGATGCATGACTGTGTCCATATATTGTATTGCTCTTATTTAGAATATTAATTGAATACTACAAGTTTGTAAATACTTTCAAATCATATATACGGTGAAGTAGCTCGTTTAATTTCAGATTTTCTCTAGTTTTTTTTCCTTTATTTGGTTTGAGCTATCTCTAAGATATCATCAATATGAGATTTAGGAATTATTTTATGCTATTATGACATCATAGAATTAACTCACAATGACACATGATTTGTACTAGAAGGAAATGTCAGTGATGTGTCATCAGTAACACACTGGATTTCCCACCAGTATTTCCTCTCCATTATTGATGCTGAACCAATGGCCTATTGTATTGTTATTTTCTCAGGATTAGTCGTAGAGGATGTCTTACATGTTTGAATACCGAAAGTGTGTAGCTTGCTCTATGTTCTTGTCTTTTTTTAGTAATATTTGACCTCATTTTTAACCTGGTGGTCAATGTAGCATGAAAACAGAATTGATATTTGAATATTTTGATTGGTTATGCTTCATTTATTTTGTATGGTAGTTGAGTCCTAGTGTTAATAAACTATTCCAAAATTAATCATTCGTTTAGAAAATTAAGGTTATGTTGTTAGAAATAATAGTATTTCATTTTTATGGGTGGTAGTAAAAATACCTGCCTGACCAAACAGACCCTGCATTGTTTGATATTGCTAAAAAATAGAATAATTTAAAAATCTTCTTGAGTATCATTTTCTCACTGATACAGTGGTATTATCATTTTGGGACCCGTTTTCATTGGAGTTTTGAATTTCTTCATTGGGCTTGGTTTGAATTCCTCAGTCTTTTAGTTACCGATATGCTATTTCTGTGTATACAAATTCCAAAGTTGATGTTCTCTGAGTAGTCTGATTAAACAAAGCTGATAAGTGTTACACTACTTACCTATTGTCCCATTTGTTTTATATTTTTAATAGTAGTGGGTGTATATTTATATTTGATTCGTATGAACCAATTTCTACAGAAGGATGGGAGAAATGGTAAAATACCCTTAATAAGACATTAATATATAGGTAGTTTCAATAACCCTGCAGCAAACATTCAATGCATAGGTCACTATGAATGACCCTTTTGGGAGAAGTATTTTATAGAAGATAGTCCTTCTTTCTGGTATTGGTGTATACAACATGCATCTTGCCGCTATTCAATTTCTTCTGACTTATTTCTTAGTCAGATCACGGCCGCAATGGATGTGACTCACTACTGTTCCTTTCCTGTAGTTGTGTTCGGTAATATGGCAACACCCGATTTATGTTTGTAAATTTTGATCATATATTATTCAGTAGACCAAACATGAGTTATAAATAAGTTTTTATGATTATTTATGGCCATGTTTGTAGTTTGTTAAACCTGTATATTAGTAATATCAACAGGTTGGTGCTAAAAATTATATCTTTTTTTGTAAAGTGCTAAAATATAGTTCTGTGTAAGGGTAATACCTAAACTGTGTTATGCTTTTACAATAAGGAGGAACAAGATATTGGATTGGTATAAGTGTATATAAGTACTACTATTATGTATTGCGGGTATCGATTTTCAATATGTTCGAAAATTTGATGGATGTTATGCCTGCCGGTGAATTTCATGATTAAACTTCTATATAGCACATCAGTATAGTAAATTAGTAACTGTTTCATTTAAAATTTGGGATGTTTATAAAGTTTCAAAAATTTTATATTGAAAAAGGGATTTATTGATACAATAATATAGTTCGTTGTCTGGTACAGGTATATTAAATGAAGTGAAAAAACTGATTAAACTAAAACCAACCTGGTTAAGATATTTTAAGAACTGACTTCATATCAAAATTGAAATTGTGACCGGCTTATGAATACCCTGTATATCAATGCATGTTTCTATTGTCCGTCTTATGCCTTCATTTGTGATCATTCTGAGTCCAGATTCAAGTTATGGTATTAAGAATGCTATAGAAAGTACAATATTCTTCGTGAAGGAAGCTTGATAGAACAGGCTTTAAAATATGAATTTTGTTTTCACAGTTATTGTTAATATTCATATTTAATATACCATATCACTCATCACATGGACGTAACAACATAATAGCAAATTCACATTCCAAGGATTTTGACTTACTTTTTTACTTTAAAAAGCTTGAAGATTGAAGACAGCAAAAATGGTATGGTTACTATTTTTATGTTATTTGCAATTTTGTCTCTCATATAAACATTTATGCTTGACCATGAAAGAACAAAGATAAATTGAGATATTTATGACAGTTTGACAGATTTATTAATTGTTCATGTGTGGCCAATATTCAGGTATGTCCATAATGTTCAGGCATCTCCAATATGAGTTGAATATTCAAATAAATTTGTAATTTGATATCAATCACATAATTCTAGATTCTAGATATTATAGAATTATTCAGCATAGTTTCATTTGAAAATTTGACGTACTGAGCATTTGATATATGGTATATAACTCTAAGAGTGACAAATTAAATTTTCCTAAATTTACATCGATTTGTGCGAATTTGAATTAATCTATTATTTATTTTCAGAAACTAGTAGGAATGACAAATTATTTAATTTAAGGCAACCTTGGCTTTCTTCTGATCAATTTTCTATTTTAAACCCAAATCAGCATAATTTTTGATCCGTTGTCATGATCATAAGAACGTGTTGTTAATTAAGATGACATCATTTTTAAGCCGCAAAATTTCTGCCATATATGGATCGAGACAAAGCCATGACTTCGTAACATGCCATGCGTTAATAACGTCCATGCATTCTGCAATGTTAAATTGGCATTTTGATTTCAAATTTACTTATTATCATGTGATGGAATCCATAAATCAAATTGTTAATAAATAATTTTTATTATATTTTTTTGCGACAAATATGGTAAACTTTTTGACTTTGTCTTGCCATATATAATCATTACTAAATTTGAAACTTATTTTATTGGTCAATTTGGGGCCAGATTGCAATTAATATTTGAATTGTTATTGTGACTATGACTTCAAATTTTACATTGAAGTTTTGCATATTAGGCCTTTTTTTTAAACTTCTTTGAAAAAATAGTACAAATGTTTCTTATTTTGTAATAAAACTTACAATATAATTTTTTAACTCAAGTCTTAACTGTTTCATTTTCCATTAAAAGTCTTTTCAACTCATTCCATTTCTGCATTATGAAATGTATCACAGGTGTTTAATCACATGAACTAAGTCCTAAGACCCCAAATGCTAAAATTCAATTGTATATTATAGACCGTAAAATGCTAGATAAGAATCTGTTATAGTTTAGTAGGCAGCATCTCGTAGACCTGGGGTTGGTTTATTAAAACCAAGTTTCTCAGCCTCAATTTGAGTAAATTTTTTGGGCCTGTATGTATTATATAGTCATACTTCATAATAATTGTTTACTTCAGTTTAATGCAAGTAGGATTTGAAACTAAAAGCTTATTGTGTTTCTGTTGACTTAAAACTGATATTATTCATTCGTCATTCAACTTCCAGAAAATGATATAAACAAACCTATAGGGAACTAGAATGATCTAGCAACAATGTCTGGCTCCAGTCATACTGAACCTTACAAAAATACATTTGTTTTTGTATGCAGCAAGACTTATTCAATCATTTTGAATATGCAAATTTGAACTGGAAAAACTATCCTACTATTTACTGTAACTGTTACAGACTCATCAGAAGCATCATTGGCAGAGTCACAATGTCAAACAGAGTGGGGTTGATGACATGGTGCTACTCACAAAAATTACTGATTCTGCAATTGTAGATAATCTGAAGAAAAGATACATGGATGATCAAATATTTGTATCCTTTTTGTTAAGTTTACTATTAACAAAATGAGAGAGTAAAACGCAGTAATGTACAATCAATTCCAAACAGGATATAGAGACTGTATTAGAGAAATGATAGCCTATGATGTATCCACTGCCGTGTGTTTTCGGGCCAAAGCAATAAATCAATATTTACTTTGGTGGACTCCTTGACGTCATAGGATGGTCATTTACGGCTTCTTCTACCATCTTGTCCATGTATTTGAAATATATAACTAGTTAATTATTACCATGTTGACATAGACTGGTAACTGGCAAGAGGTGGTGGTTCACCCTATGATAAGGTCATCTTATCCTAATTATAAATTTGTGCCCGTGCTCAATGTCGCCAAGTTCTGTTATTTTTACCTCCTATCTAAAAGGATTCATTTGTCATTCACTACTAATCACACAACACAAAATATGTCATTATAGGATAGATTGATTTTTTGGCTCATTTATACACCAGACTAGATTTTTATGTATCGTCATTTGTCTTGTAGTTCTCTATCATAAATGAGAGACACGAAAGTTATCGAAAGCAAACCGCAATCTTTACTTATACTTGCAAACTTGATACTAATTTGCGTGCTTCTTTGGATTCTCTATGGCCAGTTTTCTCAATCAAATTTTACTTGCTCGAATATTTCCACAGATTTTCTGCGGATTAATTTTTATGCGTAACGATTATGATTTCTGTTCACTGATATATTTGTGCGTTTCTTGTATTGATAAGATCAATTTTTGAATTCCTTGACTGATTCGTCTCAGACATACATTGGACCAGTATTGGTGTCTGTCAATCCATTCAAACAGATGCCTTACTTTACTGACAAGGAAGTTGAACTATATCAAGGAGCTGTAAGCAAAAACTACATTTTATATTTTATTACATTTTTTTGTACACATTCCTTAAACAACGTAAGTACTTCTATTTGGCGTGGCACAACCATTTTTGCATATGTTATTCCTAACCCCCACCTGGCTCTGTCATCCAGAGGTTACGTCACTACGACCTCACAATCACGTCAAAGAGTTCGCCAAAGTATAGCTACGATTGCTAGAAAATGGTATCTTCGTTATTTATTACGAACTCACTAGCGCCAGCGATCTCTCTCATATTAGGATCGATACGACCAGGAAATGAGAGAAATAACTTGCTCGATTTCGGGTGTTTGTCTGCACGTCTTGGATGACAGTATAGTTTGGAGGGCCTCATTACGTTATTGTGACGTCGTAGTGACGTAATTTTTGAATAATGTAGTCAGGTGTGGCTTAGGAATAACATATGCAATAATGGTTGTGCCACGCCAACTAGAAGTACTTACGTTGCCATTTTGTTATAATTACTGGGCCTAAGTTATCTCTAAAGTCTAGATAAGAGTTGAATGCTTATCATGATAATTCTTTTTTATCAGGCACTCTACGAGAATCCACCACACATCTATGCATTAGCAGATGATATGTATAGAAACATGTTGATCGATTCTGAAAATCAATGTGTTATTATTAGCGGAGAATCTGGTGCTGGGAAAACTGTCGCAGCCAAATTCATCATGTCCTATATTTCAAAGGTTTGTTTGTTATGCTTGTATTGATTCGACACTAAAAGCCAGGGCTGTCGAGTCGAAGAAAGTTTATAATAAACGCAGACTCGAGTTGAAAAATAATTTAAGAGAAATTATTTTTTTATCATATTCATTATTGTAAGTAATAATAATTTTTTGAGCACTTTTCAATAATTTAATAAATGCTTTTTTCAGTCTAATGCTAATTTCTAAACTAAAACTGTTCTAAATTAGAATTAAATCAAGAATTTGACAGAATCCAATATAATTGATTTTTGATGTTGCTCATGTTGATCTTTCTAGCTATTCAAAGTATTCCAAAAATCTAGAATTTAAAAATATTGAATATATTTAATTTTGTATCAATTTTCATTCATTTTGGACATTGTTTGACTCTCTGTATTAAGCAACAATATTATTTTATAAATGCCTACCTTAAATGTAACGAAATTCCCCATCCTGTTTAGGTCAATATAATGTTAATGTAGGTAACAAACTGTAACAGATAATACTACAAATGACTCAAAGATCACTACTAAGCACATGGGATTCTAAATGTAATCCAAAATAAGCCATGTAGAAATGGCATAATACTCAAAAGGAAGTTGGATCTAAAAGATATTAAAATAGGCTTTCAGATTGTTTGTTTTTGAAAATTGGGGCGCTGGATATTTGTGAACAAACCCGATTTTGAGTCAAACTTGGACTCTTAGTTGAAATACCAAAAAATTGTGACTTCCACTCAGTCTCTGAACTCCCCAGAAAATTCAATTTTGATATTATTAAACGCTTTTCCCTATGCAAGCCTTCTTTGAAGGGGCGTACACGAGGCTGAGGGTTGGAATTCCTCAATTTGAAATATTAAAAAATATCTTTTTTCTGTATCACACAACGCAATTTTATGTAGCTTGAAACGCAACTCTGATGAGTTTGAAATTATCACCCAACTGAGGTTGCAAGATTTGAAAATTATTTTTATCTGAATTTTTTGTATTTTTTCGTTCCAGGTATCAGGTGGTGGAGCCAGAGTCCAGAGAGTTAAAGATATTATTCTTCAAAGTAATCCACTGTTGGAGGCTTTTGGAAACGCTAAAACCGTTAGGAATAACAATAGCAGTCGTTTCGGAAAATATTTTGAGATTCAATTTAGTAGAGGAGGTGAACCTGATGGGGGAAACATCTCAAATTTTCTTCTGGAGAAGTCTCGGGTTGTCACGCAGAACCAAAATGAAAGAAATTTTCATATTTTTTATCAGTTACTCTCTGGAGCATCAGCTGAACAGAAAGGTCAGTTCTAGGTTAAATGCAATGGTACTCCCTAAGGATGTGAACAAAGATTTCGGACATCGGAACATAGTATGTGTACCAGGTTAGGGTTAGCCATAATTTCAGGTACAAATACTACAGGAATCACTTATTCACTTGGCTAGTTCCCGAACTCGTAATACAACTAAAATAAGAAAAATTGGAATAAAATTAGGGCCTAACCCTAACCTGGTACACTTACTACGTTTCGTGTCCACCATCTGGGTTCACATACTCCGCACGCACCAATATACAAACGATAATTCTTATAAAAATAATTAAATACTGGGGAATGCTCTGGCCGAGTGAGTAAAGGCTTAGATCCAACTAGGCATCGCAGTTGAATATCCCGGGTTCAAATTCCTCATCCACCACCTCAACCAGAGTGTAATAATTTGAGTAGGCTATGAGTCTATGACGAACTGGAAGATTTCGATTATTCCTACTAAACTATAACAGGTTTGTATCTAGTATCGCCTGCTTGTGCAAAGTCTTGTTCAGAGCTAGAAGTGTATAAATACATCATATAAAAAAATTACTATATTTTAAATACTTGATTTAAGGAATAAGTTTGAATAGTTTTATTTGAGAAAATTATCATTTTTAACAATTAAAGTCTCACAATATGACAAAAGCCTTCTCTTAATTTTAATAATTTTCGAAATATGGAGAATCAATTAAATTCCTGTTATTTTAATTCATATTAACTTATGTGCATTTCTAAATTCAAGGTCATTTAGGATTAAATCAATGTTTATCTGTTCTGTATTTATATTTATATTACTGTGTGAGTGTGTGTTATTCTCATCTATAAATTATTACATGTATGTAATTTTCTGATGATTTATTACTATTTTAGAAAGCTTATATCACTTCCATTACCACAATATAATTTATGCATGCCTTATTTAAGTTTACAATTAAAGTTGTAACAATATCAAGATTATCACTCAGTGAAAATTAAAGTCTTTTTGGCGCAGAAGTTTTATTGTAATGTCATATTAATGTTTGCTAATTTTATTTCAATCATACATCAAGTGCATATTTAAGTCTTTTTGGCAAATAAAATAAAATCTCTATGAAATAAGTTTCAATAAGAAAAAATTTGAATTCAGTAAAATATCAATTTTGAACTCATGCTGAGGGCCAGTACAAATAGGAAATATTGGAATTCAATGGTGCCAGTATGCTGACACATACTTTTCCCAGTATTGTTTCAATTGAAATTATATCCTGTTTATTGCTATTGTATAACCTCATTTCTGTCATATTCATCAAAATTGGGTTTTGATTACGGATATGAAAATGAACTGATTCGCGCTTTTTGAAAAATGTAGATATGAAAAGAGCAGTCATTAAAATTTTTGAAACATGTGTCATAAAATAGAAAAATCATTATAAATAGAAGTAGCCTATGCCAAGTGATAGCTAAACTTGAATGATTTACTGTTACAAATACATTTTTTATTGTTGAATGTATTTTAAATTAGGTCATATTCAATGGGAGAATTTACAGAAAATTATTGTAAATTCATAGAAATTTAATTTTGTAATGAAGAGTAGTTCTTGATTGATTTTTTCCATTTTGGAACATTGTTTTTTAGATTTCATAAATTTTTTTTGTCTGATCTTCTGGTGTCAGATGCCCAAAATAACAAATTTTCAAATTAAAATATTCGGACCGATTTTTCAAACCAAGAGTTTTTATTATTGGATATAACCAATTTTGATGTAATTTAATGTTCGATTCATTTGGACATTCATTATTCTGAGACAGTTTTAAGAATTAAATTCTATTTAATAGATAAAACTTTTTTCCAAATTATGTTGTTTATCAAATATAAATAAATAAAGATATAAGGAATTAAAAATATGATTAGGTAGAAAGAATAAATGATAAACAAGAATTCTATAATATCAGCTGTTTCGGTAATTGAATCCCTAATTGAAATAAGCATTTTTTAACAATTTTGAATATAAATTAACGAAATTATTGTATTTATTGATTCTTCTCTTTCCCACCTTCGTCACAGAAAAGTAGCAGTCTTTGTGATATCAAAATTTTTTACTGTCTAATTTATTAATATATATATATTAATATCAATTTATTCACACAGAATCTCTTGGAATTGCAACTCCTGACTATTACTATTATCTGAATCAAAGTGGATGTTATACTGTAGATGAAATGAATGATTCTAAAGATTTTCAGGAAACTATGGAAGCAATGGGTGTCATTGGTAAGTTTGATCTATGACAGTGGTTCTCAAACAGGCGGGGTGCGCCCCACAATGAGGGCATAGACAATTTTTGGATGGGTGTGAAGCTAATCAAAAATAAAAATATTTGTTAGATTTGATCTTGCCCTCATTATTTTGGATATTTGCGTTTCATCCACATATTTCAAACGTTTTTTGAATAAAAAAAAAATTTGGACTTACTATCTATTATTTGTAGCTTATGTGGAACTAATTCACCCCAAAGGGTGTTGAATTTATGTATAACATACAATCTATTGGATATGCATACATAACGATCAATATTCCCGATTGTGTAAAAAAGTCTCTTTCATCACTAACAAATTCTCATTTTCGAGCTTATTTTTGCAGGTTTAACTCCTGATGACCAGTATTCTGTGTTGCAACTTGTCGCTTCTGTTTTGCATCTCGGAAATATCAGTTTTGCTGAGAGTGGCAATTATGCAGCTGTTGAAAATGAAGATTGTGAGTCAATAGTTTTGATTGTAATAAAAGCTTTTCTGGCCGGGCAAAATTTTTGTTTAATTCAAACCCAAACTCCTGTTTGACAAAAAAGTTGACTCCCTGGTTGAAGAATACCCCAATTCCCGGCTCAGACCCCAGCTCATAAATTTTTTCACAAAACTTGGCGTATGGAAGCTATTTTTAGTTGTCTGTAAAATATGCTTAGTTCGTTCAATGCAAATTGTAGGAATATTTTACTTCGATAACGGCCACTCGAAATTCTGTTTTCAGCAAATACTCCATTGAATTAAAAAAATAAGAGAGGAAAGCCGATAAGGCGTCTAAATCATATGTCGAATCTCGGGCCCCTCTGGGTTTGTCAAACTGAGGTGAGGTGGCGAGCGTATTCCTAACGCTAAGCATGATGTGCCACACCGCCGAGCCAGCATCCTCAAGGCTTTGGCTCCATACCCACATCTTTGATTGTAATTGTAGAAAAGCCTAACGCTCAAATTTGTGATTTTACCAATGTTTTCTTCAGTCCTGGCTTATCCTGCTTTTCTTCTTGGCATCGAACAAGCAGCTCTACGAACAAAATTAACAAGTAGAGTTATGGACAGTAAATGGGGAGGAAAATCTGAAACAATCGATGTTACATTGAACGTGGAACAAGCCAATTATACTAGGTAGGTTGTTACATTTGGTTCACCATCTGCTTGGCTTTATGAACAAGAGAGCTGCTTGTACTAACTTTTCCAATAAATTTTGAATATATACCGCATTTGATAACCTGTTTAAAACTCGGCTTATGTACTCGCATAACTCTGATCGCACTAGAAATTCGGTTATATGCACATAACTCTGATCGCACTCAAATGAAATGACACTATACTAACTTAATTCCAACAGCTTCCACTCGAACCATGCTAAGCTCTCACGATAAGAGCGTACTATTTGTTGGTTCGGCGTATATGCGAGTTTTTATAAATTCACCATTTTTCAGCCGCTTTCAGGTGGTCGACTTATATGCGAGGATATAGGTAGTTATCGGACACAAAGTGCCCATTTGGATTTGCTGAGTTGTTGATTTGGGGTGACTTTTTGGTGCAGAAAGAGTTGCTGCACCGAAGAATTTCCGTAACTAGTGAAATAATCTAGTAGCCAAAATGCTACGGAGTTATTGTGTTATGAAAGCTTTTGTACCATTTTTAGGATGAACGATGGCTATTGAAGCATTATTTTTATCCCAATACTGTTTTTTGTGTTCAGAGATGCTTTGGCGAAGGCTCTTCATTCACGACTTTTCGATTTTCTCGTTAACGCTGTTAACATCGCTATTCGTAAGGATTATGTCGAATTCAATATCGGAGTTTTGGATATTTATGGATTTGAAATTTTCCAGGTAGGATTCTTAATCACAGATATTGTATAACATATTATATTATTCTTCAAAATGTTAAAGTGTAACGGCTGGTCGTATTTGGCATTAGATGCATCAATTTGTAAAAATGACCAATAATATTCGGGTAAGTTCATTACTAATTTTGCTTCTTTGACTTTTTAGAGAAATGGTTTTGAACAGTTCTGTATCAATTTCGTCAACGAAAAACTCCAACAAATTTTTATCGAGTTGACTTTGAAAGCTGAACAAGAAGAATATGTTCAGGAAGGAATTCATTGGAGACCGATCGAATATTTTAATAACAAAATTGTTTGCGACCTCGTCGAATCAAAGGTATTGTTTGATAATCAATTCCTATTAGCAGAATTGATATAACAGGGAAAAGATAGTTAGATACGTTATTTTATTTTAAATTTCACGCCATGCACTCACTTTTTTGAGTATAAGTAATGTTTCTCAGACCCCCAAAAAATCTTTTCGTACTGAGCAATATGCAAAAAAATCTTCTTATACTGAGCTAAATTGCATATTTCTAAAGAATTTTTGAATGAAAGTAAGTTTATATGAAATGATTTAATTTCTCTCAGAGTCCGCCGGGTGTTATGTGTGTACTTGATGACACATGTGCAACCATGCATGCCGTAAGCGAAGGTGCTGATCAAAAGTTTCTCGGAAAATTAGTCGGTGCTGTCGGAAGTCATGAACATTTTCAACAGTTCAGGTAAAATATAGATAGGAGTTAAATATAGACTCTTGGTTACGGCTTAGTTAAACAATTTTTATTCATCAGTGGCTATTGTTCCTTGTTATTAAATTAAATTGAGTGAAATATCCTCTCACCAGAGAATTTGGTTTTTTCAAAAATAGTAACTTCCTACTTATTGATAGATATCAGTGGCCGCTTCGTACAAGGCACGAATAAGCATCATATTAAAAAATCTTCCATTCAGGTAAATTCACACAATACGGCTCAAATGTATTGTTCTTGATTTCATCTATTAAGAACAAAAATCTTTGTTATACGTACATCAAAAGTAGAATATGTTGTATTTAGTAATTTTGATATAGATTTGAGTTGTTTAATATTATTTTATTTAAAATTTTGTCTACAGTGCTGGATTTGTTATTCACCATTACGCCGGTAAAGTGAGTTACGACGTTGATGGATTCTGTGAAAAAAATCGAGACGTTTTATTCAAGGATCTCATCGAACTTATGCAACAGAGTGAATAGTAAGAAATTTGTTGTTTTTTGTTTGTAATCGGAGGCAAATCCGCTACTAAGACTCTATTCTTTCCTTTTCAATATGAGAGATCTCGGAATTTGATAAAATCTGTATTTTTCATGGAACCTTGCTTTCATCTGTCCATTAAAAAATCAATGTGTAAAAAATCCGAAATCTCGAAAATCAATATTTTCTGATCTCTTTAGTTTTTTGGCCATTTTTTCAAGTATTTTGATATTTTAAAATGAAATCCTTTTCAGTGATTTCATTCGCAACTTGTTTCCTGACGATACATCTGTGAGGTCACGACCTTCTACAGCGGGTTCAAAGATCAAAACTCAGTGCAACAAATTGGTTGCCACTTTAATGAAGGTGAACATTATTTTTCCTATTTATTTATATTCTATATTAGTTTTTTTTTAATATTTTGAATTTTGCTCGTTCTACATTGATGAGTTAGCAATATGTACTAGTCAAAATTGAATATTTCTTCTCAATTGAAAAGAATACTGGTTTGTTTTATCGTATGATTCTAGAAAATTCTAGAAGTGTTTTTCTTTGACAAAGTGTCATCAAAAATGTGCCTCAGGATAAACCAATTTGTTTGAAATAATAAAATATAGAAGATGAGATTTGACCAGCACTATTATTTTGCTCTTAATTACATTCAATTTTCTTACACATTCATTAAAGAGAGTAATTTCAGTTACATAAGATGGAACGACTTACTACGTATTCTTTCCTTGCGACTTTGCACTGGTTGATCCATATTATGCTTATTATACAATGATGCTAAAGCAAGAATAAAGAATTAATAGCGACACTAGCACGATTGTATATCTAAAGAATTTGACTTTTAATCACATGAATAATCCTGTTTATCTTTCTCAAAGTGCGTTCCTCATTATATTCGTTGCATCAAACCTAACGAAACAAAACGAGCTCATGATTGGGAAGAGAAGAGAGTTACTCATCAAGTTGAATATCTTGGATTGAAGGAAAATGTGAGAGTCAGAAGAGCTGGATTTGCGTACAGAAGGCCTTTCATTAAATTTTTGAACAGGTGCGTTATTGAACTTGTTTTTATAGTTTGGGATGTTTTTTTTTCATCTGGGATTCAGAATTTCATTCTTTCAATGGTTTTAATAGAAATAGTTTCATCTCGCAGAAACATAAACAAAAAAATAGTTTTCATAGCTTTCTTAACAGTCTATTAAAGAAAGTTTGCGGGGGGCTGGATTATACTCCTTCTCCTAAAAATAATGTATAAGAGCCACTGATGTACCAGAAGCTGCTATTTTTTTAAAGTCTCACAATCTTTCCTATTCCATATAGCGTATACCCAACTTATTTAAACATTGAGTTTTGGATGGAGTTAGTGATATGGGGCCCAAATACTACTCCAGACTCCTAAGGCCTGGTGTAATCAACATAATGAAAATGTGAAATAGAATATTTGTGTTTTTCACTCTTGCAAATGTTATATCTATACTCAGGTACGCTATTCTGACGCCGGAAACTTGGCCAAGATGGAGAGGAGAGGAGAAAGGAGGAATCAAACATTTGATGAACCATGTTAATATGGATCCAGACCAATGGCAATGTGGAAAAACTAAACTGTTTGTCAAAAATCCAGAATCGGTGAGATTTTTTATCAACTGCACCTTATGAAATTGGATAGGCTATGCTAAACTAGAATGATCATGGCTCCTTCCATATCTGCTTACATAGAGACTTGTTCTTAGTGAAGAAGTGAAAATGTATAAAAAAGGAACCTTTTGAAAAAATTGCCTTCTTTTATATCAGTTTGCTCATTCAGAGCGAAATGAATGAAAATTTAAAGACAATTGTTGGAAACAATATGGTGTGGACTGCAAATTATAGTATTGTTTGATATCAGAGACTTCTAATGCAAATTTTGTGTTCGAAGCATAAATTTTTGTTCCACAAATAAGCGTCATATAGAATAGAAAATTAATCTTAAGGTATAACTCTCTATTTCAGCTCTTTCTGCTTGAAGAAATGCGAGATCGTAAATTTGATGGTTTTGCTAGAGTCATTCAGAAAGCATTCAGACAATTCAACGCAAGAAGAAAGTATCAAGAAATCAAAGAAGAAGCTTGCCAAGTAAGTATTGAATTGGAATTGAGTTTGTTTTTGAAAGGGAGGTCACACACCCGCGGCTCACTCTAACTAAACTAAATAAGACTGTTGGTCATCTCTGAGTAATTTGAGATTGAGGTATGGCTTTTGTGTTGTAATTGGTCTACTCAGGATGTGTATCATTTTCTAACAATGTACTATCTCTAGGTTGTTTGGAACAAAAAAGAACGCAAGCGAGGCAGCTTAAATAGAAACTTCATCGGTGATTATATTGGACTGGAAAATAAGCCAGAAGTTCGACAATTTGCTGGAAAGAGAGAACGAATTGAATTTTCGGATACTGTTAATAAATATGACAGAAGATTCAAGGTGGGTGAACCTTGTTTTATATATATATTTTATATCATGTAGTTATTCGCTTATCAGGAGTTGGCATAATCATGCTTACCATAATTTGCTTGTTTCGTGTTTCCAATTTTTGTGTAATTTGTCTTGCAGAGCGTAAAACGAGACTTGATGTTGTCTGCTAAGTTCTTGTATCTCATTGGACGAGAAGTTGTCAAAAAAGGCCCGGAAAAAGGACAAATAAAAGAAGTTTTGAAACGACAAATACCTATCGAAACTATTCAAGCAATTGGTTTGAGGTATTTAGGTTTCGTAATATTGAAAATATATCATAAATTAATTGCAAAAGTTAAAATAATAACGAAAGTTTTCATAATGATTGTTAAGTACCACTGCTTAAAATATAAATGAGGAGCAATTTCAAAATATGAGAGACTACTCATTTTATAAGCTAAATAGTATTATCTGGAAAGTAAAATTGCTGTTGATACATACACATAAAACCACATTTGTGCGATACATTAGGTGCGATGGACTAGCGTTTGAAGCGTTAGGTTCCCAAACTTTTTAATATGGTTACCCCCAAATCAAATTAACGAAAGCCTAATTGCCTCTTCCATAAAAATACACTAGTCCAGTCATATCGTTATCACTTTTTCTTGGAAGAAAAGTGGCAATAATGCTAACACCTATTGCATCCTACAATCCGATTTTGAGATGGTAACCTTCCGCTATATTTCAGCATTTTAGCATTATGTCCCTACGAAGTGCGTGACTAGATGACTAGGCTAACTGACTAGATACGAGCATTGAATGTCTTGCTTTCCCGCTGAGTAGTCAAAATAACGGAGATTGCGAAACAAATTGTTGAAACAGTGAACACCTGGATTACCACCTAAAAATTTCAAAATTACCCATTTGGTGGGTAATTATCCCCAATGTGGAAACCACTGCGTTGAACTGTGTGTTTGCATTGCACGTCTCTAGTTTAAATAACCTTCCCCCAGGACAATTCAAGTCCTACCAAACTATAGTACCTCCTTCTACCAGTGGTTGCTTGTACAGAGTCTTGTTCTGAGTGAAAGGCATATTAATATGTTGTATGAAAAATAGTGAATTATTCGATTTTGGCTTCCTTGCTTAACATCCTGTTATATTTTGACAGTACCATGCAAGATGATTTCTTCGTACTTCAAGTGGCAAACGAATACGACTCACTCCTCGAATCTGTCTTCAAAACTGAATTTCTACATGTTTTATCCAAGAGTTACAAAGCCAAGACTCACAGTGATTTGAGACTTATTTTTGCAAATACGTGAGTTGATAAATATCTTTTGTAATTTGTACTGGTATTAAAATAAATTTAATTGTAATTACAAATATCAAATTTTTCAAGGATTCGACTATGATTTTGAAGGTCAAAATTGAGTTTTTTCTTGTGGTTTCAGTGTCTTCAAAATCTCGAAAGTAAAAATTTTTCAACTTTTTCAATTTTTAACCTGTAAATTAGGTATCATATTACTTTTCAAGTCAACAAACATTTAGTCTATTGTAATTTTTTAACAAAAACAAAAAAAAACTTAAATTAGTTCATCTCGTAATCAAAAATTATTGTCCATTTGAATTGGGGGTCACATTTAGATTTTTGATCGTCCTCGAGTCTTACAGAACCCAACAACCCAACCTGGGGCAATTTGTCCACATTTAATATTTTCTTCTTTTCAGTCTTGAGTTTAAGGTCAAGAAAGGAGGCTGGGGTGGCGGTGGTGCGAGAAATGTGAATTTCTCTCGTGGATCATCAGACGTGCCTGTCCTGAAAGCTTCCGGAAAAGTTATGTCGGTGTCTATCGGACAAGGACTTCCAAAGGATTCAAGTGAGTCTGGCTATTTTTTTTTTTACCATACACCAGGCTTCAAAATTGGCACTTGTTCGCGAGCCGCACACTTTTTCCTAGTGGGCCTCATTAGGCCGGAAGTTAGGCCCTGATTTAGATTGTTCGTCATCTAGTGTGGAACCAATGAGGAACGACCCATCTCTGCAAGTGATCTTGCTGTAACCACCAGTATCCTGAGTATATGGTGTGATGAAGCCTCTTTATCTTTTTGCTTCCAGGGTTTAGCTGATATTCAGCCTTAATAAGGTTCAAACTCACTTTGCTCAAAGCTTGTTTACATATGTTATATTATACTTTTAAAAATAAATAGTCAATAAAAATTTTCTTCTTCGTTACAGAACCTGAGGTGAGGAACATCATGAGAGGAAAACGTAATAACGCCCCCCGTGGGGGAGGACGTGGGGGTTATGGAAGACAGCCCCAACCTCAACATCAACAACGGCATCAGCCTCAGCATCATCCTCAACAACAACAACAACAACAGGCCTCCAGAAGGCAGGCCCCAGGGAGACCTGAACCAGGTGGTGGGTATCCTCGACCCGGTGGACATGCACCCCCACCTCCTCATGCTGCTACCCCACCCCCTCCATCGATTCAATCATCATATGCACCACAAGGACGAGGTAGGTTACTAGAGCTGTTGAAAGAAAACAGCTTTTTTGTATTAATTATGCACGACCATGTTTGTTTGAATGATTGTAAAGCATCTATGCCCCATTATTAAGAAATCATGCCATGGATAATATAAATACAAATAAATGCGAAAGCCGAAAATTTTAGTGCATTTTTAAAATTTGCTCTGTTTTGTAAAATGTTATTTTGATTTTCGTTATGAATTTAAGACATCTTCTATGTTCTATATATGTTATGCTTGGTATGCTTTGGTTTTTTATTATTTTTTATGTTTTTTTTTCCTTTCTTGGGATACGTCTGTTTTCAAGTAATCTTGAAAACTGAAGACAGGTGTAATACACATACGCTCATATTCTTTCACATGTATGATTTCTTCAAAAAACTACGAATACAAGTAGAATCTTTCTTCTGTTCTACTCTTGAGTAATATACTCATATGTGCACAGAGTTAGTATTGCACATACACATATACTCATATTCTTTCACATGTGTGATTTCTTCAAAAAACTACGAACACAAGTAGAATCTTTCTTCTGTTCTACTTTTGAGTAATATACTCATATGTGCAAACAGGTTAGTAATGCATATACACATATACTCATAGTCTTTCACATGTGTGATTTCTTTATAAACTACAAATAGAATCATTCTTCTGTCTTCTGAGTGATATACACTATACAGTACACCATATGTATACCAATATACACACAATCATGTGTTGTCCAATGTCTGATTTGGATAGTTCTATTTCCAATTTTCTGTATGAGTGTTGTTTCAATAAAATGCACATGTGGTCGCACACTCTTACATGTGAAATTTTGCGAACCCTATTTTTGTTCATTCAATTCAATTTATATTAAGGAAACACTTGACTCTCTCCAATAGTCTTCATGGTCATTTTGAATGAGATTAATTAATTTTGCACACATGTGTACATTTGCATGTACCTACATCCAATATTCTATATTCCCATCTTTATTCAACTATTGTATTACAACCTGATTATGGAATTCCATATAACAGAAATACACATTATTTCGGTCACACACACATGGATATTCACACACCCATTCACTTTAGGGGGGATCTTTGTTCTAAGTCTTCGTTTTTTAGTACTTTTCTTTTGGACACAGCCTGGAACACGGAATGAGTCATATTACTCATATAGTTCAGTAATTTTCCTATTCACGCTCACTAATGTATTTAGTAGAAATAAAGTTCAGTATAAATTTAACATGTCAAAAGCTGATTCATTGGTGTTCAGCTTTGTTAAATGTAAATATAGCATTCTTAACATAAAATGTTATGCCCTTTTTACTTAACTCTAATATTCTTGTAACCTTGACGCATGTTTATTTTTAGTTCACATTACTTGCACGCTGCACATGTTTTTGATTTATAATCAAAAAACGAAAAAGAATCAGTTTGTATTGCATGCTTTTTGTTTTTGACAAATTTTTTCGATTTTTATCGTTTAGTGTTTTCAATAGTATCCCAACCTCCGCAGCAACAAAGGGGTCCACCAAGGAGTCAATACAATGGTGGGGACAGAGGAAGAGCAGGTTTGGGGCAGGCCCCGCCGCCCCCGCATGGATATGCGCCTAACGGAAGTAAAAATTACGATTTTTAAATAGTGAATTATTTTCTATTTTCATTTTACAATTGATTCGGGTGTATTAGGTATTGAATTATTTTTTGTGTGAATTTGGTGCAAAAATTTATTTTGCTGCTATGTTTTGAACTTTCTCTGTGATTGCTTATGATGCAAATTTTAATTGTAAGTATGAATATCTTTTTTCGTACAAAGCTGAATCCTGAAATTTGAAGTATGGTATTATTAATTTTGATTAGTACTCAAAAATTTCACACTTTATAAAGACCTATTATATTTCATATTTTTATTTGAAATCTCTACTTGACCCATTTGACTGCCATCAGTCATAAATCTATATTCTATTTCTGCTCTCTAATTTTACACTCCCGTTTTGTATCAAATTTACATTTATTCTTACTCTGTTTTTTGTATTACTAAACAGTAGTAAAAACAACCGAAATGTCTTTACAGGCCATACTTATTGATCAATCAAAATGTTCTTATCTTCAAAGACCACACTGTTCAAAGTTCCATAATGTTTATCTCTCATCTAATTATTTATATTCTCAATTTTTTAGGAGCACCGCACGGGCCCCCTCATGGGGGTGGGCCACCACCTGCTCAAAATCAAGGCAGATTCAGGCTGCCCAGCAATACTCACCAACATGCTCAACCAAAGCTACCACAAATGGGACAGCAACGTAGAGCAAGAGCTCCTAGCAATTCTTCTGGTCCTCAAGATTCTGATTTCATGAGAACACCGGATGCTGGAGTAGCAGGGTATGTAGCTAAGTTTCATTTGTGTTAATTTTAACATCCTACCATTTCGTCAGGCTTTATTTGGCAATTGAATCTTTGTGAATGTGACTTGCGATATTGAACATTCAAATGTGGATATTCATTCATGTGCACTGAAACAAGCCTCAGTATAGCTTTGATTGAACGTGCATATATTGTCGCAATTTTTCAATATGTCGTGGCCTGTGTTACTCTAAAAAGTGAATGCCCCATGAGTCCAAGAACAAACCTACAAATTAATCCATTATAAAAAGCTTTTTCTGCAATAATTGCATTGTAAAGCATGAGCTTTATAATGAAGTCAAACACTGAAATGCAAACCAATGTTAACTTGTCACACTGTTGCAGTATTCAAAAAGCATGAAATTTTATTGTGACCAGACTAATTGAAGATTGACCAATCTATATTTTTTGTTTTTAGTATTCAAAGAAGAAAATCACAACAAAGGAGTCAACGTCCAGTACCAGGAGGCAATCGTCCTAAACCAAAACCAAATCCAAAACCTTCATTACCCAAATGCAAGGTGAAATTCTCTTTCACTAATTTTTGATATCAACCAGCTTTAATATTTTGATTTTTTAATATAAATCAATCCTTTAGTTTTCTGAGTCCTTTTAGCCAAAGAGGCAAAACTTAAAAAAGCTGATTTAAGAAAATGTGTAAAACGAATATTTTTGATTTTTGAACCTCTGTTACATTTTTTAAAAATACTTTTGAGTATTGCTTCTACCAATGATATTAAAAATATTGAATTTGCTATAATATTGCTGTATGAATCTTGTTGTAGTCCCTTATATCTTAATGATTAGATCATATAGCCATATACCAAACACTATTTACTAAGCAATCAGCAACTAAGAATCATTGCATTTGCAAAAGTTTTGGTGTCTCATCATCACAAAAATTTATATTGCTCATACTGTTCACTGATTCATTCATTTTCTTTGTTATACTTCAGGCAATGTATGACTATGCTGCACAGGATACCGATGAAATCAGTTTCTCCGCCGATGATATATTAGAAGTTGTTAAAGAAGGTAAGTACAGAGTTGGAAAGAGAAAAGTTCATCTCATTTGTCAAACCAAGAATACACAATTTAAGCATATATTTACAAATATTAAATAAAATTATGCTTTCAGTATATGACTGAGTGGAACAAAAGATTGTTTGTGGTCGTCAGAGTTTGTTACCACTCAACCCTCAATGTTAGAGCTTAAGTCATTGACTAGTCTCGAGTAGAACTCAAGTCACCTCTTATCGAAAACTCGAGTATAACGAATGACCTAGACTAACTAACCGCTGGTGAGACTTAACTCAGGTATTGACTTGCCCCAAACTCGAATGACCTATGACACACACGACTTGATATTCGACTTGGGTGAACTTATTATAATTTCAATTTTATAATAACACAGATCCCTCTGGATGGTGGACTGGAAGATTCAGAGGAAAAGAAGGACTGTTCCCTGGAAACTATGTGGAAAAGATTTGAAACAGTCACAAAAAGTTGTCTGAAATTTTATTGGCAGGCTTTGACATCATTTGTTCCTTTTTAACTACTGCAAAACATGATCAATTTGCTGTTTATTTTTAACAGTGCGTGTCACTTAAAGTTGTCCTTTGTGGATATTGACAATTGACCCAATCGAGCATTCGTTTTTTAAAGCACTTGCTTATATTAGAAGACCATTTAAATTTTCTACATGATCAAGCTAGGTAAAATATAATTGCAATCGATCAAAGTTGTATTTACCAGTATTTATATTTTTCCAATTGGTCTCCGATCGTATCAGTACAAATGGATATAGTTTTTGTAGTTTTTATTATGCAGATAACAGTACTTTCGTGAACACTATTCACTTATTAAACTTTTGTCTGTCTTATATAGCTGTAAGCTCTTTAATTATAGAAAAAACTTTGGGCGCTCTAGAAGTATATGTACCAATATGGAAGTAAATAATTTTATTCGCCTATTTTACATCAAGTTGTGATACTGAATGTCTATGGCAAGGAGGAATTTTACTTGGATAACACAGACAGTCCCTGAACTCGTAATAAAACTAAAATAATAAAAATTTGAATAAAATTATGGCCTAACCCTAACCTGGTACACACCTTAGAGCGGTTTGAACATTCATTATGAATTTACTCTTTGACACAAATAGCTATAACTGATATTGTGGTTGGTAACATCTTCCATATTATTATTATCATTGCGGTATTGTTCATGCCTAAATATATTTTATGACAGTTTGTTCCTATTCCATTTTCTTGTGTATACTAAACATGAAAGTATTATCCATTTTTTTTCAAAGTGCCGGTTATAGCTGTAGTAATTCTTTATCAAGTTAGTGGCAATTAATTGAAATTCTCAAGAACATTTTATCTATGAATTCGGAGTTATTCGTATTTGAAATATTACTGTATGCGTAAATGTAATGAACACTCCATGACTTGCTGAAAAGCAGTTTATGGTACATCACACTTTCTGAAGTATTCGATAATTAGCTAAACATTCACTTCCAATATAGACAATTATTAAGTGTCCATATATTACGGTATTTACCATGAGTTTTTTCGTATCCACAAACTTTTTGCAATTATAGAACTTTTTTCACACTGCCTTAATTTAAAAATCAACTCATCTTTCACTATGACCAACTTATGTTATCATACTGTACCTTACATACCCACCTGTACTGATGTAGACCAATTTATTCAGCCTCCATAGTTTATGAACTTGTACTCTACTTTGTTTTTTCTGGTCAATACAGTCTTAGCATGTTTTTGTTAAGTTACTGAAAAGTTGAACAATTTGGATTCGTTTCGCTTCTGAACTGTAAACTTGATGATTTTTATGTTGTAATAATTGATTAGTATCATTCTGCAAAGTGTTTTATCATTTCCGCCGATATGAACTTTGACACTGGTAGTCTAAATATTGCTGATGAAAATAATTTGTATTCTTTTCATATTTTCCCATCTTTGTTTCTCGCAATCTTTAAGAACGATCAAAAATGGCGGTAAATTCTTTCTGACTTTCAACCCATAAAGCACATTTTTTACTTTTCATTTATTTGTACTAAATTGTACATTCTAGGTAATTATTCCCAAATATGCAAAAACATAAATTTTTGCTAAAAAAAAATCAAATAATCATGTTTTTTATTATGATTTAATATTGAAGTAATATTCTGGAATCATGTTCTAATCAAAAAGCACTTAAGCTTATGTACATAGTGACGTCATGATTATGACGTTATATTACAGTGCCACGTATTATGATAGAAGTGCACTTTGCCCTTTTTGCACTAATATTAACCTTGATTGTTACCATTTTGTAAATAATTGTCAAGTGTGGGCCATAAATGGAAGGCGCCCGAACGCTGCTTTTCCATGTATTGTCCAGGTTTGACTCTATGGTGACTAACACATATATATATTGTTAGTCGTCGCTGTAACGCTGTACTGATCGATGATTATGTATTAATATATAACTGATGATCGTTTTATTATGTATATTCCAATAGAGATAATGACTTTTATTTCGGTTTGTTTGTGAGGAACGTCTGAAGGCGACGTTCGGGTGTGCGGCAGGGTTGTGTACTTGGAAGCAAACTTTTTTGCATTTATGCCAGCGTCGAACTGCAGGAGTCGTAATTGTCAAGTGTACCAAATTATATCAACCTAGAGTGCCTTAGACCAAAATTTGTATACGGCAAACGAAACAAGCCCGAAAACTTGTACTGCTTTTTTGTACTTGGGAAGAAAATACAGTGTAGAAACTTCACAATATTGATGCATATCTTGCAGTTACAAGTTATAGATTTAGAATATTCCGATTTGAAACAGACTTTTCATTTGAATTTGATTTCTATCTACAAAAATTATAGTATTAGTAAATAATGAGTGTATGCGATATTTGTAAATTAAGAATAGTTGAAGTGATACTGGTACATAGATCCTACTCTGATAGCAATATCATAAAAGTTGTTTCTCCAACAAGCCCATTCCACGAAAAGTACCCTCGCAAAACAATTGCCTCAAAAGTCGTTTGCCCAAAAACCACAATGCTCAAATGTTCCATTTTCGCAAGAATTCATCATGGCGATTATTCGTTCTCACTGAAATCTATTCGCGCAAAACTTTATTTTCTCTTATGCGCATTCCAACAAAAACATGCGTGGCTATGTACTACGGGTTTTCTATGGCGACATACCACCCACACAGAATTATGATTTAAAAAACTCTGCCCTTACATTGTATCCGGTAAATGGACAAAATGACAGACATTAATCAAGAATTTCATGTTTTTAATTCGTTAAGGACTGAATCAGTTCACAGTTTATTGTCAGTCAGATGCGACATATAAATGAAAATAACTAGCATGAAAAACAGAAAAGGAATGAAAGTTATTGTATTTTCCCGCACTAAACGGACATAAGTTTCCGTAATAAACGCTATTAATGTAAAATAGTTTCTCGAATTAAAAGATCTTGTCGTATTTTTTCTGATTGTCAATTCATGGCGTAATGTCGGCAATAATTTTCCTATGGGTATTGTTAACTTATTTTAATCGAAGACACTGGAAACGCGAGACCAAAAATGAGCACGTATTTTCGTTGCAAACGTACTCGTCTAGATTATAAACCTAGTTTACAAATATTTGCCTAACCACTGTTGTAAGCATAATAAAAAAAAAACGCATGGGCGTCTCTCTTTGAATCCAATCTAGTTCAGGGGTGGGTAAATTGAAGTTTTCCATTCAGCTGAAGTTTTCCATTCGGCCCACTTTTACCTGCTGAAATTACAACTAGTTTTTATGGATATGAATTTCCGGTACATCAATTTCAGTACTTCAATTCTTCTGTCTATATTCACGTCACTTGCTAATCTTCCAATTTTATCGACAGCATCTCCTGCAGCAAATACCTATTGCTTTATATCAGTGAAACGATCCGACAGGCAGTTATTTGGTTTGATGGATTATTATCGATGCCAGCCAAATAAACTGTTTTCATTCACAGTTTCATGTTGAGTTATAAACCTCCGGCCCAGTAACCAAGTCTATTATCTGTGAGTGACCCACTTAGGAAAGTAATTGCCCACTCCTGATCTAGTTGTACCACGCAGGATTCAAAAATATAGTTCAAAGTTATGACGTTGTTTTAAAGTTTAGAAAGTAATGGCAGATATACTCAAATGTAGCGCTTGTTCTTCTTCCAAGTCTTTTGGCTCTTTGTTGAGGTTTTTATCGGAAACGTGATATCCGTTACCGTTCATTTTAGCGGGCTCATCGTCGTCGTCGTCTTCTTCGGCAATAGCATCCAACTTTTCTGCTTTCTTTTTCATTGCATCGGTCAAATTTAACTGTCTCGTGTATTTTCGCCCGTAGATGAATAAGTAAATTGGAAGACCAAAGCCTGATATGCTTAGTATAAGAAGTCCAAGGTTGATCTGAAAAAATATAAACGATGACTGCTGATTCAAAGCCACACGGCTTCCATGATTCCGTGACTATAAGTTATAATAGTACATAGAACATAGCCAGCTTTTGTCTTTTGGCAAACACTAGGATAATGCATGAAATCCCAGCATGGAGACACCAATTTTCTGCTATGCACATAAATATAAGGTATGTGTGCATGCGGAAGTCGATGGTGTTATTTTTCTTTAAGTTTTAAGGCAAGCTGTGTTTGGTAATGAAGCTTTTCTATGGTACTTATGAATAAAAATAAACATAGAAAATCTAAGAATAGATAATTAGGATATTTTCGAGTAGATGAAATCAAATAGATTATTTGGTTAACACCTTATGGTTGCCATTACGGTACTCTCGTAGTATATGTACGAGGTTACGGTTAGGCCCAAATTTTATTCCGATTTCCCTTAAACTTTCCGGTTGAACTGAGGTTTCAAAATTAGATACCTCCATATTGGTACATCTACATACACTTCTGGAGCGTCGCCATTCCTAGCAGGACATGCGAGATTAGCTAACACGCACCGTAGTTTGAGTTTTAGATACACGAACTAGACTAGATTGAAGTGAGAAACTGTAGGCAATAAGCAGTTACATATATCATGATCTCCCGCGGGATTCAAAGTTGCAATTTGTTGTCATATTCACATTTCAATTATCCACTTACCCAAAAAGGATCTCCTCCGAGGGAATTGTTGATTACTACAAATAGAGGATCTTGAATTAAAATAAACAGTGCAGAAAGAAAAGATGAAAGTCCAGTTAACTTTCCAAAATGCGAAAAATGATACCTGCAAAATTAAAAGACAATAGTAATTTGAAGGCGTATGAATGAATCCTAATTTTTTTAGTATTGTCAATTTGTTGGCTGATGATTTTCTCGTGCTCTAAGACTAGTGACAGTGTAAACTCAAAATTCATATAAAATATGGGCATTATTAATACACATTTTTGGAGATGGTCTTCTCATATTAGGTAGAATACACCTCGTTGATGTCAATTACGACTCATGGCTGGTTTCTCCAACAATACAATTTACTTACATGCAAGCGTATAATCCCCCAAGAGATGAATGCAGAAAAGTTCGAATGGCAGTGTGCATTACAAAAGCAACCACCTGCAACAATAAATAAAACTGTAAGTCTGTCCCTTTTATCAAAAAAAAATATATATATATATTGCGTCACACTTACTTGTAAAGGAAGGCATTTTTCAAACATAATTATGATTCCGAAAGTGACCATCAGAAGATTGGTCAGTCCAAAAGCCATCATCAAGTTCCATATGATCTGACCTTTTCTATCTTTTCCGTTACTAAAATGACAAACAAAAACCAACATTTTTCAATAAAAACTGAACAATATGGTATATATATACAATTGAAATCATTTTACTATCTTATGTGATGCGAAAATGAAGCGTATTCAATAGGCAATATTTCAAATACATTTCACGCTTGGATAAGAATCTAGAAAAGTATATATATATATATATACGATCTTTCATGCAATTAAGTTACGAATTTTTTGCATTGAAAATGAAAAAATTTTGATTACCGGTATCTATTTTCTCAAATTTGAATGATTTCAAGCTACTAAAGACTTTTGAGATCTCTACAAAACAACTAGTACAACTTACTGTCTGACATCCTCATTTTTGAATAGTTTTAACTTCCAATCCATAATGGTGCCAATTATAGGAGCCATGAAAAAGCAATTGACTTGCAGAAGCCCGAATATGAAAGTGTATTTTTCAACTAAAATGTCAAAAAATGGGTTTTGTTACATTCACAGCTCATTCTACAAGTACAAGTTTTGCACAATTAAACTCCACAAAATGAAAGTTAAATTTTACAGTTTGCTACGCATTTATTAAATAATTTCGATTTTGTCATTATCAATGCTACTTTCACCAAAAAAACAATGCCAGCCGCGTCAGCGTTTTTTTATTATCTTAAACTATATGGAACGGGTAGATTCCGACCCTATGGGGGGGGGGGGGGCAAACATTTCGCCCACCTAGACTTGCGGGCCGTGTAAGTGTGACGTGAAACGTTACATTTTATGAACAATATGTTACAAAAGCAAAAGTGGAAAACAATAAGACTCGTGCCAAAACTAAATTTAATCGCAATCTCAACAAATTCAGTGAGCTTTTTTTTAGCTAAAACATCAAAACTTGGTTTTAGTTTGGTTGCGGCAGCATCAGATGAGCCAGATTCAATCACCCAGCGGGCCGGATTTGGCCCGCGGACGGTGTTTGCCAATGTCAGGGGTAGACTCTTCCCTTCTCCAGTTTACCAACAACTGAAAGGTTACAAGACATTATTCTAGTATCATTGTGTCTTACATATTCTTACCAGTCTCATCTTTAGTTTCATGATCTAATTCATTAAGGTCAGCAGCTGCCTTGAAATACATTTCCATCCATCCCATGTATGCGATTAGGCGGAGTTGAGTTAAACTAATTGTCAAAAAACTCCACAATACACATGGGGTTACTATAACTCGGATAAACGGGTCGATTTGGGAGCTATTTTTGTTTTTACTGATGTCCATCCTATGAAAAAGTAGAATGTTTAAAAGTGAGAGAAAAGGGAGATCATAAACGAAGAAGGGAAAACGATAGAAAACTTACAGCGACTCAAGTGGATCAATATCAATGCTACTCATTCGTCTTCCAACACTTGATGTATGATGTAAAAATTGTTTTCCTGATATTTTATGATCAAACTTCAGATCTCCAAAATTGAATTTGATTCTGCAAAAGAAACAAAAAGACTGTAATGTGTGGCACCTACCATATGGGACCAGCACTTGTGACAAGGATAACACATAGAAGTCGATGAAAAAAACTTCAAAAATCATACGGGGGAAACATGGCATCGGGAATTCAAAAGAATTTAAATTGCAACTCACGCATAGGTAATATCATCGGGTCCCGGTAAAGGTTCTTGAGGTATATTCATATAACAATTGATAAATGTAAAAAATCCTAAAATTGCATGAAACATCATCAACCATGCAAATGGTATACCGGTATCATAAGCAGCCTGAATAAAAATGAAAAAATAAAGTTACAATCTGGAATTACCCTATTAAAAGGACTTGAACCCGAACCACATACTCACTTTGAATAACATATAAATCACTGCAGACGCAGAATATGATCCGATCATTAACGCGATCATGGTAGAACGAATATTTTCGAATAAATTTGGTATTTGGAAGCTTGTAAACACGTACACAATTCCTCCCATACCATTAAGACAAACGGCTGGTGCCATAAGAAAACTGTATCCTGTAAAACAATATATATAGCAATGCTTAAATACAGGACAGGCGTTACGCGATTGCAATACGTGAGGCCGCAGTGGGCTCCAATTTTTCATAGGCTCCGCGCTAACTCTTGGTTTAAGTTATTATTACATTCAACCATTGTAAATAACAAGAGAGCAATGCTCAAATAAATCCACACAAAGACCAAAACCAAGTAGTACGGGTATGCAATCTTCCACAGTAAAATACCGGTACCGCAATCTTCACGACTTCGCTTGACCACCAGATTTCAACGAATGCAAACGCGGAACCGCCACAAGATGCGCAATATTTAATTTTGACACACACAAAAAACGAAATCCCACAGAGCCCACAGAAATTGGAATGAATAAAAGCAATAGCCTTATGGCGACAAATACAATTTTTAACCCCGGCAAATAAATTTTATAGCAATTGGTGCAGTAATTAAAAAGAAATGCGACTTTAACATACCAACAAGAATACGAAAAGAAAGACGTCCAACAAGAGGAACAACAAAATAATAACAAAACGATCTATATATACATTTCGTGTCCCACAAGGGAAAGATCCTCAAATATATAGTTACAAACGTCGCGTACCGGTATAAAATTTTTGCCACAAACCGTACCTTAATCCGATGAAATAAGTGTATAATGTTCAATGTTTTTGGAAGATGGCATTCAAATTCTCGGCATATATAAGCAAGAATGAAGAGTCTCAGAGAAGGAATGTATTAAAAGTTTGGACACCTCTGCCGTACAATATTTCAACGCTATTACAATTTTTCATTACTTACTGTCGGTGTCGAGAGATCCAATTGCAAAACATGCACAGGACAGCATAAATGTCCAGCTGTTAGAAAATAAAATATCTTTGTCATACTGCCAAAAGTAAAAGATAAAAAGAATGGTTGATATTGGACGCTGTGTCTTGCGATAAAACACGCGTAAAATGGTTTCGTGGTTAGATTTTACATCAAGTTATGTAAAGGGACTGAAACCTATGGGCAGGGGGTATATTCACTTGGCTAACACAGACAGTCCCCGAACTCATAATAGAACTAAAATAAGAAAAATCGAAATAAAATGATGGCCTAACCCTAACCTGGTACACACACTACGGAAGTACCTATTTTGGAGCAAAAATGTCAGTGCCAAGTCGGAGAGATTCCTGTCGAAAGATAGGAACTCTTTGCGTGTCATTGTTTGCTGATATTAGGGTAGATTCGGGGTGGTGTGAAAAAGCCCTAAAAAATTTGTTTGTAGTATTGCCGCCCAATATCATATATCTATAGAAAACGGAAGTGACAAATTACTTAATATAAACGTCTATTTCGTTGACGACACAATGGTTCCCTATGTTAAGAAACTATTCTAATAGGTTAACCTTGTTTTCGAACTGTGTTGTTGTCGTTTGCCGAAAATCAAATGAAATTCATTAGAATAATGTTCCAAATATCAACTCAAGCATATCCAAACGAAGCTGGTGTGAATTTAAACAATAACAACGAAAAACGACCTTTAGACTCTTGAATAATGTATGAACTCGAGTAACCTTTTGTTTTCTTCAACAAATGAACGCGAATAACCTTTAGTTATTTTGTTTCAGCCTTAAAATAATATTTTACGGCTTGCTATCGTCAAATCTGTCAGATTGTAACACCACGGTATTCAAGAAAACACGGGCTGACTATTCAAGTATTCACACAAAGTAATATGGACGTGGATTACATTAGAAGTTCGCGTTAAATCGTGCACTGTATTTAACTAGCGGAAATCTTTGCAAGTTCGTCCTACCTAACAAGCGAAAACGGTTGTTTTTGATTATACTTTCCCGCGATTACGTTAAAAAAATATATAAACGCCCTGTCGATATATTATAATTATTGATTACCAAGAAGTTTTGCTTATAACTTTCGAGAAAAATAATATTTTCACATGGGTTCACCCCATAGGAGTAGCTGACGTGCATATGTATGAAATATAATTCGATCACGAATAAAGTCGAGATCCAAATTCATTTACATACTTACCATCCAACCATTCTCATAACTCGTGATCCATACTTGTCCATGATTATACCGAGAACAACAGTTACTGCACTGAGAAGACTAGATCCAATAGAAAAATACCGGTTCAAGATTTCGTCTTGTGCTGCACATGTTGGATGCTGGAATTCAGATTCTGTGGGAGTTGAGTTCTGTTCGAAAAATAACATTACACAGTTTTGATACACGATTCGCGATTACTTTGAAAATAAAAGACAATCTTTACAGCTAAGTGGACTTTCACGAGCTCTGTCATACAAAAGATTTGAAAAGTTATATAATAACAGGGATAGACAAGAACGAGGTGGCCAGAAAATAGAAATAAAACATTTTAAGGAATCATATTCATCATCCAGTGTGACGTAAAAAACGCCGCAGTGAAATGAAGGGTTGCCATCGCCAGATGAAACCATAGATGAAATTCGCCCGTATAGGGTGGTTAGAAATAGAGATGTACCGATGTATCGGTATCGGGTAACGGTATCGGCAATATCGGCCAATTTTTCGGTATCTGTAATGTATCGGTATCGGCTACATTTAGACCGATATTTCCGATATATTTAGCTTCTCAATATGATACGGAATGTTTTAAGGTTAGAATACTAATCTTGAAATTATTTTTTGCTTGGACATATCGTGAACTATGAGCCATGCACGTCCCCAACCCCGCTAGTAGAAACGAGAATCGGATTCTGATCTGTTTTTAGCCATTTATTAGCCAAACCGGCTCAATCAATTTGAGTATTTTCGCTGCCAAATTTTTATATTACAATTTTTAAGATATATTACATGGTAATTATGAAGAAATATATCAATCGAATATCAGTGGATTTTCCGATATGTAAAATATAAAATATGACGTTATATTGGCACAAAATCCTGCGCACGTGACTCAATGTATCAGTTTCATACAATAAGTAGGCGAAACATTTATTTATTTTACTACCAACTGTAGCCAAATTCTATTAGCTTTCTAATTGAAGACCGAAATTACTAGCGCCAGTGCGCAATGCATCTGAATTATTTAACGCATTTCGATACCAAACATCTACTTCTTCTTCTGTCTTGCACACTTGAGGTAATAATTACGTAGTATAAGAATATCGGTATCGGAATATCGGTCGTTTTCGAATATCGGCGTATCGGTATCGGCCTTTTTAGCGGGTATCGGATCGGTATCGGCGACAAAAGTGGTATCGGTACATTTCTAGTTAGAAAGCGATATATAGAAACTAAAGAATTCAGTAGCGAGATTTCCTCTGAACCCAAATCCATTTTCCGGCCTTTGAAGAAAAGTGAAACAACCCATTTAGTGCAATAGCGTTATTTCACACTTTGAGCCAACGCCCGCTCAACATAAAACTCAAGGCCGTATTTATTGATATTATATTATTATCAAAACCAGACTTCGCGATTAGTCTTTATTATGGTGCCTGCTATAAATTTCGCATTCGTCCTTCAATAACGATAAGACAATATTATAACTCTTCTACAATAAACTATTCTACGCGCATGATCTTGGTATAGCTTCCAATTTTCTCACTATTTTATTACGCGAGTTCGTCGAAGTTCATGTTTGAATTCTGGGTAGCTTGAAGTCTCGGCTCAACAGTGTCCCATACTTGGCCGGGTACGATTTTTCGGCCACGTTAAGCAAATTCGTCAATATTAAACTAGTGTGACGTAATAAACGTCGCAGTAAAATGTTGTGAAATCACGTTCTGAGTGTTTGTAATTGAACGACCTGTCGTCCGTTTGAAAAACAATATTATTACTCAGCGAAATTGTCGCACGGAGACAATAAAATACATTTAATACGCACTATATAGCACAAACTATCGTATTTTCCATATGCTGGTGCGAGTAATCATGTTAACTAATTTTCATTATTTTTTCTATGCATATATACATACTAACATACATGTATATAATATTGGAAAGCCTTAGAATTTTTATTTTTTTTTATTCAAACAGCGATTCGAATTATTAAGTTTTAAATTCGACAACCGCCGAGCAATCAATCACTTCGCTTTTGAAGTTTTGTTAGAATATGTATTTCATATGTTGATTCTTTCTAAATTAAATTTTATAGTTGGTGAAGAATTATTATGAATCTTACTGTTGGGATATTTCCCATTCAATTTACAGTAGTATGAAATAATGGTTCAATAAATCTCCCGGATTATGATCCATATAATTTTACCAGTGAAATTGTAGGATAGATATATTTCATTTAAATGTATTTTTTAAATACAGTACTAAAATAATTTGAAAAGCAAAATTAGCTCCCGTACTGATCCTATGATCATAGTTAATCACGCTTTCCTGTAATTTATCCGATAATTTTTCGAGTATGCAACGAGCTCGTTTGAATTCGTGCCTCCGAAAAAGAAGGCAAATCTAAGATAGCCATATCACAATTTTGAATTGCAGGGCAATTGGGGTCGTTTCCATCGGCCCATGCTTGATGTGTTAAAAAAATAAAACGATTTTCGAAAGGTGACATTTTATTTGTTCGCTGATAACAAACAGTTTAGCGGTTGCACAATGCGGAACTAGGATTACATAAATCCTATTTTCACTTTTCTGTAGTAATTTCTATATGTTTCTCAGGGATTACACCTGTACAAATTCTCTGCAAAATGTGTACTCAGAAATGAAAATTCCAAGTTATAAAAAAAACTAACAAAAACCGAAATAGGGAAGCAATAAAAATCTACTTACGGTCGAGGTAAACATGACTGGCGCTGGTGACGTCGCATTTGGTGAGGTAGTGTTATATAATGTTCCGTTTTCATTTTCTAAAAAAGCAAATGTATAAATACATACATGTACTAAGCGCAAAACAATCAGTCGATTCGGAATATGCTGCCTATCTTGCGCAATGAATATCAACAAGATTTCGTCCAACAAAATTAACAGTTTAGTAGAAACGGGATATGTTAACCCGAAAAGTAAATTGGATTTTTGTGGCTACGATTTAGATCCCCATTGAGTCTTGTCGCAACCCGACCCGATATCAGCACAGGAATAATGTCGGTAACTTTCCCGATTCTTAATCGGCCTTCCCAACGGCTGAACGGCGAAGATCAATACTATTATTGAGGTGGTATCCTGGTGACACGGGTCGAGGATTTCTCATTACTTTTAAAGATATTCATTCTGCAGTTTTGTCAATATTCTACCCTTAATTATAGAGGGTGAAAAGCCAATACTTACCTTCGATACAAAGGTTTGAATAAAACCCTTCTTTTTTCAACATTAACAGTAACGAACTCCATCCAAGTAATACAGCCGCAAACGTCAAATTTTCTATAACCGCTGTTATAGCTATCCACCATTTTCTGTGCTTAGCTTGAGCTAATGTAGGCGCCATAGTAAATAAGAATATATATTCTCTAGAAATAACAAAATTATAAACAAAAAATTATTATCAAAAATAAAAACATCGTCAATGTAATTCCATACTTTGTCACCAAATTATTCCGTCTACTTAACTGTAGATAACATTTAAATAATAGCTGAACTTTGAGGCGTACTTGATACACATGAATCAACTGAAAATGTTCTAGAAAGTCACCCACGAAAACAGAAAACACGCAATCGACATCACATATGACATTACTAATGAAAACGTACCGGTATTCAATTCTTAGACTATGAAATTTCTGCCAAACTAGGCTACAATAACATACATGTAACAAAGCCACTCTTGCGCGTTTTGTGTCATGCAGCATTCCAATTTCTCATAAAAGTTTTCTCTACAAATTTTTTAATTGCCACCGTACTTCCGCAGAATAAACCAGTGACCATTTGTTCTCAATTGACGCCACATTTGCCACAGACTTCATTCGCGCGTTGATGTCTTTTGTCTGCTGCGTTGTTTACAGCTTTCGGACACTAAATCGTAACGGCGTGTGTGACTCGTTGTTTATTTCAGACTACAATTTCTTTGTCTGGCTTTGAACTCTTGCATGAGTTCTTTTACGCAGATGCAACAATATTTAGGACCAATTTTCAATATAGTTGAAATAAAGATACGAATAATCGTAATAATTTACTTAGTATTTAAACTGTTTCCTTTCCTTTTCACAATGTGAAATACCGTTGTCACAGTAAAACACAGTTTGTCAGATTTGACACGAGTGTCAAAGGTTTGTTAATTGAGCTTCAAAATAATACACTAGTAACCAAGTAATAAAATATTCCTATGTCGCATTATCATAACCGTAAAACTAAATTTTCAATTCGAAGAGCGTCCATAAAATACGGCCACGATCCACGACCTCCATCACGTTCAGTCAGAAGGCAACTACACTTCAACCAAATGGGGCTACCGCAGTAAACAAAATATATTTGCACTGAAGTACTTTGCAAATCTGCTATCAATGTAGACCAATATACTCATATCATACCCTGCCGACTGCTGCCTCGTGATGACCTGTCATCTTACTTTGCTCAAGTAGCTAAATGTAAATACCCTTATTATTTCGCAATGTGTCGAGCCACATGTAGAAGGTATTATTCATATAATACCTTATTGTTCAACATTAGGAATGTAAAATTTACTTACTCTCTACTTTAATGCAGAAAAGTATCAAAAATAATGTCTGATCTTGCTCGCAAGACGCTGTGATTTTACATTTTCTCCGCGAATTACTGTTTTTTTTTATTACGACGATTGAATGATACTAAAATTCTATTAGGTTTTACATTATTTTCTCTCGATAACTGACTGATAGTTTCGAAATCGTGAATTATTTAATGGTCTCTTGGTTCCATATGTTCCTCGATGTAACGCCCACTCATCAAAAAATTAATTTACCAGATCAACATAATATATTACGTTATGACATTATTTATTGTCTTCCGCTTTTCAAGAATGCGAAGTTTTAGAAATATGATTCTGAAAGGCTAAAATTCAGTCTGGAAATAGTTTTTCAATCTCATATATGAATCTAATTACCACCTAAAAAACAACACGAAAACAAAAACATACTAATTTTTTTCTCAAATTTTAACAACAATAATTTTTGGTCGTAAGTAGAACATGATCGCATAAAAAACAGTAATTCGAAGTTTTTGTTTCAAGCACACGATCTACCAACTATATTTTGCGCCTGCTTATATTATAACATGTAACCCTTTTCCAGGTAACTAGCTTTTCTCATCTCGTTTTTACTCACATCTACTTGTTTAAAGGCTCGAAACTTGCTCTGCAAACGATGGGAAACAACAGTTGACCATAATAAACAATTCTTCAACAGTTGTACTGCGGTAGCAAGCGGAAATATAATGTGCGCTAATCGGAAGGAGAAAGAACAGATGTGGCAACACAAACTTTACTTCGTGGTGGTGACCAACACAGAACACTCCAATGTACATCAATTTCGCTGACTGATTCTGACTTGGAAGAAAACTGACCAAGCAGTCACTGGTAGGTTGTATATGAAATATTAATAAAATTTATCATTCGCATTGTTCACTGTTGTTTGTTCAGGTATTTCACACAGTGTGAATGCAACGCTTGCATATATTTTGTTTACACAATCTGCAGTCGACCAACCGCTTGTCGTCCATTTCCACCTCCCCTTTTAATTAAATACGACTCAAACAGGTACGGAAGGTATGGGAATAAAAGGCCAAGTTTTTACTACAACGAATTTCTTGCTTATCTCCATGAACAAAGACACAACTTTGTCGGCACATTTCCATCTGTGCAGCTCAAGTCATCAAAGTTTAACTAACAGAAAAATAAATGATTCGTCGGCATAATGACGGCGCTTGTGCAATTACTCATAACACCCGTATTGCGAAACTGTTTGCGTCGTATTTTGTGTTGACTAGGCACCAACACCCGTTTTATTGACGTCCCTTGTTTATGACGAGCACGTAAGGAAATACACGCTCAATGCATGACCCAAACATGGCTTTTATTTGCGAACTCAAATTGCGAAATAGATAGATTTGCCACAGTGGACGATCATTTTCATTCGGCACGGCACAAAGCTGCAAATGGCGTATAAGATTTGGTTTATCGACCACAGAATTTGTTTTAGTTTGAATACCGACATCGTAATGAGTTGGAGACATGACAACTAGAAATACATTTCGTATTCCATGGAATTGCGATAGCAAAATCGTGGCATTTAGGAACATATCTTTGCAGCCTGGTATATACATACTCATTATCCTTTTTTTTCATGGAGTATTTATATCAAAATCGTGGCATATACTCAATTTAAAATGCAAACACTTCACTACAACTGGCTAAAGATGACATTCTATCTGCAGACAATACGTATCATGTGTAAACTCAAATCTACTAGACTACATTCCTATTCTCTATTAGTTGAATGGGAACTAACAAATGTTATTTCATTTATTAGCTGTTCACTGTGCTTCAATCAAATTCGAAAAGCAAGTCTGGACGATTGGATGTGCCTTCGATACCACGTACTTGTTTATTCAATAAATTTATGAAAGATCAAAATCAATACTGACGTTGCCAGTTATAATTATGTATTGCTAATCCGGAATGTGTTTTTATTTTCACAAACAACATCAATCACCTGGCATCTTATTGATCAGTTTTGTGGCAGAGATTGATTTGGATAGGGAAGATGTAACACTTTTATAATTGCATTTAACTCGTTCAAACATTTCTTCTTAAAGGTGGGTACTTTTGCTCTGACTACTATTAATATTTCTGTAATGGTTGTAAGCAACGCATTATAAAATTCGCGAACGCAAAATTTAAATTTGAAACAATTTATGTTAATAACGAGTATCAATGTTGCCAGAACTTAAATCTTGTTTTGGAGCAAATGAGCGTGGAAAAGCAGTCACCACATCGGACGAAAATTATGGTCAATACCTCTAATCACGTTTTATTTTTCAGTTTTATGTAGCGGCTCAAATCGTAATCCCTCGTATGTATCGTTAAACCACACTTCTGGCGTTTACGCAACATGTTTATTGTGTTACGAAACCCAAAGGGGGCAATTAAAACAGTCTTTCCTCCTGGTTCAAATTTATGAGTACTGAGAATAGCGAACACACATCACTTCTTTTGGAAAATTTTGTATACTTTGACCTTCAACCGTACTTTGAGGTTTCTTAGCTATACTGATTCTGTAATTCATTTTGTTTTAATTCATTATTCCTCGCCTTTCATGTTGATTATGCAGTCAAAATAAATTTATACTTGTGCACCGGGGTGCCAGTCCAGTCGGACTTGCAAACTAAATATAAAGCAATAAATATAATACCTAAATACTTATATGGGTAACAGCAGCCTCGCTATACAAGCAAACAAGAGAGCTACGCCCAAATATATGGACACGTCTGTTCGCAGTACAGTACGGTTTACCGCACCGTCAGATCACAGTCTACAAATATATTCACACCAAGCGAAGCAGTACAGTAGGACACAAAATGGCGTCCGTTGTCCTCAGAACGTTTAATGACGTCATAGCAAACAAAAACAAATCTCACAGAGCTAACAGAAATATTTAAAATGAATAAAAGTAATAGCCTTCTGGGGAAAAATTTTATCTTCAACCACTGAAAATTTCAAAGCAATTGGTCCAGTATTCGAAGAGAAAAGCGATTTTTTTAAAAATGATGGAGACAAATAACAATAACAACAAAATTTTGAAACGGTCGTTATGTCCACTACGTGTCCAATAACATTACAATTATGCAATTAAGTTGGTATATAATTATTAAAAGGAGCACTGACGAAAATGACATTTTTACGTGGTATATTCCACTCTGAGAGAATACAGATATTTCCACAAACCCACATATTTATTGAGCACTTACAACCGAAATGACCCTAATATCGCTAGACAAACTTTAGCACTTTGACTGATGACGTCATAATACGATTTTATTTCAAATAATAATTTCCATTTGTTCGTAAAATGACGCTAAAACGAGTCTGGCATTGTTTTGTTGAATCCCAATTTGCGCATACGTTTGGAATCATATCATTGCCAATTATCTCGGCAAGTTTCTCAACTTGCAACCGGGTTATCATGGAAACGAAGGTATTCAAAAATCCACAATAACCCATACCTTTGTGGTGGCCAAATATAAAGGGCGTAATGTAATAGTAAATTCACGTATTTTCATATGTTTTGTTTTGTAGATGTAAAGAAATTCTATAACATAGTATCTGCGTATATTTTATGTATTATATTGGAAATAAACAGATTAAGCATTTTCACATAGAGGTATCTTTTCTTGTGGCAAATTTCCAAGGTTTTCCAGATTACTCGCTCTCACGGTTCTGCAGTACCGGCAGGCGGCGTATAAGAGCACAACAAATACGGCAAACATGCAGACAACAATGGCGGACATCTTTAGACCTTCGACGTCGATGTTCTCTGCGTTTTCGATTACTAATTTCCATTTTCGCAAAATGGAAGGAATGGTTCTGTGTGGAACTTCTGGAACAAAAGCAGATAGATTACAAATTTATTACAACAGTTTTTTTTTAATAAAAGCAGCAGGGCAAAACTAAACACATACTTAAGCGAAGAGAGTAGTAACGCGGAAACGGTACAATATAAAAACGAGAATATCGGTCAGAGACCGAAGACTTATCGATCGAAAGTTAGGGGATCTCCTAAAACAGCGCTCTTACTCCATTGTGACACTTTGTGTCCCATCACTAATTAATTAATAACTCGCTAATTATACGACATAATTCGCCCAAAATAATAGGCTTTTGGTCCGAGATATGATGAATGCACATGCAAAATCTGGAGCAGATTCAATCTCGCTTTCGTGAGATATCGCGTACATCTAACAGACATACACACAGACAGACAAATACCTATCAACATACTTACCGATTAAAATCGATAGGTAAAAACACCGGTACCAGAAAATACTACTATTCAAATATGACATCATTAGTAGTACAATGCAATTTGGGTGAGGGGATTAAAATAGTTAGATTGTTAGAATATAATAGACTCAAAAAATTTAGAATAACTCGAAGAATCTTTCTAATAGGAAATTTTATAATTCCAAAAGCACTATTAATATATTTTTAATTTCGAGTGCCTCCAAATGAAAATAATCTACTGAAACCTATCGTTTATGTTAAGTTTTATACAGTCTGCGTTAGAATATACCTGTTGAAGTCGGCATCTCGTCAAGGTCTTTTCTCAGGCACGTTTGGTCATCGTTTTGCAAATGATAGTCTGAGTAGCATCTACAAGCTCGCGAACCGTTAATGACAGTGCATATCTGCTCGCATTCAACCGGTTCCTTCTGGAGTTTTATTGTTGATTGTTAACATATATATCATTGAAAGATATAGAACTTAATTTAAGTATTAAAAGCAACATGACTCAATATTTATTCATTTTAGTTATAATGCCCATGAACATCAAGCTCTTTAATTTTTTACAAAAGTTTTTACTTTGATAGAATAAGTCAGAACTAGACTACTACCGGTAACATTACCAAACAGATAGAGTCCTTTATTGCAATTGATATTGGAGATATTGCAGATGAAGTATAATTTGTCCTTCCCTGCTGCTGTTCTGTCCCGTGTCGTAGTCCCGTGGAAAAGATACTGCGCTTTTTTCTTGCGGAACAACTCTATATATAAAAAATTACAATGCTTATCATATATAGTTTAGCTCTTAATGTTGAGGAAGCAGAGGAAATACATCAATGCTGCTGGAACTATAAGCTTGGTAATTCTACCTAAACTCATATCTTGACTGACTAGAACAGGATGCGTGATCAGTGGAATAGCATGTTAGGTATAATGACAGACGATTTTCAGGCACATCTCCTGCAATATCTAACTTACTTGTGTCGTACATCCCGTCTGTGCAGTTGAATCACAGAACGCTAGACTGCAGTGAACATAGATTTCCTGTCCGGATACAGAGAACCCAGTCCACAAGAACGAACGCACTCCGAACACAACTGTATCAGAGGCATAGTTTTCAGTCACGGTTACTCCGGAATCTGCGTATAATGTTGCTTCAGGACATCTGAAAATATAACATTTACAAACTATATCATAAATTTGTAAACAAATATTTTGCCTAAGATGAAGCTTTAATCTTGTCAAAAAGTCATGAATTTTATCCCAAAAATATTTTTTGACAGTATTCCTCCCGGATCGTTCGGTTTTGTGCTTATAAGGATCTGTTAGGCTACTTCTATAGGTCCAACAAAGGGTGAGTGAGTTTCATGCAAAATATATTTAGATTAGTTCGTCAACCACAGGCGCCACTCTTCGTCTTCGTCACTTTTCGTTTAATTGAGTTGTTATTTTCCCTTTCCGTGAGATTTACTAAATTGTCAATTCGACCTGTGGTTACTGTATGCCTACATCGGACCGGGAATAACTTAAATATAAACCTCACCCGCCAACAATTAAATCGATCCTTTCACTATTCGTTGAGTCTGACGTAGGCGTGGCCCAGCAATATTCGGCCTAGTTTAAAAAATTGAAACAAGGGTTTACATCCCAACGTTATATGATTATTTGAATCTTTTGTAAAATGTAGATGTACTAATGTAAAATAGGGGAATTTGAGTAAAACACCCACGCTACGTTTTAATCAATATATATCTAGTTGGGTCCAGGTTAGGAGGATTTGAAAATTTGCATTTTCAGCGCTATCTGTATTCCTTATTACCCTAACTGGATAATTACTAAATTTTATTCTGAGCGGTGGCGAGAGTGTTTTTTTGGTGGGGGCTATCTAGAAAAGATCCTAGTATTTTAAACAGATTTAATTTATCATTTAAATGAGGATGTGCGTCTACCGTCTGACGAATATAAGCAAGAGAGATGGGCGGGTCTGTTTAGGCGTTCACCGCCAACAAAGTTCACGTATCTGGAAAAATCAACAGATTTAGGGTTACCAGATGAGGTATTTCGTTTGGCTACATGATCTGAAACGTCTTATTTATTTTCTTTTTATCGGAATATATATTAGATTTCTGCATACTCTTATTTGAGCCGTATTCAGTGTGAAATACAAATGCAATACTACAGAAAAGTGAAACTAGTTTGTTAAGTCAATGTAGAATATACTTGTAATATCAATCCGACACCAGCCTTCTTGATAACCATTTTAATGTAAAAGAAATCTGGAACAGTGACGAGACGATTATCAGAGCTCAGTGAATTTGTGAGTGAACTGTCTGCAAATGCTTTCATTCTGACGGAGTACGAACCAGTGGAAATCTGATCAGTCAATTGGTAACTCCTGAAAACAAAATGTAGTTGTTAAATTACCTAATGGTGTTCCAGCACTATCCAGACATTCAACTTTTAGAGGCGCTTCAAAAGTGTGTACATCAATATGGAGGTAAATAATTTCGTTAGCCTACTTTACAGCAAGTTGTGTAAAGGGACTGAATCCTATGGGCTTTCACTTGGCTAACAAAGACAGTTCCCGAACTCGTAATAGAACTAAAATAAGGAAAATCGGAATAAAATTATGGTCTAACCCTAACCAGGTACACATACTACGGGAGTACCATTTTAGAAATAACGATGGAAGTATCGTCATAACAACAACAATGCAATGTTGGTAATATCCTCGTGTTTCATTGAATTAAACTCTAGAACATCATTTTTGCGAACCAAGCACACCCGAGAATGCCATTATCCGCAGAAATATATATTATGCTAATTACAAACATTTATTTTTGTCAGCTGTTGTTTATAGTTCTGGATTCTGATAGCATCGCCTATAGACAGACATCATATAGAAAGACTCAACTTTATAAACTCGACAACTTATATGTAGGCTACTATAATTTTTGACATTGTTACATTTTATTGCGAATTAGTACCTACCTTATCCGAAATGCAATAAATTAGGTAGACAATAGAATAACCGGAAAGATTACGGACCTTCAAAAATGGTAGCTCTCTCGCACCTCACTGGGTACTCATTCTAGGCGTTGTTCGGAATGGAAAATCTTATATATATTATATATCGGCGCTAGGCGAGATTGTGATAGTTGTAAATAATTTGTCTGCACCAGGACATTCATGTTTTAACTCATAAAATATCGATTTCTACCTGACAGGCTCCGTCAAAATTAATAATTTCCGAGTAGATTTAAAGGAACACTAGCTTTATTCACTATATATATCGTATCATTGCAATTGAATGTCTGCATGTATGAAAATTGTTTTTCACTGTCAGGTAAAAAGAGTGAGCGCATACAAACACACATGTGGTTGATTCGAATCCGCTTTTTTAATCCAATCTTCGGGTAAAGGTCCTCTTGGTGTTTCTTAGGATTCTCGTAAATTTCTTAGGATCATTTTCTTGTGTATAATCGCTTAAATCTACTGAATCGCATCTTGTAATTCGACATGAATTTCGAAAACACCAGCCGGAGCGAGTGTTCGAACCAGATACGGTGCCTTAGAAACAAGATGATATATTTCATGTGTATATTGGTGCTTGCCTATAACAGCGTCTGGTTTATGCAGTGGTGTGATTCAAAAAATAATAATAAACAGGTTTCCTCATTTAAGAAAATGTATGTATGTCGCTGTATAGGTAAGCTACATTAACATGACACTCTTACATATATATATATATATCTAATATATATATAACTTTCGAAACAATAAATAAACCGCCAGTCGTCAGCTGCGGGTACTTTACCCATTTGCTGCTATCGCCTAACTTCTATAACGAAAACAAGAACGGATTCACCTGCATCACATTACTTCGCACCAAGCCCCTAAGTCTCCGACTAATTTATTCCTCGCACTATGGGCCGGAATTGACTTTAAAACTGTCCGGCCTACGAAAGATTGCTTTTGCAATAATAATAAACTTACACTTGCTCGGGGTCTATCGCGCCCAACGTCATATCCGGCCCAACTAGGTAGGAGCAAGTGATGGAAATTGAAGCAATGTTGTCTCTTTTTATTATGACGTCATTAATATTCCAATTTCCCAGCTTCATGTGCAAGAAATATTCAAACGTTCTGACGAAATTAGCGTCTTCCTGTATAAATGTTATAATATATATATATATGTATAAAAGTTTTACATCGACATGCACAATTACATAAACGTGGTCAAGTCAAGTCAAGTTTATTTTTCCCAACCAGTAAATGAATAAGAAAAAATAAACACAGAAAATACGAGAAAAAATGAAAATTACAGTTTTACTGAGGAAGGGAAGTCACAAGAAACCAAAGCTGGTTATCCAGCAGCGACACCCAAGGTTCAAATATCTTATTTGAAAGAGTGAAATTTTAGGATTTTTGATCCTTGACACATTAGTTTATCAAAATGTTATTTTGAACACAAGATTAACTAACAAAGCCTGCGAAGCCTGTTATTTCGGCGCAGTACCAATAAGCAGAGATGTTAATCCTTTTATCACAGTAATATTGCTGTTATTACTGCATTAAAATGACTTACAGACTTCAAAAAATTGAGAGGTTTTTACAAAATTTGTGGGTTAAGATACGATTGAGATAAAATTTATTAAATGCGTCTCTCAGGTTTTCATTATGACAACATTCAGACGACTAGATTGGTTCAACTTGTACCAAGAAGTCATTGCTTCCATGTTTCCTCGAAAATAAGACCTAGTCTGAATTTTTAAAATGATTTTAATATAAGCCCTCCCCTTAAAATAAGACCTAATCAATAACGCGACATTTTTTGACCTAGTCGATAGCAAGAAATTTCTTCTATACGCGTTTTAAAAGATTGATAGTCTATGTTTTGCAGTTATCTTGAATAAAAAGGAGTTATTCATAAGCAGATGGATATCGGTTTTCATATTTTCTATATTTCAAAATCTCGCAATTCTCTAATTTGTAAGTTTGTTTTCGATAAATGAAAATATAAGACATCCCCCGAAAATAGGCCCTAGAGTTAATTTTCGGGAGAAAATTGAAAAAAGACCCAGTCTTATTTTTGGGGAACACGGTATCATATTCACATTTTTTTTTCAACCTATCCAATATACCGGTATTTATCATGATTTCTACTTCGTATATTCATCCTCATTACCTTTTCTCACAGTTTTCTATTCTAACCCAGGATACAGAGGTGGTTTCTTCGCTGAAGGATCATATATATACTCACATATATAAAGGATCACATAAATACTCACAGCAATAGTTGGGTTACACTCATTCCAGTTAAAAACGGCATAGTAAACTTCATTGACCGCATCTAATGTAAATTGACATGTACTTCCAACGTTCGCAATATTGATACTGGAAGAAGCATCGATAAATACGCCGTCTATGCTCGTTAAACCGAGTTTTTCAAGCTTGCAAGACGAAACGCTGCAAAAACATATGAAATTCGTCATATTCAGAAAATGCAGGAATATTCAAGCAGTGTTATATCGCTCAATTTACAAGTAGAGTTACAGATGGGTGTTGTATAATATATATCATTAAGTTTTGGTCCTGTGGTTACATACAACCCATCCAAGTAATTTGTCCATGATATGAATATATTGCCCAGTTTTTTCAATGTGCTGAAGCTTTACTTACTTCACGTACACGACCCATGTTTCGCAATCAAATACAAAATCTAAATATCCCAAAACAGCGGTCATGTTATCAACACTAGGTGGTTCTGGACTATCACAAGCGGACGATACATCTGCAAAATATTAAAATATTTAGAAAATGTCATGAAAGCACTCTCTGCAGTTTAAATCAGTTTTATTTAAAATGACCACATTTATTTTATCTCCTTTCGTAAAGGCTAACAATTCAATTTAAACAAGTTGGTTTGCTAAGAATTTGACAATGCTTAACGAAAATAAATGAGTTTTGGCTGTCCGCGATGAGTTACTTGCATGTGAGAAAAAAATATGATCCAACTTACATTGTACGTTATTGAGTAAAAAACACGTAAGTATAAATCCAGTAAATATATCCATTGCAGTTTTAGACAAGATTTGACCTCGACTTGCTCGTTATTTAGATTTGCTTGATATTAAAAGAAAAATGACATTAAAATAATTATCATATTATCCCAGTTGCGATGTATATCTCCCGCAGAATCCAATATTCAATTGCGATTTATTTTATTATTATAAATAGTTTCCATTATATTTTTTTGTAGTTTTCATATCCTCCAAGCTTGGCGTTTCGTGCGTGTTATTGAACGAGGAGTTTTACTGGGCGCGTCCATCGTTACTGTTTCAGGCATCGGTAAGTCAGCGAATCAAGAATTCATGCTGGCAGAATAAGTTTGTTGTTGACGGATTGGTGCGCCACGCATATTTATAATTATTTATTTAACGAAATAATTCAATTCATTCTAATTACCAAAATTTACTGCCACGTCATGTGGTACATAATTCCCAACTTTCCTAATATCAGCCTTGCAATCATTCTGCATTACTGCCTTACATAAATCGTATTGCTTAAATCTGCATGTGTAGCATACGATGCAAAACACAATCTGCAATTACAATGTCCTATATTTACCTTGTTAACAGGAAGGCGATTACATTTGTAAGCCTATATAGTGAGAAAAGGAAACGCAAAAATGATAAACAGATCGGGGAAAGCGCTCATTACGAATTTTACAGTGTGGAAGATAATATTGAAATGAATTGTTAAATATCCGAAACAATGCAATAGCATGAAGTTCAATAAGTCAACAACCTCATGGAGTAGGTAGGTACAAAAGATAGTTCTCAATCATATACACGAACGTATTTGACTCGCTGGGTCCACGACGTAACATCATTAAACAGATATACGACAGACGAAGATGTTCTCAAATGATACGCGTAATTTTACGCTTCTGTGTTTCCAGTTGGATCGAAAACAGGTTCAGCCTTTTAACTTAGGTTGGCCACCATCAAAACTCTACTCCATTTTTTGGCTCACTTTTACACCCAGACGAGTGACAACAAACAAAATTTCCATTTTTCGACATTGTTAGTGAATGATGTTTATTGACATTATAAAATGATTTTGTTAACCAGCTCCAAAAAAGAAATTGGCGAAAATATACATACAAGCATGGTTGATAAAAAGCAAGAAAAAAAAGGTACTTTTCTGGTCAAAAGGTGAAAAAGCAATAAATCGGTTCTGAAATTCTGTAAATAGAGTCTGTTTCCTAGTAAAAGCAATAGGATATGCCTACATACTCGACACTTTATAAAGAATCAAAAAATTTCATATTTTTCTGAGACACCTACAATGCACAGAAAATATTGTAATGAAAACCATTTTAAGCAGCAAAAATCTTAAAAGTGCTCTGTAGATAGAAATATAATGGAATAAAAAAGAAACAGATTTTATATTTTCGAGTGCTACAGAAAAAAAACTGTGTTTAATCATGATAGTTGTTGTACATAGGGCTTCATGAAAAAGGGTTTCTTTTGTTTGAACCATAATTTCTATGATATTCGATATGAGAACCGTTTTACAACTTGTGAAACACTGCAAAACCGGGTTTTAATAGTATGTAATAGGAGAATATTCATATCAGAAATGTTTGGTATTTCGAAAAATTCCTAAAATTTCATTTCCATTTTAAAAGTTTCAAATAATGCTGTATCGCGATTCGCGAAATTTCCATAAGAACACTTATTGATTAACTATTTTCAACCAAATTTTTTGGGTTTCAAATAGTTCAAATGCAATATACACAGATATCTACTATGGGAGTTTAAGGTTTTCAAAATGGATGTCTTAATTTTAACCGGCTGGAGAAGGCAGACTATAGATTTGAATTAGGAAAAGCGAATTTTTTTCTTCAAAACTAATACAGATTGTATTACACACCATATTGATTCAAAGACGAGAGAAAATATATGTTGTCATTACTATTTATCAAGATGTGGCTATAATGTAAATGAAGGTGACTGATATATCTTGGTTCAAAAATTCAAGATGTTAGTTGTTCTCAACAACACCACATCAGTTTGAGGATTTTCCGAAAATATTGAGGAAATGGCATCTGAGTGCCACAGACCAACAGATTTGATTACAAATTTCTACTCTTATTTGTATGTGACCGGGCATTATCCAAAGTTGTCATGTTTTGTAGAGACTAACACTATTTCATCGGTATGTGCAATAACAGTACACACATTTAACCAATCGAGACAGACCTTGGTCGTCCGTGTTACGTATCGATACAAAATGGGTATAAAAATATTTACAAACAACAATACCAGGGCTTAGGATCAACATAATGTTTGGAATATATAAAATGAAACTAAAAAAGAAACATCGATAAATCTATCCACTTCTCAAAAAATGGCAACCACTTCGTCTATAACATATGTAGCAACAAAAAGCGATATAATTCATTTTTCATATAGTGGTATTTCAAAAAATTCCGTCATTCATTATTTGGCTTTGAATAAACAAAGAGTTATTTTGGATAGGCCAAGCACTCGGGTGAAAGAAAAAAGACTTGGTAACCTATTGCAATTTGTTATAAATATTATTCAATTGGTGTGGAATAACTGATTAGTGTTAGTTTCAAAGTGAAATGAAAATAAATAACAAGAACGGGCAGAAAGAACATGGCAAATAGTGCAATAATACCAAGACGCAACACCCTTCCTTTCAAGCTGAAAACATATACCACAGCAGGTTGATACTAAAGAGTTAAAACAACAACAAAGCGGTTTTTAGGACAAGGTTTAGAATATAATATTCCACAAATTCAACATTGCCAATACTACCTATGAAATCTGATATTGATAACATCAAGGTGGTCTTGCATTACATAAAGAATATTCAATTGGTATGCTTTTGATGGAAATACAAGTATGGAATTTCCAAAATTTAGGACTGGTAACTCGCAAATAATGCAGTGACGCAGACTCTAAGCAAACATTTAGTTCTATTAATGGTGTATCCCGAGATGGGGTACAATAATACTGTTAAAATGGGAAAATTCATTTTCTTTACGAATCTGCTGCAAAAAGTTGGTAGAATGCAATTCAAAAGAAATAATTTGACATGTTCCTAAACAAAGAAACCTTTTGAATTTTGAAACTTCTTGGCATAGATCTGCTTTCACATGGCACCAGTTATGGGAAGTTCATCCTAGGTTGGTCCCATTGCCATTTCAAAGCTGCTTGGTTAATAGTTGTATGTCCAGCACCAGTTGCCCCGCTTTTGGAAACGTTTCAATTATGATATTACCGTCACCGACAACAGAGGCACCAGAAAGCATAATAGACTGTGAGGACGTGAGGGGCTGAGAAGTCACAATTGGAAGATTTAAAGGAGATGATGACGTCACTAATTGTTGGTTGGTAAATAGGTTATTGTCCAGAAACTGGGAAGTGTTTTGTATTTGGTTGTACGCAACGGAAGAAAAGAACTGATTCACTCCGTTTGCATCATTACTATTGTCATTCGCTGAGGCGGCAACACTCAAGGCTTGCTGTGGCAATTTAAGCATAACATCTCCTGTGGTAGAGCCGTCAAGAGGGATACTTAATACTTCTTGTTTTACATTGTTGTCACCCAGCGAACCTTCCGTCAGCTGGGAACTACAGTGATCAAGATTTACATCCAGAGGCATTTCAACAAGAATTTGTTCCTGTTGTTCTGTCTGGTCGACAAATTGTTGTTGCTGTTGTAGTTCTATTTTGGCTACGCTACGTGGTTTCTGGTTCTTTCTGCTCTTTTTAGGAGCGGGGGGGAGCTGCTTCGTTATTAAGGTTTACATCCATAGGCATTAACAACAATTTCAGTATTTGACTGGAAGCCTGGCGATGATTGGGAATTGGGTGGGGGCAATGGGGTGGATCGATACCTAAAGCGGCAGCTGTGGCAGAAATGGACAACTGCAATTTTGTCTTGCATTCTTCCAAGTGCTTTTTAAAAGTTGCCTCACGCACATAAAGTTTTGAGCAGCCCGGGCAGAGGAAAGGACATATACTTTCATAATGAACAGGAACAGGGACAATGTTTGCTGCGGCTGCAGCTTGTCCTATAACATCAGGAGGCATTGACACAAGACTAAAGCATCCGGGATCCATATTATCTTCAATGTTTTCTTTGTGAACCTTCAAAACACAATAATTTTTTCAAGTATTGATAGAATTGGCACATCTATACAAAAAACATGAACCCCTTTTATTATATTAGGCATTTAGATGGCTTAAAACTCACTTTTGGGATAGAACCAACCTCGAAGCTCAATATACATACTGTATAATCTGACATAAAAAATATATCGCTAAGAAAATTCAATTGGTAACTGTAATATTTTACACTATTAATTTGATTTCAATTCTGCACAGACACAGTCCATTTGAATCATCTATCAGGACATCCAGCAAGATACGCTTAACTACGACATTTATCATAAATTACTACCTTAGAATATTGTATCTTTGTTTTATAAATAAGTAGATTGCCATGATAACTTGTAGCCAACTCTGACTACATAAATGCTTTCACCCAAACTCGTTATTATGGGCCTTTAGGCAGGGGTGGGAAACACTGGTCCTATTAGTCTGACACAAAAGTCCGTTATCTTCAATCTCTGCGTATATTGAAATAAGCATACCTGATTTTCGACAACAGGTATTTCTGGTTCTTGTTGAATTTTCGTATCGTTTGAGCTCTTTCGCTTCTGGGTCTTCGGAGCGTGTCTCGCGACGTGTGCTTTCAGACTGGAAATTTGAGCAAAGGATTTGCCACATTCTGGCCAATGACATTTGTATGGACGAACTCCATTGCTAGGTCTGGGGTGAATAATATGGAGTCAGTAACAATCTGATCTCATATGGGATTATATATGGCCGACCAGTATTGAAGAGTTGAAACGTTAGATCATGCAAGTATTACAGGGCCAGGTAAGAGAAATCAAACACCACCAAGCATATTATGCTCTAGGACAAAATAACTTTGCCTATATGCCTTATATTGCCACATTGAAGATTATTGTGTATGTATGTTATAAGCATGTAGGAAGAAGCACACAGTATAAAATTTGCCAACTTTATATTCGATGCCTCAATGAAGAAATGTGACTTTGTTGATATTCAAAAAGTTCGCAAAACCTATATCGTTTACTTTTCACCAGTAATGTGTAATTTGTAATGTGCAAAAAACTCGAAAATTGTCGTATTCAGCAATAATAAAGAATGAAAAAACTTATATATTGAATTTTCACTTGTCAGATTGAAAAATTAAAATGAAACCAATTCAGTTATATGTTAGTCAATTTGAATATCAAAAAACTCAATTTTGAAATTCTGTAATTAAAGCAATTTTGCATATAAGCAAGTGCTTTTCCTGGTTTGAGCAAATGTACTATATGATAAGATGGTGAATAGCCAAAAAAGACATGAAATAGTCACTTACTTCGGGGAATGTCTTTCAACGTGGCTCTTGAGATGAGATTGCTGAAGGAAAGCCTTTCCACAATCGGGCCAATGACATTTATAAGGTCGCACTCCCGTGTGAGTTCTAACATGCTGTTGTACGTGCGATAGTTGTTTAAACGAATGTTCGCACATTGGACATTTATAAGGTTTTTGGCCATTGTGGATTCTTTCGTGTTGTTTAAGGTAGAAATTGGTAGAAAAACCTTTTCCGCAAAAACTACACCTGCAAAAAATATAACCAACTTTGTTTAAAATCGCTCGGGGTAATGCAACTGAGATAAAACTCCTCAGTTAAAAAAATAAAAACCTTGCAAATGATGTCCATTTGCAGTTTACTATACGAGGTTGTATACACATTAAATCCAATGCAACAAAATTTTGGAATTTGGAGTAGTATTTGCAATTGATAATTTTTTTCTCCATTGAAAAAAAAAAGAGTACAGCACATAAAATTTATCACAAACACCAATTATCAAACCTGTATGGCTTTCCTTCATGATCTGTGTGAATTCTTGAGTGTACAGTGACAGCACTTTTATTCGGAAATGTTACCTGGAGAAAGTAAAGGACAATTTCAGATATATTTGTTTCTTTGAGTTCATTTTAATTTCCTATTTTATTTGCAAAGCAAACAATTTCAGAAAACCAATTACTGGTAGATCTATTCTTACATTAAGTTCTTACAACAAATCACCAGATCGAAAGATAAAGTCCAACATATAAATAATTTGTTTCCAAACTACATTTAAGAAAATTGTATCTATGATTGCCCACTTCAGAGATGGCCAAAACCGAAAAATCTACTATTATGAATATGAATTCAAACTAAAAATATTTCGTATATATTGATTTTGAATATTCAACAAAGAACACATAGAAATTAATATATATTTAATGAGTTTGAATTTTGGGTATTTGGTAGTTTTTGTATCACGAACAATTGTAAGTGGATTGTTAGATTTCTATCAAGCATGAATAACTGATCAGGTGGACCCTTGATGTTTGCACCATCTATGGTGTATGTTGATTAAATGATGAATATTTTTTAGTAAAGATATCCACACTTTCAAATCTTAAAAATTCTTTACCACAATCATTAGCATACCTGACATATCCTACATGTGTAACTACGGCTTTGTGGAATGATGGCATCTGGATTTATGACACCATATGGCAGCAAGCCTTGTTGTGTATTGGTTGGACTACCAGCATCTGAGTTTACCGTGGTATACAAAGCTTGTTGGCTGGTTGGACTACTTGACGTACTCAACCTGAATGAAAAGCATGTCAATAATAACATTTACGACAAACTTATCAAACTGAAAACGAGAATATCGGTCAGAGACCGAAGACTTATCGATCGAAAGTTAGGGGATCCCCAAAACAGCGCTCTTACTCCATAGTGACACCTTGTGTCCCATCACTAATTAATTAATAACTCGCAAATTATACGACATAATTCGCCCAAAATCAATAGGCTACTGGTACGAGATATGATGAATGCACATGCAAAATCTGCAGCAGATCCAATCTCACTTTCGTGAGATATCGCGTGCATCTAACAGACAGACAGACATATAAACAGGCAAATACCTATCAACATACTTACCGATTAAAATCGATAAGTAACAACTAAAACAAAAAAAATTGATCACTATTAGTTGATAATATAATTAAAATAAAATTCAACAAACCTATTATTGTTATTGGCATTTTCTCCGCTTGTTGCAATTATTGACGTAGGTGATGGAGAGGACTCCGATTGAATGTGAAGTTGCATTTGTGATGAATCCTTGAAAATTTTAAAATTGCTACTGTTAGATTTCAAGTCTGTTTTTGTGTATCAAGAGGTTATATCATTCCTAATTAAATTACATGGAACAGCAATTTTCTCACTACATACCATGCCTAAATATTTATATACCAGTATTGGGCAAGATTGCGATCCAACTCTTTTGGCATCATTTCTATCAAAACTACTGGAAATATCTAAAGGATTTTTTCATGTATATAAAAAAATACCTGGGCACTAAAACCTGAACACTATTTCAAATGAATGGAAAACTAAGAAGCTGTTGAATTTTAATGAACAATGAAGCAAATTAAAGAAACTGATTGATAGTGAAATAAAGCTATTTTATTCCAATTGTTGCTTGATCAACAAATTTTGTTACTTTTGAACAGTTTCATATAAGTTTATTAAAATTATTAATTAGGCTATTATGTTACAGCTTTTCAAAATTCTCCAAAGTCCTACAACAAAGTTAATAAAAAAATATAAACAAGATATTAGCAAGTCATGATGCAAATGCATTTAAATTGGGCATTTCCAACATAGAATATTCATATAAATCCAAGATAATTTTCTGATATTTTTAAATTAGTCTTGAAGCTGCTATCTTTTTGTGATAAAACTCTGATTACTTATTAATTTATTTTATGATGCCATGTATTTAGCAAGATTGTGTAAGGTGGTTTATCAATGTAATTGATTTTTCATAACTAGTTTGATAATTATTAAACTAGAAAGCCTAACCTAATAAACTGGAAAGTGAGTGAAAGCAGTGCCAACACTTTTATGCCTAAATGAAACTATTGCGATCATTCGTGCCTTAATTAATTATGCCTGCATGTGGCATTGAGCCAGAATTTTGATCAAATTAACCAGGCCCCAGTTTCACATACAATGATGAATTTTAGGTAATCAATAATATTGCGCAATTCACAAGTATTGTAACATACTTCATTTCCCTGTGATACAAAATTATCAAATGCCGTTCGTTGCAATTGAAGATCACCATTACTGTCGCTCGATGACATAGCCTGCCAAAAAAAATCATTGGCACTATCAGCAGACATGATGATCTAATAAAAAAAGAAAAATGGGTTCAATGTTTATTATAATTACTGAATTAATCAAACAAAGAATTACATATAGGTTTATAGTATGGAAAATGGGACTGTTAGTCAGGCAGATCCACAGCATTTTGACAAAACAATTTGATATTCAGTACTCTCAAATTTATTATTTTACCAATTTTGTATTTGAACTTTCAGAATTTATGAAAATAATTCCCATTTTTCAATTTCAAACAAATGTTCAAGAAAGGTTTGTTAACCTGTTCTCAATTTGTATATTGGAGTGGCACTTTCACAATCTCAAGATGATTGTGTTATTGTTAATATACTTTGTTTTTCTAACACAGTAACACGCCTAACTTTATGATTATACACTCGGCCTTCTAACAAATTTAATAATGAAAATTTCAGCACTATTGAATGACTGATGACTTAAACACTAATGTCTGAATGTTCCTGTTGTTTGTTTTCATACAAGATTGAATTTTCCTCTCTCTAGCATTTCCATAAAAATAAGTGAAATAATTCAGTGTTTGCCATCATTATGTAGAAGAGTAGTATTATCATTAATTTGTGATACCATAGCTAGCAAATTAATACAGTAATATGCTAGATTACGCTTCATTGAATAGAAGTACTGTATTTTTGTTTTCATTATTATTCTATTGCCGCAGCGGATTTAAAATTGCAGTTTCAACACCTAAGAGTTTAACTGAGGGCTGCATGTACAAAAGCATCGGATATGCCCAATGTATAGTTTCATTGACAGGTAAAGGATAAATTTCTTATCATACATATTCAGTATTTGGAACATCACCACGGTACAAGAAATTGGAAACACAGACTAAAGTTCAAGAAATTGTCTCATAGTGTGGCCCCTTGAGAACTAAAATGTTGTAACAAATTTGAACTTTGTGAAAATCTAGCCTCAAGGCTACAGTACCGTACCTGACCTAGTTGAGAGTGGCACACAATTCAATATTGTGACATCATAACATGCATACATGACAGCATGATATAATTTGAATTAACTTTCAAAACAGGATGGAAATGAACTGTGTTGTGTTCACTGATTACCTAGATTTACAAATACAATATAAAAAAAAAACTAGATTATGCAGGAAAAAATATTATAATGAAGTTCGTTATGGGCTTAGTAAAAAAGGGAATGAAAGGACAACACCACATGCGTCCATGAAACAATATTCCCGCTCATTTACAAAGTTTAGCAGTTTTATTCACCTGCGCCTCTTTAACTTTTTTCTTTTGCCGGCTCTGTCTTATCCAATGCTACTTTCTTCCTCTATTTCCTCACTTTCTTAATTGCCTTTTACTCCTAGCCTTTTTCAACTGTCAACAACGGAAGAAAAAATGTCGGGATCGAAGCCGAATCTCAAACTGCGAGATTGTACAATGCGCGTTCAATTTCGCACTCCTAATTTATCTTGCCGTTGAAAATTATATGGCTTCGCCTAGAGGTCGCTATTTTATATTTTATAAATTGAACGCTTCGACTTATTTCACGTAAAATGACGTCAAAGTGTCTGGGATTTGATTGGGCGAAAACGAGACAACCGTGTGAGGAGAAAAAAGCTTCGATGATGCCGTGTCTATACTTGCGAAACGATTGATTATTCTGCATTTTGCACGTACAAGCGCCGGATCAGCTTTATTGTACGCCTGCAGCGTCGGTCGTTCTAATCTTTGACATTACGCAATAGCCTCGGGCCAGTTTACAATAAATTTTCCTCTTGATAGAAGTAATTTTTCAACTTCAAATATTATAAATTCTGTTTAATATGACTAACATTTTTCCAAATTTACTAAATCATACGTGCAATTGTAAACATGTCGCGAAACAACGTTTTTGAAATGTTGCATGGTCAGCACCGTACTTTGGCCACTTCACTAAGAAACTATTACTAATGTTCCATAAATGCCTGGCATCCATATGACATTTTAAAATGATTCCGTTTGTTTTATTGTGGATTACAATCTTGACTGATATCAATTTTTACCTATAGTAATTGTGTGTCGATAATTTTGTCTGATATTTCAAGAAAAATGCTCGACATCGATAATGAAATAAGACACAACTTCGCATCACAATCACAAGGCGCAATCTGCACCGAGGGGTTAATTGCATATGGTTGGCCAAGTATGCGATCTAAGTTATCTTGAGATCAAAAAAGATTGTATTCGTTTGCGTCTTTGTTCAATTTGTTCACTCATTTTTTTTTATTCAAATATATTTCTATCTCTATTATTCATTATTTCACCATTATGCATGCGCCAAGAACTCTCTCATAATAACAATATCCGTATAGGAGAAGAATTTGAAAACACCAATTTTGGCGAGGCTGCGGTTTTGCGCCTTGATATGAAAAAGAAGCTATCGTGTCAAATGCCATTCTTTTCGTGTCGTTTTTTTCTGGTGACGTCATAATTGTTGTTTCGTTTTGTCAACATCAAACTTGTCATATTTCGATCAACAAAGACATATCACTTCAAACAATCATTGACACTGACGTCTGTAAACAGAGAAATGTTTATGGTTTGGAACTTATTAATTCATATTATAGGTAAATATTGTTAAAATAAAACATAAAGCCTGTTGGACCCTTTGTAAAATAATCGTTATCTTGACAATCGGTTACCCAGTATACTTTAATTATTTTATAAATCATACTTTATTCTGCAACCGCGTTATGCATGAACACATTAGATAATGAAAAGTAATTTCATGTTTATTCCATGAAAACAAAGTAAAAAAGACTTTACCATACGACAAAGTGCCGCCATTCGCTAGAGCCACGCAGCTAGGAATTTTCATAGGGGATGGTTCTGATATGTATAGTTGCCAAGTAAGACCGTATCAGCAAGCGCGCGGAGTCGTAGGCCGGATAACGTGGGTTTGCTGTCTTGGAGGTCTAAAAATCGTTTCAGGCTACGAAAATTGCTATTGATACAGAAAAATGCTTTACATTTCAAAGGGCGACGCCCCTGGTGGTGTGCATGTTGATGGGCATTATACGGATGTCGCCAGTAATACATGGAACCGATATAAAATATAGTCATTTTAATATTCGTTCAGTGTTTTGGGTGAATTCATGCTTGGCTAATGATTCTTTGATTTGCGTAATGAACATGATTTCACGATATTTCATAGGCGTTGAATGCGATTTTGTTTACAATGACAAATCTATGAGTAATTGAGGATTATACAAATAAAAATAAACTTTAGCAGACGAATTCACTTCCTGAATGCAGCATCATTTTGAGGATATAATGACCGAATGGTTGTATCTTGTTCACAGTTATGTGATGTAGGCCTGAGATGATTTTAATTAGTATGAGCGTTTCGTTACGTCAAAACCTCACCAAAAACTTTAACTACCAATAGTAATGCTATCGAAGGCTAATAAACTTTAATATATTTTAAAACGCACATATAGCCCTCGAAACGAGGTGTCAGATATTTCTACATGAAGTTGTGACAAAGTTTTCGTTTCATGGTTACTTAATACAGAGTTTCCCAACCTATAGGTCGTGGCCTGAAAATTATGCGTCGCTTTTTTTTTCAGCAAGAGCCTAGAAGTTACTGATTTTAATTTCTAGTAAATTATTTGTTTATTTTATATTTGGTATTGAAATGCTGCTCAATAGAAATTGTATATGTGGGAAGTATCACAGCGTGAAAACTTAATAAGCAAATATCCACGCCCCTTTTTTAAAAAATCAGCAAACTATAATATATAACAATGTTGAAATAATAAAATGAATGTTGAGGAAATAACTGTTATGTAAAAATGATTTTTTGTATTAGTAATTTAATTTTGCGGCTATAGAAGCACCATGTCGCTCAGTTTTTGATCATATCTTTGGGTCGCGAGATTTTACGATTTTTTTTTAATTTGGATCGCTTGAAAAAAGTTGGGAACCACTAACCTCATATATCCACGCACAAAACAGAATAGGTACCCAATCCACAAGTATCTAAACAAATGTATCGCAACTTAGGTTAAGGAGAATCCGGTCTATATGTTACTTGGCAGATTCCATATTCCGTGATTTGCAACGATATATGATTTTGAATTTTCTCTGAACATGCACATTCAGTCGACCTAATTAAATGTTTTTTTTGTGTTTAACAGGATAATTTTATTTATATTAGTTTGTCATATCTGAATCAAAATGATTTTGCACACATTGGTTTTGTTCGTACTAGTTTGTTCAGTTGCGTCCCAGAATTCTAATGCCGCTAATCCTAATCCAGGAGAAGGACCAGCAGATCCAAATCCCCAGGGTAATGCCAACGGAAAACGGTTTGAAGGTTGTTCAGAAGATGCTATACTCTTACTCAAACAAGAAGAGTTGAGAAGCGCGACACTTGAAGCAAATTTAACTTCGTCAAAAGAAATGTTACAGACAAAAGTACGAGAATTGAATAATTGCGAAACGAATCTACAAGGTACAGGAAAATTAAATTCTGAATTAGCTTTAAAACTAAGAGTATCTGAAACTGGAATTCAAGAAATGAACAAGACAGTCAGATTGTGCCTCGAATCTCAAGCCACACTGACTGAGTCTTTCATTACTGCTGTGAGGCATGCTTACCAAACTCTTGAAGTCATTCAACAAAACTCATTAGAATTGCAGAATATAGCAACAGAAAAAATAAAAAATTTAACAACAGATAATCAACTTCTTCTCGATATTATCGCACATTTAAAGAAGGAAAATACAAAACTGAGAAATGAGTCTGAAACAGGAAGGATAGAAATTGATGGCCTCGTCGGCGAATTGGAGGAGAAAATCATAGAAAATGTAATAGCAGAGACAAAAGTAGCAGAACTGATGCAGAAAAACAAAGTATGCGCTGAAAATCTCACTTCTACGATCCAGAATTTACACGATGAGATGACATTAAAAGAGAACGCAACATCAGATGCAGTACATTGTAACGAGAAAAGGGAATCGATGGGAAAGCATATAAATTTATTATACAGGGAGAAAGAAAATTTGAATGACGATATTAAAAGTTTGAAAGAACAAAACAAGGATATTTCATCAGTATTAATAACATGTAACAATGCATCAAACGAGCTTGGTTCACTGAATGCTGATTTAGCGTTAGAAATCGTAGATGCAAATATTACAATTGAAGCTCTCAGAGGAGATATCGAAAGTTTGACCGAAACGGTGGAACATCTAAAAACAAATCACACATTTGAAATTGAAAGTTTTCATAGTGATCGAATCAGGACAGAAACTGAACTCCGAGAATGTATCAAAGCAAATGAAGAAATGAATGGAATCATGTTGTCAACAAATGCCGCATTAGCGGAGTTAGATCGAGGAATACAAGACCTTAGGGGAGAAGCAATGCGCTCTTCTGTTAAATTACAAGAATGCAAGAGAGATTACACAAAACTTCATGACGAATTTGTCGATCAAAGCAATGCAGTGAATAGCCTACAAAATTCGATAAACACTTTATTTGAAAGTTATAATCAGTTGTTTACCAATTACACAATCTGCCAATCTGGCATCGCTACTCTTGAATCCAGTAACGGAAACCTCACGGATGCTCTTTTGAAAGTTGAAGAAAAGCTCGCTAATCTAACGGAAAAACTAAAAGAAATTCTGAAGGATGAACTAAATGGTTCACGAAACCACACCGAAATAACAGAAATAGTGGAAACTTTTTGCAATATAAGATGCAATGCTATTTTGGAATTGAAGATCGCTGAAATGAATAGTACTATCTTCACTTGTGAGAGGAAATTAGCGGAGAGTGATGGCAGAAACACAGGACTGACTCAAAAGTTAAACACAACAATGCAGCGTCTAAAAACATGCAACGAAAGTTTATTTTTAAGTCACGGAACAATCGAAGATCAAGAAAATACGATAGAGAGACTAGGAGATGAACTTCTTTATCATATCGAATCATCGAAAGTCGATAAAAATAAACTTAAAAACCTTCATGGTAAATTGCATTCTCTAAAAGAAGAAAATCTGCATTGGAGAGAGAAATGCTCCAGAAAAAGAAAAAGAATGAATGCGAGAATTGCTTATGTTACGAATTTCGCCCTTTCTTCCCCAGCTTTTAAAAACCACGAAGAGATCGATACTTGGGACATGCTGGTTCAACAAGGGTCTAGTTTGCTAAATAAATCCATTGTCGTGATCAAAGACCATTATCCAGGTTGGTTAACTTTCACAATTTGTTTTATTGTCGAGAATCACTTTAAATAAGGCTCACACTCGTGTTTGTTGCACTCATTTGTTATCAATTATTTTCATGTAAACGTTTTTTTTTATGTATAACCGAGTTATGAAACTTACATTTATCGACTCCTACTGTACCGGCTCGGCAATAATTGTTGAAAAGGCTAGCATTCACTTCAACCCTGATATCATGGATTCCGTACTGACAGTAGCGACAGTGATATAGGACTGACTTTTCACCGAAGCTCTCTATTAGGGCCTACCTTCGCAGTCTTTTCTTAAATCACACTAATTAAGCTATTCACTTATATATTATGTGTCACGTGTGAATGCTTGCTAACTACTTAATATTTTACTTTTATTATTCAGGGTACATCGACAAATTTTTGGATTTGGAATTTCAAAAATTCATCATTGATCTGAAAAAGGCAATTTGTATATGCGAACACGGTGGAAAGTGTCGCTTTACGCCCCTGAGACAACTATTCACAAGAGAGATGATAAGAAACACGATTGAGAAGATTTCTAAGTTGATTGGATATTCGATCACACGAGTCGATTCAGAATGGGTTATTCACTTAAGTCCAACCCAAAACGGAAGATTCCCTCTTGACCCAATCAAAGCCACCTTTGTTGATGACATCTTACCAGAAATAAGAAAATATGCTATTCATCGAAATGAGGCCCTTTTGGATAAAATGAGAGAGAGGCATTTTAAATGCGAATGTCCTGATTATGCATCCGGTTCAGCGTGTGAAATTGTAACACCTGGTCGACATCGCCGAGAGTGTGATAATCCAGAAGAAATTTAGAACGGGCCTGAATTTCTAGACCTAGTTATGATTTGAAGCTTTACTACACTGAGTATGGTTTTCCAACAATGGTGAATATTTCAAATTCAACAGTTAAGTCGACACTATGGCATTTTTTTAAACCTTTAAACAAAAATAGTTAAGAGTACTTCTTTCGATACTCGAAAATAAATGAGGCATTGGGATTCAAAATGTATTTTCGGGGGGCACTTTCGATTTATACAATTGCAATACAGAATATATATATATATACGTTTCCTTTCCGGTCCATCTTACAAGAGTAGCTCTTTACACATTGTAAAATTGTTAGTGGTTTCTTGTTCGGATAGAAAATCGTGAATATGCGTTGTAACCTGATTTTGGAACTCCCTGACGACCATCCTCGTGAATCGACGGTAAAAATATGAAAGCCATCATTAGAGCTTAATCATAAACCAAGTGATGTGTGTAGTCAACTAATATGCAATCATAACGTCGATAGCACAACGTAGTTTGGGCTGAGCTAGTAGAAGTATTGAAGTACCAGCAAAACTGCTACAGCAACCCGAGTTTTGTCTGTTCTCCCGCATAATATAGTTGCGTCCACGCACATTCGCTTCAGCAAATTACACTAAGAGCAGTCGAACCAGAACCTACATACTTTTGCATCTATAGATTTTAGAACCAGTATAGAGTTTGTACTCATGGATATTTGATTCTATGAAAAACTGAGAAATGCACACGCGGAAAACGCAGTTTTCCTCACGATCGTCGTTTTTAGCTAATCAGGGATTCGATGTATTGAAACGAACTTGTTCAACACCTCGGAGCATCGAAAACTGAGCAAATTCAAGGTTTTTGTTACTGCCTGGTGGGTGAATCATTGCTGTTATAGGCGATTACTTTTCCGAAACTATCATGTACGAAGATTGCTCAACAGTTCGCCTTGACAAGATTTTTTTTTAAACTCCCGGCTAGCCTCGCCTACAAAGGCATATGCACCGGACAAAGTGGAGTATATCAATCGCCTACATATATAGTCGTAGAACGTCAGTGGTTCAAGACTTACCGTATCTTCCTTTGGAAAAAATATATGAACTTCCCTTTTCTTCAGTAATTTCGGCAAGTGTAGAGTGTATGCAATTGTGAAGATAGAGCAGGGGTGGCCAAGGTTTTTGAACCAGGGGCCAAAAATACTGACCACTGGTGGGCTATGTAAGTGTGACGTAAAAGTTACATTTTATGAACAATATTTATAGTGTTACAAAAGCAAAAACAATAAGCCTCGTGCGAAAACTAAATTTAATCGCATTCTCTACAAATTCCTTGATCTATTTTTCAGCTATAACATCAAAATTTGGTTTTAGTTTGCTTGTGACAGCATCAGGCGGGCCAGATTGAGGTACACAACGGTCCGGACTTGACCCGGCGGCCGTAGTTAGCCCATGTCAGAGAGACAGAGTATAATATTTATTCGGGAGGCGGGGCAACGTGGTTCATCAAGCATCACACCACTTGTCGCACTAATGTAATTAACTCGTTCAGTCTGACCTTCATCAGCACCAAATCCATCTCAAAAGAACAACACAAAACCCCAGTAACATAATAATTATTAACATAAATATGAAAAAAGCGAATATACAACACCATATCATAATTACTAGAACTGTAGTAGCTTTTATAGTTTAATCAATAAAAAGTATTAATCGTTTGAAAAAGTAATATGCTCAGAATCAGTACTATTTAAGAGAGAAAGAGTTAAAAATTAACAGTGGGAAAAAAAAATGTGTTCACAATGCTTAGTAGATGTTACTATTACAGAAGCGAGAAGAATAGCATGCATCAGTTCCATGAAATGACTACAGAAGATTGTGGGTTAATGTAGATGTAGTCCGAAATAACTAAATAAATAGTTTTTATATTTTTAAATTTGCAGATAAAGCATATTCAGGAAAAATCCCAGTATTAATAAAATGGCTGTATTGCTAGTTATTGTGCAAAATAGGCTAAAGTTTAGTACTATTTATGCATTGAAGAAAAAAAATCACTTTTCATAACCTATATATAGGTTATGGATAGGAACATCCGCAAAGCAGCTAACAAATTTTTTAAGAATACTTGACTGATCTTGCCTAACTAAATAGCAACAAGCGATAAGCATAAAAGAAATCAAAAAGCCACCAAAATTGGTAGATAGAAAATGGAACTAATAAAAAACGCACCAAAATCATGAAACAAAAATATGTCAATTAAAAAGAAGAGTGACAATATGAATGTGCTATACAGTACAGTATTGCATGCGTGCTGATAAAAATATCATCAAAACTAAATATATATCATATGAAATCTGAATTGTACCAAAGTTATTGATTCGGCAAGGTTAGACAAGGACGACAATTATTCATATATTATATGTAAAGGTGTAGGCACATTTCTTGATAGAGGGACTGCATTAAATTCAAATCATATATGAAATAATCAAAATTATATAATAACTTTTATAATTTGCATGCTTGCTTCATATATGCATTATAAATAAACACTACAGGCCCATTTCAAAGTGGAGTCATGTTTAATGTCAAATTCACATCAGAAAATATGACTGTGTATTGGTATATCACAATTTGGCTCAAAAACCCAGAGTAAAACTGATTTTAAACTTTTCGGGAATTCTTTAGTCTATCCAAAAGTCAGTGGAACATCTCGACTAAAACCCATAGTTCTGTTAGTTCAGAATTCTTAGAGAAAAATGTCTGAAAAATATTATAATTCGTTGATATTAAAATATTTGGCCACCACGACAACACACAGTATCGAATACAGAACGAGTGACAGAACATATGTACCATATTAAAATTAGTTGTATTATAGTTTTGCGAAAAAAAATATCAATTTCAAGTTTTACAACACGTTGTTGATTTAGAAGGTGTTTTCGTATCTTCTTGCTTGACACCTGTTAATAAGAAAATTTGAAACATGGAATGAATGTATATGAACAAAACGCTACCGAAGTGAGGAAGTTTTAAACTTTTGGTCCGAACAGAGAAGTCACTCTTTTTGGCAGTGGGTGTAGAATCTAAGATTTCTAACTTATAAAACCAATATTATTGTAAGGACAATGTAATGATGAATTGATTTTCTTCTATTGAAGGAGTCGAACAACATGAGGGCATCAAACTGTATAAACATCCTGCGACCATGATAAATGAAGTAAAGTTTATTCAAGCCTCAAATCTGGAAGTGAAGTCAAAATACTTACGCACTAGATCACCATCTCCCAGTTTTGAAGCATTTTTACGATGTTCAGATTCTTTTAAAACACTGTTTTCAAAAGCAAGTGCAGCAACTCGGAAGAAAAATTTCTTCACATTATCACCTATATGCAAAAATAACCCAGCAGATAGATATATGCATTGATTTTTATATAATAACATATGATACAAGCACATTTATAAATTTTCTTGCATGAAAATCATTCTGCTATAATTTGGTTACATATATATCATGCTTACCAGAAAGTGCTGAAGTAGACCAAAATTCCGCTCCCAATTGTTTTGCCATCTGTACTGCTTCTAGTTCAATAGCTTTGTATGCGCTGTCTGACTGATAAATGTAAATTTCATGACATTAGAATAAATCGGCCTCTCGTCCTCCACCACTCGGGTATGGAATTAGCCAGTTATTTGTTTCAGATGCACGGACTTGATGGTGGAGGAAGCCGTAACTGACCAGCGATTACGCAAACCACCCTACGGCAGCGAGGAGTTCATCAATCAATCCTCTTGCACATAATTTTTCCCTCAAGGATCCCAACCTGCGAACCCACACATGGTAATCAGAGGTGCGGTGGCTAACGTAATCTTATTGCTTAGCACGTTGTATCGCATTATTCTAAAATAATAATTTGGTTCGCCATAATATCTTTAATACTAACCACAAGATCTCTTTTAGTTCCGACAAGAAAAACTTTGATGTCAGTTTGTCCTTGATTTTCTTTCATTGCAGATTGCAACCACACTCTGTAAAAGTTCAAAATTTGACATGGCATATTTGCATATGAAAAAACTAAAAGTTTTATCCCCTTATCAATGTTGACCAATATTTCTTCTATCTTGAAATATTTTTTTCAAATAGAGGATGTTTTTTGCATGAATCCGTAAAGCCAAGTATGACCAATGAAAAATATTCTACATAGAGAAGGAATAGGGCATTTCCAAATGAAGTACTTTTCCCATCTACATAACTTACATTAGGACTATTGAAATACCAAATTAAGCCATGTATGTGCAGTGTATATGTAAGTGGCTTAAGACGAGAAATTGAACAAAGTGAATTGTAAAGCATGTTGAAAAAAAATTGAATTAGAATGCGTAAAAGTTTAGAATGGGTTATTGTCGGGACGTTCATTTTAGTTTCAGAGGAAGTCAAGTCAATTTTCTGTCTTGTACATGCATATATATGTATAACGTTTGGACTGGGGTATATTGGACAAAAAAGCATTTTCACATGTGAACAGTCACGGAAAACAGTCCAGGTTATAAAGATGTAAAACCCCTCATAATGTAGCTCCTAAAGGCCCATCTAATGAATAGTTGTGCAAAAGTAAGCAAACTGTGGATTTTGACTGATTCACTTTTTGTTTAATTGAAGAAACTTTAGAAATATGTCTTTATATCTTGAACCAGTGAGGTCAAACACTGCTTCGTAGCTAAAGGTTTAAATCAACAAATGATAATCTTATGAAAATCATTATATTTATGATATGGGAAGAAAAGCAAACAACAATAATCGTATGAGAAAGGCGAGGCTGGTAAAATATTTATTTATATTGTATGAGAAAAATCAATCTGTTATGGGTTCATAATGTATATCCTGGAATATAATATGATATAAAATCTAATAATAGCTTCCAGGTTCTTTTAATTTTGAATGTATTTAGAAATTGAATGATGAATGTGAAATTACAAAATAGTAAATCTTGGGCTATCGTCACATTGATGGATTGAACACTGAAATCAATCCATTCACAGGCTGTCCAAAAAATTTTGCCCGATCTTATAGTAATAAGTAATAACAATTAAAAATTTCGCCCAATTTTAAAGTAATAACAATTGTGAGTTTAAATAAATTTTTTGGACAGCCTTGTATATGAATTGATTTCAGTGTTCAATCCATTAGGATGACAATAAATCTAAAGATTTGATAAGATTTACTATTTCGTTAATTCCACATTTACCATTTAAATACATGATTCAATTGGGAACTTTTCATAGAAAAATGTGTATTTTGCGATGGATTTTGAGGCAATGTATGTCAAACTACTCACTACTAATGGGTAAACAAGAGAACGAAGACTGGGACCCCTGCTGTAGGCTATGTAATATACAGTAAATGAGAATTAAACTAAAGATGACAATAAAAAATAAAGACAACACTGATTTAAAGCAATGAACTTTGGCATTCAGTGAATCTTTCATGCAACCACTGAGACGCTAAGAGAGTTATATAGATGGATGACAAAATCGCACAAAAAAAAAAAACACGAAATAAAACTTATGAAAAGGAATCAATGTTAAAAGCACCTGAACCAGGTAATCTACAAAAAAAATTAAAATAAAAGATCTTACTTTGCATTTTTTAAACTTTGTATATCTGATAGATCAAATACGATTGATACAACTGTAAAATAACAAAAATAGAATATTATTTTTTTTTTATTTGACCCTTGGTATGTCAAGTCGAGTCAGTTGCGCAAAACAATTATAATTGACATAGTATAGAACCAGAATATAATAAGTCTGCAGCAAAATAGATGAATTTAGATGTTTTCATATATAAAAATAGTTTGAAACAACCAAATATCAGAATGTAAAGCATGAACAGAAGAATATAATAGGCATACCATGAGCTCCACGATAATATGCAGCTGCTATACATTGAAATCTCTCTTGACCAGCAGTGTCCCACCTGGCAACGAAAGTATATTTTTGATGTTTTTATTGAATGGATAATAAAATTCCATAACTAAAAGTGATTGTTTTCATTATGTCATGATGGGGAGATGTTCTCACCCATTTATGCATATATCTTGCAAGGTAAATGATTTATCTCACTATATAAAATTAGTACATTATATAAAAGCACATTCATGACAATTTGACTGTGAAATGGATTGCTCGAAATTCCAAAAAAATTTAGACCACTGTATATAGAACTATGCAGACAATCAGACATATATAATTTTGGTACATGTAGACATGTTTAGGGAGTAACACCTATCTGTTATCATGTTCAACAAGTATTGAACATGGAAATTAAACCATCTTATGAAAAATCGTCCCAAAGGAAGAAGTATGTGCCAAACCCAATGAATGATAAACAGAGCAATAACAACACCACAATTTTTATACCTTAATAATCCTGTAAACGAACTTACATTGCCAGATGTATAACTGAGTAAACATACTTTTCTCAAATAACTAATTTAACTTGGAGGTACAATCCTCTTTGAGGTCTACTAAATTTTATAAAATAATACATTTGTAATGTGAACGGACATCCTAGAATTTCGAATCGTTCTACTTCAAAATCAACACCAATTGTCGCTTTGTAGTCTTTATCAAAAGCAGCTTTGCAAAATCTTGTCACCAATGAAGTTTTACCAACACCAACATCTCCTATCACAATCATTTTGCAAATCTTCAGCCTGAAACAGAAATAAAAAATGCTCAGGTAATATATATTTTACTTGTGATTTGAACGCAAGTTTATATTCTGACCAGTGAACACCAATCAATTTTGTTCTAACTGGCCTAAAACAAAGGCCCGACTTAAACTTGAGATTAGGTTCAAAGGAATTTGGAAATTTATTTGAGAATATTTTTACAACCAGTCAGCATTGAGAAGGATTGAATCATTGACTTGATTTGGACACGAGTCACTATTGATCAATGACTAGACCCCTAGAATCATTTAACTCGAAAGATTCGAGACTCATTACCAACTAACTGCTAGTGAGACTTCAATCTCATTTTTGAGTCTTTCCAATTACTCTATATTTTACAATTACATGAAATAAACTATTAAGGAAGGTAGATAAATTAGGCAGACAATGTCAAGACTGAAAAATTCTGGTCTTGCCAATATATTGTAGATCCTTAAATATTAAAGGATGCTTATACCGAATATTAATCGGGGTATAGTGGTGTGAAAACAATGCATAACAAATTTCATAGTGCAAAGAGAATTTGATAGCAGTGAGTCAGAAAAAAGATTTTCATTACTTATCACTTATCATTAACTACTAGTGACATTCATACATGCTATAGATATATTGATGGTTAAATTTTACTCTAGCACCATACAGCCATACTGATATGGTCAGACAGTACTGTCGTCTTGTTTTTTTTGACATACAGAAGTCATTAAAATATAACTTACCCAATACTCACAGGTTGGCGTGACCTACATATTTCCAATGTCCTGGGATCATAATCCTGCTTATTATCAATCACGGCATCATTGTGGAAACATTTCGGAAAATTTGAAATAATCCGATCTTTGTGGACTGTGCCAGGTCTAGCCTGGTATGAATTATTCATATTAATATTACTTGCTAATTCAGCAACTACAGAATTTTCTTCCTCAACCAGTAAACTGTAAAACGAAATGATATATTCCTGTATTCAGATACTGGTACTTGAAAAGCTGATAAATGCAATAGCCTAGAGTCACATGGGTATTCTGGTGTTTCAAACAATTGCCGCTTTTATACGTATAGCCTACCGGTACAAGGTCAAAAGGTAGAGTAGAGATATAACATGATAATCCTATCCCTAACATCAGCATTTCAAAAAGACACATTCCAAATTCAGTAACTACAAAATCAGATTTGAAACAATAAAAGGAGGAACATTGAGAAAGTATTTTATAATTTATAGACAGCAAAACATAAGGTTAGACTCAGACTATCAACAATAGGATTTACATATTTCTCCTGTTATACGCGACGCAATAATAGTATACCAATATATCCTTACCTTTGTGCCCTGGACGTAGCTGCTAGGAACTTCCTTCTGTCAGTCTGTCCTCACTCAAAAACAGCAACACGAATGGCAATAAATAAACAGCACGAATTTGAGGAAGAATGTGTGGGGTCAGAGGTCGGTGACACATTTGCAAGAGAAGTCATAACAAACGACAGTTCCAAATAAACATGATAGTCGATGCTCTGGCGAAACCTCTTTTAGCTATCAGTATTTACCGGTCCCTGTGGTTATGTAACATAGTCAAAATATATCACGCATCAAATTGTACATTACACGGGTTATCCATTGTATTTGTGCGTTGTCTTTACTAATTATATAGGGCCCGATACAGACATTTTGTACACTTCAACCTTGCCTCAGTTATGTCATTCATTTTGGCAATCGAATTGGTCAGCGTCTGTAAAAGCGACCTTACCATTCGAGTTTGGCCCAGAAGTGGGTTAACAGTTAATAATAATTCCTAATCATTTAATTGATACATGCTACCTCCCTTCTGTGTCCCCTATTTATCTTATCTCTGGTGATGAACATACATATAGCTATATCAAATACCCCGTGCAACAAATAGGACAGAATTTGGACCTATTGAAGTATGCGCACAACCCGAACTCAGGTTGTGTACCAGGTTAGGGTTCAGGTTATGCGACATCTTGGTGCGCATACTTCAGGAGTACCCAGAATTTCCCATATTTATCCGATGGCGAACAACGGCTCCTCCTTCGTTCTCAAGTCGAATATGGGAACAGTAGACCTACCAATTCATTGTTCCGAGGGGATTGAATTGAATAGTGGTCGAAACCGTAGCCATGAAGAGCATTTCCATCCCCATGCTCTTTTCAAAAAGTTTAAACTGCTTGTGAGAAGTCTATTTCGCCAACCAAACGATACATCAAGATAAATTCTGGGAACTGACTCGAGGGTTACAAAGGAACTACCAACGATTATACGACAGCAATGGCGTAAAAATGTACTTGCGCGTAATTATCCCCGGGATTCTAACCTACGTTAAAATAAGTCATGCGATGTTGTACATAATTCTAGGGCTTACCGTAGAGCAGGGGTCGGCAACCTACGGCCCGCGTAGCGATATAATCCGGCCCGCGACGCTTTACTGAATTATAGTGACAAATTATAGCTGTTTTGTCGATTATATTCTTTACGCCAGGCCTGCCCAATCTTTTTCGTCTCGCGGGCCACTTTCATGTGAAGAAATTCGTTGCGGGCCGCAAACGTTTGTACCAAACATTGATACCAGCTAAGTCCTGATTTCGGTGTAGGTAATTTACATAATACATGAAAGGCAAGTTTATTATGATAAAATCAATCAATTTAATAATTGCTTTCGGGTTACTGAGTAGGGCTGGCAAATTATTCGAATATCAAGTCGAATATTAGAATAGCAGTTAACTATCAAATATCTGGTAACACGTGGCGTGGACATGACACTTGCGTTTTCTGACGGCCACGCGAGAACATACACATCACGTCGACATTGAGGGGTATATTTGCGTTATAGTGCTTCCATTCATTTATTTTCAGTAGCTATGGTACTGCCTCAATGTTTAAATGAGCATAATGTGCGCCAATGTCGCGGGAATATCAAGTTATGTGGGCCGTTTCGTAAAATTTGAAACACCAGTATTTAATGAAGTAACATTACAAAGATTCCTGGACGAATAGCCGATATATACTGATTTGTGACCAATATGCAGCAATGCAATAATTTCATCAAAATTATTGACGGATACGCAGTGACGACATTTCCGAAATCTTATTTAACCCAAACATTAGATAAAAAATACTAACATAAAAGGACAACAAGTCCCAGGACCAGTACCAAAGATATCGTTGACTTTTTATTTTACGTTGGCAATAAAAACGATCAAAGAACACACGTAAGAAAACAATCAGAATGAAATTAATTTGCAAATTTAGGCTCCAAATTCATTCCTATAATTGCGCTCAGCGTTTGTCCTTCATAATCGCATAATATCTTTCGAGTTCGTCGAACAAAACTCTCAGTTCTGCGAGAAATAAAAAAAAAAACTGACGTCGATGTCCCCCAGGGTGCAAGACTTGACACAAACGTAATAATAAGTTCCGGCATTTTAATGTAAATAGATGGCAGGAAGAATCACACCAAAATCACGAAACATACTTGAGCCTATATATTGAAATGTAATATGGGAAAAACTTGAAAAGTCTGCTTAGAAACTCATAGGGCGGGCCGCAAAAAACAGTCCGGCGGGCCACATGCGGCCCTCGGGTTGGGCAGCCTTGCTTCACGCAAAAGAATTTACGTGTAGACTAAATTATATTATAACGTAACAAGTATTTAATTCACAATTACTCGTTTATTGAGCCTATAATTTTAGAAAAATGGCAACAAAACGCAGGAGAGTTGATGATAGGTGCAAATGGTTTAATGGCGCAAAAAATATTCAAATGGTCAGTCTTCGTACGCTGCTTAAAATTTAACTTCTGATCTGTGTTATAAAATGTGATTTATCGGTCATCCATTCGATTTTTAACTTTCTAAAACTATGTGCGGCCCACCAATGACTTGCAGGCTTTAATTTTGGCCCGCGAGCTACAGAAGGTTGCCGACCCCTGCCGTGTAGCCTAAAATACAATTTGAAATTTTGACGTCTCCAACACTAGCACTGGTCGACTGTACATTCATAGGTGGCACAGAGGCGTCATCAGCGCCTGACATATTTTCTAGAATTGAGGGATACTACACCGGTACACAGTATTTTCCGGAGACCTGCGCGTTGATCGCACTCTACCTCAAACAGGGTACCGTAATGTCTGGCCAATTTCACGAAAATTCCATATTCTCGAATGACTGTGGTCAACTTGTTTTTCAAAGTACAGTATTAACAAAAAAGTAAAAATATTACACTGGGTCCGAATATATCCACTGTTACAATAAAGTGATGAAAAAAAAAAAAAAAATTCACGGATATTTCAACAGAAGATTTCATAACAAACTTCAGAATCAGAATTTAATAACAAAAATAATTCGCTAAGATTCGAGCAGCCAGAGTGAATGATTTACTTGGCAGAAATAAAAGCGGATTCTTCATTTTGTTGTCAACAATTTCAAATTTATTGATTAAATTATTTTTAAATTTGAGGCTGTGCAAAACTGGAAATAATCATTTATGCTTGCGCAATATTTCAGCAGCGGCAATATTAAACTTGAAGTGAAGGCACAAATAATGAGCAAATAAATTTAGTACTTCTCAATAATTACAAGTGATAACCATTGTTATTCAAGCATGCAACTTTTGTTAGGACAATAAGTACTATTCAATAAAACTCATTCGACTGAAAAAATATAAGAAAAAAGATGGCAGTTAGGTCATGTATACAAAAAAAATCAATCAAAAAAAATGGCCAGTGGAGAGTGAAATACCATGAACCACACAATCCCTGACTAGGGCTGAGCATTTTCGAACACCTGATGGTTTCAGAATCGAATCAAATCTTGAATACATGTAACTGTGCATGGCGTTTCATATGTCAGAATTGTATTTTCAAAATATGGCTTCCTTTGATGAACAATAAAAAACAAGATGGTGGCAATTTGAAATTTTCGTTTGAACCGATTAGAATTTATTAATAAACTTGAAATGCCCAGCCCTATTTCTGACACAGTGAGACAAGAAGTAAAGAAGGCTTCACTTCCTATACAAGTTTATTCAATAACAGAAATGCCTTATTGCACCATACATAGGAATCAACTTTCTTCAACGATAAAAGATCTTTACTGTACCATAAACAGGATTGACTATATACAACCATTTGTTTCCTGGCCGATTAAGTCCAATTTTACAAGAACACCTTCCGATTTATTTTCAATATTCGTTTCTTCCCCATTGTCAAATTGTACCACTGTGTCACCATTTTTATCATGAAGAGCCATATGATAGCCCCAACTTTGCTGATGTGCAAATTTGTTACCGCAATAGACACATACATATGGCATTTCTTTTGTGTGGATGCGCATGTGATTTTTAACAGTACCTCTCTGGGCAAAAGCTTTGCCACATATTTTACACTTAAAAGGCTTTTCATTTGTGTGTGTTCTTGTATGTGCAATCATTGTTTTCTTCAGCGAGAAAGATTTTCCGCAAGTTCCACATATAAATGGACGTTCTTCTGTATGAGAACGAGCATGTGAATTCAAATTGCTCTGTTGTGTAAAATTCTTGCCGCATGTTGGACACGAAAACGGTTTTTCCTTTGTATGAACTCGCAGATGCATTGACAGATTTCTTTGGCAACGAAATTCTTTGCTGCATAGGTGACATTTAAAAGGTTTAATATCACCATGTGTTTTCATGTGAGCATTTAAGCTACTTTGCACATGAAACACTTTATCACATTCAGTACATTCTATCAAAGCTTCAGACACATGTGTTTTTGAATGAGCTCTCAATAAGTCAATCTTTGAGAATGCTTTATCACAAAGATCACACTCAAATGCTTCAGGAGCACATAAATGCGAAGTAAGTTCTTCGTTAGATGTAAAGACTTCTTTGCAATTTTTACACTTATATTCTAGGCCGTCTTTATGAATATGCATGTGTTTGTTAAGTCTTCGGAGTGTGGTAAAATATTTGTCACAAAAAACACATTGATGACTTTCAGCGGATTCATTATTCTTACTACCTTTCGTGTTATTCTGTTTTTTTCCCTTTGATGTGTTTCCCGCCTTTCTTTTGTTTGGAGGACGGGAAGCAGCCTTTTTTCTGTTGCTACCCTTAAGCTTGTCATTGGATGAAACCAATTTGTTTTTTTTATTCACTTTTTTCAATGGTATCGAATCATCTTCAGATGAACTGGAATCATCGCTTTCAAGTAAACGTTTTCTGTGCTCTACTCTTTTTCGAAGACGTTTCACGGGTGACTTGCGTTGTTTCATTTTAGGGCTTTTACTTTTACCTGACACAATTTTTCCATTTGTTTCAATGTCAGCTGAATTCATATTTAGAATTGCTGCGTATTCTTGTTCCTGCGGGAAAAGTATTGCTGATGCTCTTTTGCCAGAATCAATTATGTCATCAATATCATCGGCATTTTGAGATTCAATTTCCTTTATTTCCACTATTTTTGAGTTAAGATAGTTTTCAGTACTTCCGTCTTCAGATATGTTTTCTTCACCTGGTGAACGTGAAGGTCTTTCCTTCATTTATTATTTAGTATTGACATAAATTTTGATCTGTATTAAAAAACAAAAAACACACAATATATGTTAACATATATAAAATTTATGGGAAAATGTATGATCACCTAAATAATTATCCAACATACATAGACATAATGGATTTATATCCAAATCAATTTCAAATTCACGTACAATTTAGTAATATAAGTGTGAAGTGGAGTAGTTCAATTATCTAATAGTTTTATAAGACAATAACCAATTATGAGTTAATACTTATGAAGGTAACTCATAGTCATAACATAAGATTAGTCATAGTTAGTATAATGGCGCAAGACCATGAACATAAAGTTGAATGATTTTGGAGCATACAAAAATATTTACTCTTTAGATTGAAAAGTTAGGAAATATTTACTAGTTGGGTGGTAAAATTTTACAAATAAAATGAATTAAAACTAGGAGTTAAAAAATTCAATTAGGACTTCTGCTGTCTTCTAATGGTTCAGACATTATTTTCCAGAAATTCAAAGCTTTAGGTTTAAAAGGAACTTGATAAAGTCTACTTGAGTGAGGGATGGATCATTCAAGTATTATCACTGTTGAACTAAAGGTTGACCTGGCGTTTGTCGATGAGACAAAGAACTGTGTTCAAGTTTAAATTGTTTAAAAATGTCATTAATATGGTCCATTGTTGAAATTTGATCAGGATAAAAACCGTATCTCAAATTCAATTTGAAAAATCATTTGCAAATAATATAGCGCGGACGCGTGATGATTGCCAATCAGCTTATGATGGTGTATATGACAGGGTTGAAGTATGGGTCTCAATCTATCAAACAATATTCAATAACTCAATCAATGCCAAGTAAATATATAAAATCACCAAATCTATTTACAGGCATTTCTTTCCAGCCCAGTGCCATCTTTTTATCAGCATGTTACCTGCTTTGTATCAACCAAATTTAGTGGTGAAGTTGAGTCAAGTAGTGCAGCAATTGAAGCGAATCAATGACAAAAGGCAATGCAGACGAAATCGACACTTTCAATCAATGCCAAAAATGACTTTAGTGAGGAAAATTTGACGCCTGTTCAGATCAAATAAGACATAAAATTTTGATGCTACATTATCAAATCATACTGAAATGCTGAACTTGGACCAGTTTTAGATTTCTATCGAATTTCAGTGGTGATAATGCTCATGAGTCATGTGGTACAAGAACTTAATTCAGTGGGAATGATACAAATCTCATAAACACAAGAGCACAAACGCATTTGGACAATAGAATGTAACAATATATATCAGGCAGGCAGTTCACACAATGAAGGAATAACTTAAATACATCGACTAGTGAGCGTATGAAACAAAAACCAGTTATATGACTTATCAATAATACAAATAAATGTATTATTGATGGCAATAAGTAGCGCATTGTAAGAAAAGAGCTCTTAATTTCACATGAAATCCGTATTAAATGGAGCACATTCCCGCGCCTCACAATAACCCAAAAGCTTGAAATCCTTGTACAAATACCACTAAGGTAGGCACATAGGGCTAACTATGATTGAGAGATCTCTGGTTATAATACCCTGCCCACCAGCTCATCCAAGCTGGGTTGGCTATACTGAACCATAAAAATTTGTGGTCCTTCCAAAAACATCTTGAAGGACATAGCAAAGCAAAACATAGCTCTTTCTGTAAAAAAACTTGCTTGCTAGAAGCCCTTGTGAAGATGTGAATTATCTAATTGAAATACTCTTAAGCTTGTTTAGTTATCAATAAGCTGAATTAATAAGAGTTGCAACAATTTAAAACATTAATTCTCAGTCATTTTCATGCAAAAAATTATCTTATGTTAGCTCCCAACAGCTTTATTTGGAGGAGTCCATTTCAAAAATTCTGCATCAATATTCCGTTGTTGTACAAATTCACTTTTCTTCTTTTCTTGTTTTTTGACCCAAACATCAATTAGTTCCTGTTTCTTTAGAATGATGTGTTTACCCTTCCAATATTTAAGCATTTGTAAAGCCTGTAAAGTGCTTACAATATCAGCCGGATTGACTGCAGTTTCTTGACTTATATCCCGAATTGAAACTTCGTCAACCGAATCTTTTTCACATAAATATTTTAATATGACGTCAGTCCAGTAACTTCTATAAGATAACAGTCCCAAGTCAGATAGCGGTCGTTCAGGTGAACCAGTTTTGCCTTCTTTCTGAGATAACAGATAGCTGAAATCAATAAGCATTTTTCCATACCCTTTACGCATATACTGTGGCATTGTAAGGATACAGGATACATTGTAATTTAAAAACGAATTTTTTTCTTTAGAAAAATATCCAACCATATGACATCCCATCATATCAGCTTCAGTCATTACGTAGAAAAGAAATGGCTCCACATCATAATAAAGAGTCTTGTGGTCTAGAAATAATTTTGCTAACAGACATAGGTTTTGACAATAAATTTTATTCTTTTGTCCGTCCACTTCAAAAACTGAAATTGTCCCCTTGCGGTATATTTCATCACCAGGAGGGTGTCGCCAAACGCATTTTGCCATGTGTCTTCTCAGTATTGTTCCACTTTTTATATATTTTAAACAAAATTCACAAATATATAACTTTGACAATCTCACATATTCTTCAGGATAGGGTGACGCATACCAAGTATCCATCTCAAATCTACCAATTTCAATTTTCTTTATTTTGCGATCTTGAGAAGTAGTCGATGCTGCATTAGTAATTTTATCCATCTCCTTTTCGAGCTCCTCCGAAGCTAACATCTGAGCCCGCCGAAATAATTCCAGATCATAATCAGAAGTCAAACCTTCGAGCAATGGTTCTCTGTTCAAGCCATGTTTTTGTCTGTCAAGATTTTTTAGTTTTTCTGATTGCTTTTCAAAATGTTGTGATCTCAACTCATTGACAGAGTTTTTATATTTTTGTTGTGTTTCGTTCGGACCGCTATCAGATTGTTTTCGTGTGTTATGCATTGGTGTTCTATCATTCTTCAATTCAAATTCTCTTTCCTCTCGAATGCGCTTGTAAGCTTCATGATTTGCTTTGCAGTTTTCAGGTGTTAAATTGTGATATAACGGACATGCAGCTAATGTGAAATGACGTTCAAATCGACCAGTTAAATGACCTTGTGAATCACAGCTAGGAGTCGGACAATGTTTTAGGTCAATGTTATACGAAGGAATTACTTTGCGCTGGCGGAGCCGACCATTAGCGGTGTCAGCAATGACTCGTGCTATTACTTCATCGTTTCCAGTATCAGGTACCTTTTTAGGACTTGAACGTTTTGGTGATTGGTTGTTAGCGTTTGATGAAATACTAGAAGTTTCATCTATTTTATGTCGCTTCGGACTTTTCATCAAAGGTTCAATATCATTGTCAGTGTCATGGCCAGATGCTCTTGTTCTCATTCGAACTGGAATCGCAGATTCACTATCGGATTCTGCATTAGAACTGCTGATATTGTCGGATTTATTTTTTATTGGTCTCTTTTTCTGCTTTAATTTTTTAAGCTTCTTTTTTGGGTAAATTTTTTGGTTGCTTGAACGATCTTGAAGTACTTTGCTTTTCTCCAATGATGCTGCATGTGAACTATCAGCCGACGTTACAGAATCAGAACGACCACTACTTCTCAAAGTTATTCTGTAGTCGCCTTCTGATGAATCAGTTTCTGACAGCTCTGATTCGGTGGAATTGCAGCCCACACTGCGGCCCCGCCTGCGCATCTTTTTCAATAACTACTATTTTAAAATATTTAAGTAATTTACCTAAAAACACAATCACCTGCATTGAAATATTCAACAAACACATAAAAAAGAATATTTTATAGTGTGTGTGTGTGCAAGTCAAATGACAACAAAGCGACCAATACATAAGCATCATTTAACTACACTCTTGAAAATAAAATAATAAACAATGAAACAAAAAATTACAATCTTTTTCATCTGTGGCAAACATTTGATAAAGCAGTGCGATAAATGAATCAATATGATAATGATTAAAAACAACTAAAAAATATGAACAGCATTTTAACAAAACTGAATAAGAACCAGCTACTGATACTGATGTCATGACCGGTAACGAGGGCACAATTTGAAGATACAATTCCATTTTACGTTCAGGTGAAAATATTCAAATATGAATATTTCCAATCGTTATATGAAAAACGGCCTATGATGTTGACATCCATATAGGTCTGAATTTGGATGTAGAATTTTCATTATACTTATTAATTAAAACAGGTGGTTTGTTTAGTCGTAAGTCCCAAACAATTTGATTATGTAACTCTCCTGCTCAAAAATAACTTTCTATATTCAACAAATCTTTTCAAATTTTAAAACACTATCAATAACATGAATTAGCGTTCATATTTCAGAGTATGTATTCAATGCAATTTTAAATCCAATCGTGGTTACTTGTTAATTACCGGTACAAAGATAATACAAATATTACAATACAGGAAATTGGGAGTATTTGCATCTCATTTGCTGCATCTGTTACATATAGGTATAAATATATTATAATGGAAAAATGTCAATAATAGTTAAGCATCTCAATGCTCAGACAAATGGTTTTGAAAGTGAATGAAGACAAATAATCAATTTTCAAAGGGGGCAATAACTAGAGATGTCCATATCTCAATGAATGACTTTTTCTGGACTCTGGACTCAACATTCTGGGTATTATAAATCCTAATGTATGCGAAATTTTACTGTGAAAAACAGATACACCAGCAAGTAATATTGTCTAAATTCCTAAGCTTCTTTACCAAAAGGTATTGATACAAAATGATGTTTAAACCAAATTACATGGACAACCCTACTAATGACAAAACAATCCAGCTTTACGAGAAGGGCTTCCAATTTGAGAAATAGAAAAATTGTTGGTTACTGAATTAATAATATAATAAGCAGGTTGCAAGTAACCAATGACAAATCAGAATTAAAAAAAATCTGCTTTATAAAAAAGGGCTATGTCTGGCAATGGATATCTACTTGAGTTGTTTTCATTTCAATACCACTAAACCAGTTTCCCAATACACTAATAAGTAACAACTCTAATGAATTTGTAAATACACAGAATTTTCCCGACATACTCAACGCACAATATCAATGTATGCCACAATTAATTAAAAAAGGCTTGAAAATAAGCCTTGTAACAAAAGGTTGATTGAAAAAAGATTTTGCTCATATGAATGTGTCCTTATTATCAATACCAACGGATGTGATAAATATATATATAGATATATACATCAGACAAATGATTAAACAATAATATTGACGTTTTAAAAGAAAATACAGAAATATATTTATAAGAATGATAAATTATACAATCATTTACTGCACAAAAGATAACATAACAGAATTTAATATTAATATCACACTAGGTAGTAAACGAACGATCAAATTTTATTTATGATGTGACTTGCATTTCTTTCTAAAAAAGAGGTCTGGTTTCCGTAAACCAAGTGAAAATATTCCAAATAATTCCTAGAGCTCACCACTTAAAATATAATAAATTTTTGATATAATTGAATATTTGATTCGCAAGTTCATGAATACAAGTTCATATTTCTCAAAATGACCAAAAAAATGAAGACTGAAATTGAACACCATAAATTGATTTGCAGTTTTACATTCTTATCCTACCCAAATTTCAATATATATATTGTGTGCACACTATATGCAGCAGTTTCAGCAAATATGCAATATAAAATTGAACAATTTATCATCATTTTGTAGCGTATCGTCAAATTTACACTGGAAAAAACAGTAATTTTGTTCCCAGGGAATCTTACAACTAATATTTCATATAGCACAACTTGAAAATTTATCAGTGATTATATACCATCCTAAGATGAGCATTTTCATATGTTATTTTATTATGCAACATTCAAATACTTCAATTTGCCTTGGCAATACATTCAGGAAATTGAGTAACGCTATCATAAAGAGATAATACTCATAAGCATCGGCCAATCTTTTGATTCATTGTATTGTAATAAATACTAGGTTCTATACTATATTATGATGGTCACCATTTTTGATACACGCTGCATGTAACAAGTTATATAAACCATAATTTTTTGGATATACAAGCAACAAAATGAAAATAAATATCCAATTTTTAAAAGATCAAAAAAATATATAACGGTATATATTTATTTCACAGAAATGAAGCCTACAAAACTGGTATGAAAAAACATATTAGGAGAAAGGAAACCTTAATTAAGTAATGCAAGAATAACGATTTCATTTAAGCCGAAAATATTTGATGGAAATGAACGAAGAAAATGTTAGATGCAATGAGCCAGAAAAGGATTTCATCCCAATATTGATTTGTCATCATGTAAATTTCTATTTCATTCAATCAAACGTATTCATAATGAATCAATCCGAGCAAAGATAACTACAAATGAAATATTGCTGTAATAATTATTGGTGAACCAAAATGACAATTCATCTGATGAGGATTTCAAGAAATCCATAAAATTAAGAATAAGCTTTTTATATCAATTTCGAAATTTTTATTATTCCATTTGGGTTGGATATTCCTGATATCGATGAGAAATGAGAAAAGCTGGAACTTTCTTTGAATTGAACAATACAGACGAAAATGACCTACAATGAGAAAACCTACTGTCATTATAATCAATCTACTGTTATAGGATATGCAGAGAGTTTTTATAGTACATCTAATGAGCACAATAGTCATCAGATCTTAATAAATATTGGTGGAATATTTGTGACGAACTTGGCATAGAAGATTGAACATTGAAACCAATACATGGAATCCAACCACCCATAAAATTTAAACTATAACCAAAAAATTTAGGATCGCCTATGCAGAGAATTAGTGATTCTGTACCAAATTTAACATAATAACATTCAGCATAGATAAAGATTTCATTGAAAATCCTTCAGAATATTCAAAACACAATTCCTATCCAAGCAAGAGTTATAGTTTCAGAAATGCAATCTATTTCAATCCAAGGGCCTCCATAGAGAAATTAGATTTTCAGTAACCAAGGGATGTGGTTGAAATAAGAATGGTACATACATTATACGAAAAACACATATACACATAGTAGCGACAATAATCTGTAAAATAAGATAAAATTTCTAGTAATTCTACCCTAAGTAAAATTTGACTGCATGCATGTATAGCTCACTATTCATGTCAACAATAAAAAACGCAACACAAAAATAATATTAATACAACACATGATTACGGTATTAATTACTTCATATTAATTAAGATTGCCATGGATATTACAAGTTTTTATTAGAAATATAACAAAGAAAAAAGTCCAACATTTGTAAAAAAAATTGAAAACAATTGAAACAAGGGGTATTTGTCATTGTAGGCGCAGACTGTCAAAGCCTAGTTCAACTCCGCGACATACCAATACCACGCAAGGAACTTTCATGGCTGGGGATATATTTGCCTACTAATATGTTTGTCCATTATCGTCATGATTAAATGTATATTTGTATAAATGAAATAAAAACTAGTTTCATTATTGGTGCCGTCCTATTTCATCTTCTAGAACTGAATTTGGTAGATATAAATGTTACAATCATACGGGTTATTTCAATCCGAAAATATTGCGAAATTTGTGCAATTGAATATTAGGATACGAAAATCGTTAATTCAGTGTTACAATTACAGACAAAATGAGGCAAAGGAAGTTCAATACAGAAAAAAAAAATATTTGAAAAAAATTCTGTTCAGAATAAAATCGTGAATTTGCTTTTGTTTCAGTTCTTTTGAATGGAACTAAGTCTCGGTATGAGTTTTGATTTCGAATATTCTGAATCAATTTATATTTTAGCTGAATCATCAGTGAATATTATTACATGAATTTGATAGGCCTATCAATTTTCATCCAATGCATAAACAACAAATAAAAAATAAAAAAGTTTTTTAATTTCTGAAGTCTCAAAATTGATTTTGGTCAATTGAATCAATTCCAAGCGAAATTCTGTTGCTAATTCTCGATGCGATAAATCAGGATAATATGTAACATGCCCATTGAAAAACATGATATCAGGTTCGATTCTAATTGTACAATATTAATATCACTTTGACCAGAATTCCGGAATCTAATATAAACTGCTATGAAAGTTCAAGAGATCAAATCGCAAATATGCTTATAAACTCCAGCATATTTTCTAGTATATCAGTGTTCCCAAAAACAGTTTTAACAGGAAAGCTTGTGAAAACGGGAACACCAAAATTAAAAGGGCCAATATTGAGAACTGAGTATCAATTAACAGCTTTTAACCAGGGCGTGTAGGGCCCCAAATTAATTTTTTAGAGAGATAATATAGGCCAGAGAAGTGCTGATCGTGTTAATTAATGATAAATACACATTGAGATTTATTGAATTACAAATATTGACAAAATGGAATTGGATGATTGAATTCACCAAGCGAAATTGTTTTACAATAAAATTGCACCATGTCATGGAGCAGTAAGACCAAAAAAAAAATGGAGAAGAACGTCAAATTTGGTTCTCAAAAAAAATCACTTTTTTATTTTATGCAGCAAATCAGGATATCATGTTTTACAAAGCAAAATTTGGCATACATTATGATTTGCTCAATTTTAGAAGTTAGGAAGGACCAGTAATTTTTGAACACCACAAGTTTTTTTAAATTTGGCCATTTCTAGATTTGGGAAATATTCACAAAAAAGATGTACAAATATAACGAGACTTCTCCATGATATTTTTCTCCTAAGTTGACACCTATTTTTGCTTTAAAAACCAGGTTGTGATTGACAGTGCTATGTTTACCATAATATGAGAATAGAGACACAAAGTTTTTACTAAATAGAAGTGATATAAGTGCTTACAACATGAACCGACAACATACCCGTCAATGATAAGGTACAATTTCCTAATAAGAAACAATGTGACGCATTGCGAATTTTCTGAATGATTATGATTATTAAGTTTTTGACTCAGTGGTAACTCCCACATTAAGTTTTACGTCAATTCTTCTGCTTCATTGCCGTTATCAGTATCACCAACCATAGGCTGAGCAATTCCTTCTCTGTAGACACGTAAAATAGCCTCACACACAAACCTAAACTGAAGAGCAGTTTGAATCATCATAGCTCGCTGGTCTCGCATATTTTGCGTGATTTGTAAAGGAAATACAGGCTGATTAGCCTCGATTAAACACATCGCTGTTTCGACAGCAATCATGACCCCCGTTCTTCCTATGCCCGCACTACAGTGAACTATCGTTGGAACGGTCATGGCCACTCGTTTCTGCCTAACACAAAGAATGAACTCAAGAAAGTCGCTAGAATCATCGGGGACACCGTGATCAGGCCAAGCAACATATTGAATGTGAGATACGTCCCTTTTATCAACAATATCTCCGTCAGAGTTTATTGCCCCGATTTCGAACTCTCGGAAAATGAAACAAGATGAAGCTGTTTCCGATTTTGATGTTACGGCAATGTTTGCAAACTGTATAGTACAGTCAGGATTAGGCCAGTATTGAAAACATTTAATCATGCCTCTTTCAATTGTAGTAGTTACCATTACAATTAATGTTGCCTTCTGTTCCCAAACCATGGCCCAAAAATCACCACTAGTGTTTTGAAGGGGACCTTGACAAGCAATATAATGATTTGCAATACCCGCGTTTGGGATTTCCATTAATATATGATTGCCATTAATATAGTCCGTTTCCCAATTGCTAAGTATCACTCTAGTATCATCATAAGGTGAAATGTCTCTATACCGATTCTTAGGTACATTGTGGGGTAGTTTTGCATCTTTCATCAACAGACCCGGCTTTTTCCGATATAATCTGTCGAAAGCAGCCATGTCACGGCCGTTTTCCAATTGATTATTGAGCACCGACATAGAGTATTCAAGACTATTTACACTAATTTCGTCTTCTGCGAGTAAAGGCCCGTTTTCAATTTTTGGAACCTCCATTTCATCATCCTCATCTTCGTAGGTAGTAACAACAAAAGGTCTAGTTAATAGCACCAACTCTCCAGCAAATTGTTCTCTAGTAGCACGTATAAAATTAACGACCTGATCATGAGTGAGTGTATTTGCGTCTCTGCCATTTATTTGTAGAATTTCATCTCCAATATTGAGACGTGGATCACAGATGTCCGCAGGAGAATTAGGAGCAATTTTAGACACTGTGATTGGCATGTTCTGATCACTTCCACCCTTTATATTAAAACCAAATCTTCCGTGATTATCAGGCTTCAACCGTACAAGTAAAATATTATCAGGTAAAACATATGGCTCTGGAACTTTAGGTGGAACTTCAGGCTGTGACGTTTGAAACGGACAATCTGGATACGATTCCAATGGTTCACTTGCCACAGAATTAAGAGATGGTTGGGATAAATCATTCCCATTCAAGTACACTTTGTCGCTCATGAAACTAGTTGCTGTTAAATCATGATCACTAATGTTGTTGGAATAAATTTCTTTGTCCAAGTTAACGGCGAGAGTTACAGACGGTGGTGCACTTAATCGCCTGGACTCCTTTGTTTCCTGATCAGGAAAATCGTTACTCTTATTAGAGATGAGATTACTCGTTGTTAGCATTTTTGAAGACAGGCTTTTCTGTGGGCCTCGAAATTTCAATACATCCCTTTCTGCATTATCATATCTTGATTTCGATTTACCACCCATTGCAAAAAAGCCACCGAAAACTGGTTTCTCTGGTTTGCCTTGAACATTATTACCTTGCTTTCTGTACATTCCTATCATTTTTTCTCTTTCTTGACGATAAAACGAATGACAATCGACACAATTTTTCCACAACCGTTTACAAGATCTGTAATTGTCCATTGTAAATTCAATCATTGCCACCACCTCCTCTTTGATTTTATCTTTTTGGAGTTGAATATAAAACTGTTTCCGTTTGAATGAAATTTTAACGATTTTTGACCATTCATATTTATTGCACAATTCTCCGTTTTTGAATAGGCCTACTCCATCAGTAGCAACTCCGATTTCAAGATCGCTTCCGTCAAGATCTTTAGCACGATGTATATCGACACCATATCTATTCAACCTTTTTGCTTCCTGTAAAAATAGTAATTCCGCCTGTACAGGGCTTAATCCTTTATTTCGTCTGTGAAGCTTTTGAACCTCCTGCTCAAACTCCGCAGTTTGGTTAGCGATAAACTTAAACTTACTGAGATATTCCCCTTGGTGTTGATCAGAACGGTAATCGCCAATTTCAGATTGAACAGCATAAGACGCAAGGAGGGCAGCAGTGTTAGGAGAACAAGCTAATCTTTGTTCCAAAATTTCGAGCCTCACTTGTAAAAATAGTTGATATCTTGTTGATGCATCTTTTAGTCGATTTATGTCAAAAATATAATATTTTATTCGATAATAAAGAAGGAGTGGATATCCGCGTTTGAATTGCTTTCGGATTGATTTAGCCGGATCGAGCCATTTCATTGCGTCTGGAACATGTTGTGGAAATTGAAGGCCGTAAAACTTCGGTTCCTTACATCGAACATTTTCAAACACAGCATCTAGTAATACTTGGCCACGATCTCGCTTGTTTACCTGAAACTCGACTTCTGAATTGTCGAGTAAAACTACAGCAATTGTTACTGATTGATTTTTGTCTTTACTTGCTTCCATTGCATGCGGCAATATTTTACGAACACCAACTTTAGTCCATTTCATCAGGTTTTTCACATAAATATTGAGGTAATGTTAGACTTAATAATACATTAAATACTGATATCTGTGATATTAATTACAAATGTATATTGTATAAATATTGATAAAAATTTAACATAATTAAATTGATTGATTTTTGCGGTAAATGAGAGAGAGAAAGAAAGATATTCATTACTCCATCAACCAAAAAAGTGAGCATTGCAACAATAATAAAAATACAATCACATATGCAAAGTTTTTCAATAGCCTATAGACTTTAGGGGGGATACGAGATACGACCATACAGTCATCAGAGGCAGCTCCCCCAAATGGTCATAGATTTGATAAGCTGTTACCTGTTGCCTGTGTATTTATCAATAAAACTTGAAATTTTATTCTTTAAAAATATAAAACGCCCATATAATTCTATATAACTTGTAGGCCTATGCATTTAGAATTTTTTTACACATAATTGGCGATATAAATTCTTATTACCTGAATTATGTATCTAGTATATACAGTCACCTTGCCTAAATTTAAAAGAATCAGTTGAGGTAAACTTTGCTCAATTCACAGATTTGAAATTAAAAAATTCAGCAATAGCTACATCGAGCAACAGAATAACTAGCCTATATGTATCGTGATTATGTACTTCAGTTTAATTCCCCTTATCTATACAGTAATACAGCTAACATATTTCATTTCATACAATTTAATGCAACTGCTGCACTAGCTAAATACTAATGATATCATATTCCCCACTCACAACACAAATCTAGTAGCAACTGATGAAACGTCATTAAAACCTAATGCTACGTTAACCTATATCTGAGTCATCATATGAATACTAAAATGTGAAAAGTCAGAAATGACTACATATCTAGTAGTCAGAATATATAATGCTGAATTATCTTAATTGTTTTATTTATTTTTAATTTCTGGCCACACCCTTGTACAAAAGCAAATTTGAAATTGCTACAAAAATTCAAAATGAGAAGTAGAGATGAGCGCAATAAATGTAATAATTGACTCATCAGCTGTATTTGAAAATAAATATTTGAAATTATCAGTACAAATAATTCATATTACAAAAATACATTATTATATTTAGTCTTTACTACATAATAATTTTTAGAAATATTAGAAACATGATTATAAGCTAGATAATGGTTCTTCTAAATAATTCTTTTTCACAAAAGTGATAGGTGATTGTTGTGTTAATGATGAGAATCCTAAACAAATTCATTTCGTCAGAATATTGAATGTGTATGTTTGTATATACAGTATATTCAAAAGAGTTGAATTTGGATTTTTTTAACTATATGCTGAAGAGAAATAAGGCATAGCTAGAGGATTCCCCAAAATGTTAAATTCAGCTCTCACCGAACCGAAACTTTAAATATTTTATAGATACTATTGAGAATTGCTATCTGAAGACTAATTTTGAATATTTATAGCTTCAACTCAGACTGCGAATATGATACTAATAAATTCCTAAAAAACTGGACATTACAATATCATTAATTCGTTCCCTGACAAAAAAAATGTCGGATGTCAAATATGATCCTGCTAAATATTAACACAGTACGCAGATGATATTATTTACTTAATTAACGTTGCTGAGAACTGTAAAACAGTAACATAATTACTGTCATATAACTATAAAATAATAAAGTAGTTTTACAACTTTGTTTTAAAATAAAGAACAGTTGAAAAAGGTAGATATGAAGGATAAAGCTAGTCCAAAAATTCATCACTATGGTGTTCAAAAATTCAGGGTGGGAAAGATTAGGTTGGCTTTTCGCTCGACATACTTTTCGATCACATGACTGTTTAAGTTATGATTTTGTTTTACATTCATCCTGGGGTTTGTTTAAAAATAATCATATACAAGTACATGTAGATTTATAGGACATTTGGGCATAGTTAGAGTTAGGACGTTACAAAGTTAGGGCTGTACCGAAGCCGCAGGTTATCGGTATACGTGACTGCTGAATTGAATGATTATTCAGAAAAAAAAATTATGAACATTTGTATATTATTATTTTGAAATAACTCCCAAGGCGGCAAAGAGGCAAAGTCATAACTCAAACCGCTACATGCCACTCAGTGATCAGAAAGATCCATGGGGCAAAAAGTCTGTACTCGGTTGGCTCTATGATAAACCATAATGATTATAGTGCTTTCAAAAACATAAGTCGTTATATAGGGTCTCATGTAGTTTCGTACCTAACATACTTCTAGTGGGCATAGCATAACAAATTTTTCATGCGTCAGTCCTAACTCCCACCTGACTACGGCATCCAAAAGTTACGTCACTACAACATCACGGTGATGTGATAGAGCCCTTCAAAACTATACAAACTGTCATCCAAGACAAGCTGACGAGAACCCGTAATCGAACAGCTATTTCTCTCGTTTTCTCGACGCGACGATCCCAAATGAGAGAGTTCGATGACATTAGTCAGTTCCTCATCGTCGGCGCCGATGCCATTTCGGGCGATCGTATGTATATTTCAGAATACTGGTACTAGATGCTAAGCAACTACCAGTGCTGAACTAAGTTAGTCTAGAAACTAAATTCAAAAGTGGTGCCATACTACATCTGAACACGAAGCAGTAAACCTACTTCTGTATTTTGGTCTAGCGAGGTAATGCTGTACCGCACTAACTGCAAACTAAAATGCGATGTCAAATGGACACGTAACTGCCTAAATAATTACTAACAGAAACATGATGCTGTGATGTGAATTTCTATGTTTTTTGAAAAAGTGGGTGTCTGTCGGAATGAATTTCACATCTCATTTTTGTTGGCGTTATTTTGGTAGATACGGTAGCTTACGGCGTTTACTTCGCTAGACCTCTGTATACTACTGTACTATGTGCATTATATATACAAAAAGAAAAAACGAGTTATAGACTTATAGTCCAGATTAAATGCAACAGTGCAGTCTGTCAGTGGCGAGAATGCAATGATTCCTAATTTTCATATGATTTTCAGAAAAGTTTTTAACATTGTTATATCTAAACAAGGCTCGAGATGAGCAGTCACCGGGTCTAGTATAGTTTAGTACCACAAGTACTTCTAGTGGGCGTAGCATAAGAAATTTTCATGTGTCAATCCAAACCCCACATCACTGCAATCACGTCATAGAGCTTGCAAACTACTGGTATTCAAGTATTAGGAAAGGATTTGCATACCGTATTTATTCTGTAATCCTGTATTCTGGCATTGCAACTTCATAATTTGCAATTTACTAAGGATAGAAGGCACGTTAACTATCACACAGTTCCACAGATATATTAGTACCGGTATATGAGTAAAGAACTTTGAGTATAACACTTGTGGCTTACCGTAACTTTGCTGAGATCTGGAAAATTTCTTCTCTCAATCGCTGTCGCGTAGGCATGCAAGCAAACTCTTCTGGTGCTGTCGGCTCACGGTAAATTCAAAATCGAACAACTATGCCAATAGTGCACGTAGCATAACGCACGCACCACTTGATCAACTTTTAACAAATGAAACAAATACCGGTATCTCCGTTTCGAGAAAGACTTGCCGGCACCCGAAGCCGCCCTTATCAAAAACGCTGAGGAGACTTCTGCGAAGCCGCCAGCAAATTTAGGGACGTATTGAAAAGTCTACGCGGCAAAAACGCGGAAATATTCAAGACAGATATACAGTTGTCAGTAGGGTTAGTTCGGATACCTATAATTTAAACTATCCGGATAACGGATATATCCGGGTATTTCGTATTTCAACTATCTGGTTAACCGGATAGTAACTGCTAATTTCAGAGAACCTATTTCACAAGATTTTTGCGGCGAATTGACTAAAAACCACCACACAGTTCTATTGTAAATACGTACATATGTATTATTTAGTTTGAATAAAAATGATTGTGCATTTTGATGTTGAATGTGTCAATAAATAAAAATTTAAGCTCTGTAATCGTACAGAAGTACAGCTGAATAATATAATGAAACATTTTTTTAAATACTTTGTCCTAATTGTCTTTCCCTCGACTGCTAAGTTATTTTCTCATATTCAAATCCTATGTAAAAATTTATAATATTCTTTTATTTATTGTTAAATTTTTTGGAAGTTTTTTTTGTGTCTAGAGCATATTTTCTTTGAATTTTGACTCGTACTAAATTTTGGTGTCGCAGACTCACGATGACCATTTCTTTAAGTTCAATTAGTTTAGAATAGATTTATTTCGGCTGGTATAGACTATAGAGGACTTGCACGAGTCACGTGACCTTGTTTACTGGACGGCAATAAAACAAAAACGTCCATTTAGCTCCTGTCAGTTGCAAGTCGGATTATACGTTTCCGTTTTGTTTGGCTGTTGAAAATGGTTATTTCGTATTGTTCCGATGGCTGTACATACTATAGGCAGTGGCGGCGCGTTAATAGGGCCGGTTGTTTTTTCGGTATAATAAAAAATATTCGAAAAATACCTCAATATCGGTTGCACGGACTGTCTACACTAGCCATATTCTCCCGACATGGTTCATTTTTCGCTCGCAAAGCCTTCGCCGAACGTCGACGGGGCGACGCCGATTTTGCCCCGGTTGCTCATTGTATATCGTATTCTCTCTTTTATCTTCCACTCGCCGCGTGTGTCTCGTTTGTTTTCTGTTTCTTTTACTAAATCTTCGGGGCCGATCGGGGCTAGCCCCGAAATTAAGACGACACAATGCCGACGTTTCTTACAACAACGTGTTGACATATTCACGCATTCCTTCTCGTTCGTTGGTTGCTTGAAGAGTTGATAGTTTCCTCGCCTTCGTTTTTGTCGCTTGTTTCGCTATTTGAATCAGTTAGAGACCTTTAGTCCATTTGCTTTCGATTTTCCACATTCCTTTTGAGCTCCTCACTTCTTTCCGGCTTCGCATTTCTTAGCCTTAGACCTCATAATAAATAAGGTTGATGCACTACTTCGCACTCCGTTTTCGCAGCTGCCGCTGGAAAAAAAATTAGAGGTACAACGTCTTGGGCCTTATCAACCAAAAAATTGTTCACTGGAACAATCCCATGACGGAGGAAAGCGTCGGCGTACATTCTGCGCAGAAACTTGGTACAAAAAACACGAATGTTTGTGTTACAGCGAGGACAAAAATGCACTTTTTTGTTTTTATTGCCTACTTTTTGCTACCGCCCGTGACTCACGTTGGTGTAAATTTGGTTTTAGAGATCTTAAACATCTTTCCGAGCGTGCCAGGGATCATCAATCTTCTATGGAGCATCTGGACAATGCAGTAAAATACCGAACATTCGGAAATGTTAATATTGCAGCACAGTTGGATGAAGGACGCGCGGTTTCTATTCGTCGGCACAACCAAAACGTCGAGAAAAACCGCCATGTTCTCGGTCGATTGATAGATGTTTTGAAGTTCATTGGTTGTCACGAGCTGTCCCTCCGTGGGCACGATGAACGGGCTGGCTCTTCTAATAGAGGGGTATTTTTGGATATGGTGGAATACACCGCATCCCTAGATACAGTATTGGGAGATCATCTTGATGCCGCAACTGTTTCGAAAGGGACATCTAAGGATATCCAAAATGATTTGCTCGACTCAATGTATAAAATTTATTTACAACATTTGGCTCTGGAAATTGAGAATTGCCAGTTCCTTTCGATTCAGTCTGACGAGACAACTGACATCACGTGCGTTTCCCAACTGGCTGTGATTTTTCGGTTTGTGAAAGATGGTAAACCTACCGAGAGATTTCACAGCTTTGTACCAATCGTCGATCGCACGGCTTGCGGGATATCGGCTGTACTGAAAGAAGTGTTACAGCCTTACAACGCGAAGTCAAAATTGATAGCTCAAACTTATGACGGCGCGGCAGTCATGAGTGGGTCGAAACATGGTGTTCAAGTTTATATAAAAGAAGATTTTCCTCATGCGCATTTTTTACATTGTTATGCACACCAATTTAACCTCGTTATTAAAAATATGTGTCTTGATACCCCTCTCGTCCGTATATTTTTTGCAAATGTTTCGGAGTTTTCTTCATTTTTTTCCGTTTTGCCGAAGCGCTCTGACCTCCTTCGTCAGATATGTAGCCGCCGTCTCCCAGCTTGTGCACCAACGCGTTGGAACTTCCAATCACGCGTGGTGCAGGGCGTGTCCGAAATTAGGTCTGAGCTCATTGAGTGTTTCAATGGCATTCAGAGCTCTCCGGTTTGGGACGAACGCTCTGTATCTCGTATCCGGGAAACAATAAAATACGACGACACATGGAGTGCTTTTTTTACGCCGCTGGCAAACAACGCAGCGTTTGATTTTGTCTGCAAAGGAATGCTGTGACATTCTGGTGAATCAAATAGGCGATCGTCTGCGCACTGAACACCTTGGCGCGTTCTCTTTGATGAACCCCAAAAATTTTTCAAAATTTGCACGTCAATTTCCCATCCATTTGTTGGCTACTGTCTCCAAATTTTACCCCATGATAAACGTGGGTAAATTGGAAAATGAATTGCGATGTATATACATACACCAATCAAACTTTTTTGAACATCACATCAACTTGCGCGCTCTATGGGTTCCTCATAGATAACACTCTAGTAACTACCTTTGCGGCGTCTGCAAAATTTCTGGACATCATTTTGACGACGCCTATTTCTTCCGCCGACGCAGAGCGAACATTCAGCACGCTGAAGCGTATTAAAACGTATCTCAGAAACACAATGAAGCAAGATAGATTAAATTCCTTGGCTATTTTATCCATTCACAGAGACGTTATTTCTAGGATGCATGACTTTAATCAGCGCGTTATTGAGCATTTTGCTTTCAAGAAACCGCGGCGTGTTGCATATATGTTCAAGCAGTAGAAGTCTAGCAGCATATATATCTATGAGTGAGCGACGCATGTCCTTATCTTTGCATTACTTTTCCTTTCTTCATAGTAACGTTTCAAACCTTATTTTAGGTTTTGTCTGCTTTCCCGAAGTTTCTGTTAATATGTCATTGTATTTATCTGGGTAAATATTGCCTTTCCTTTTGAAAGAGGTTTCAAAATAAACTATGTCTATATTTATTAACCCCTTGACTTGGACCGGTTTTAAAGACACTTTCTTATCGTTGAAAATTGTCGCTTTTGCCGATTGGTTGTTACCGATGGAATGGTTTTTATACTCATAAAATGATGGGAGAACTTACAGCGCTCATCCTGTCCCCGTAGATGGGGGTGACTTGGTCCCGCGGTAGCTTGCCCCGGTTGTCAAAATGACCACGCGCCGCCACTGACTATAGATACAGCCAACGGAACAATACGAAATAATCATTTTCAACAGCCAAACAAAACGGAAACGTATAATCCGACTTGCAACTGACAGGAGCCAAATGGACGTTTTTGTTTTATTGCCGTTCAGTAAACAAAGTCACGTGACCCGTGCAAGTCCTCTATATCTATTGATTCGGTTGATACATGGAAATTTGAAAAACATATATACCAAAGTTGAAAGCAAGCACATAACATTTGGTCGTGTACTCAAAATTTTGAAATGCTACACAGATTACATGGAATCGGAAGTGTTGTGAAATAGGTCCTCGAAATTCAAACTGGTTTACATCATGATGAAATGCGTTTCTTCAATACACGCAACAACTAAAAGCCACACCCGACGAAAAAGCAACGAACTCACACCCAATGCATTTCCACTGAATTCGTTTAAGTTAGTCTTGCTTAAACTGTACCTCCAGTTCAAATCTAACTTTATAAAGCAAATGAGCTCTTCTAATAAGCGCAATATTCACATTTGTGCTGCGTGTTTTGTGATGTAATAGTGAAGTTCACTCCAGCATTCTACGGATGGCTAAAATATAGGCAGATTAGAGTGGGGAAAGTTGTTATTATATGCTCTGGGAGTAGGGCTGGGCATTTTCGAATACCTTGTGATTTCAGAATCGAATCAAATAATTTTTTCGAATCGAATCGAATCTCGAATACTTGAAAATATGTATTTGTAAGCGACCTCATTATAGTAATTGGTCCTCTCAACAAATGAATTACTGAAGACATAAAATAAATAACCCAGATAGATTACTGAGCGTTCACACAGAATAACAAACACGTTTTATGAATAACTCACTACAGAAAATAGTCATATGTTAGAATTTCGTTGAAAAAATATGACTCCAATGAAAAAAAAATTGAGGAATTCACCTCGACCATTGGCGGAAAGATAAAAAAAGATGGCGGCGATTCGAAATTTAGCTCTGAACCGATTCGAATAATTTACTATTCGATTCGATTCGAATATTCGATTCGAAATGCCCAGCCCTATCTGGGAGATGTCAGTCGCCACTCAACAAAAAATATAAAAATCGCTAATGCGCATATGCATTATTTATACTGCTCCATTATCCGGTTAACCGTCACAATAATATCCGGATATCAGATAGCAAAATAACTCTTGGTTAACCGGTTATCCGGTTAACCGCTATCCGGATAATCCAACCCTAGTTGTCAGAGAGATAATGATTTATTTTCCGAATACAGTATATCATACAGTTTATAATAAATAAAAAAAAACTATCATCAAATATAATCGGGAGGGGGCGGGCAAGACCAAAAGATCAACTATGTCCACCGATCGATCCCTAAGAAAGAAAAATTTCTGTTAGGACATGACATTCAGGAGTCATGAGAAAAAAGGCTGCGTGTAGATTTTACCGCAAATAATTACAGCAATTATTTGATGGATTACACATAACAGTTCCAAAGATACCATAATATAAAAGGGCGGATCACTCAACAAGTTAGCTAACACAACACAATCTTTGAAATAGGGCCTACTCGAATTAAAAAGAAGGAGTGACAAAGATAGATACATATTTCAAATAGATTGTATTTTAAGCCTGGTTAAAAGATCTCAAAAAAATATTAACCACAAGAAAAAAGAATATCATATGAAAATTTACATAAAACAGTTATGCACGAGGAAAAGAAAATATTTCAAGATGGGCCTAAGAATGATTAAAAAATTCTCAATATGGTCTTACATTAGTAGTAGCCTACTTCATTTACGGTTAGACAAATAGGCAATCAATCATCAGAACGAGGCAATTTATATGAATAGGTGAAAAAAGTTTAATGTCACACGTCAGAATGTAATGGGGTTTTTCTAATAGCATCATCTTTAGATTATTTGACACAATGTACGTACAATGGATCGTTTCCATGGAGGCGAATGTTGTCGTAGAAAAACCCTCGGTTTTCTCCCTAAATAACGCAACAATAGATTTCAAAATTCCTGAACCTAAAAATGGAAGAAGCCATTAAAAGTGTATTGATTGTATTTTTTTGCAAATTCCGTCCCATGGAAATGATTTTTCACGAAGTATTTTACTTTTTATTTCATAATGCTCACCCTCTCCGTGTTGCTAGGCCATCGATTTTTTTAGCAAACTCGGTAGAATGCCCTATAGGCCTACCTGTCGAAATATTTAAGATATTGTTTATTGTGGTTGCATATGTCGCCTACCACAACGGCCATGAAGTAAATCAAAAAAGGTGGAAGAGGACACTATTTTATTCTATATTGCACGACCGCCTCCGTACTGCTTGTCAGCGATTTTTTCCGCAAGATTGTTTTTTTTTCAGATCTCATCAATAGTCAGTACCATTCCTCTCTTGTTTTTTTGAAGATGGCGGCCCAAATAGGTGTTCATATTATACCAAATGTTGGTTTCCCCAGCTGTTTGTGAAACTATTATTTTTTTTTTCAAAACATTGTGAGAGCCAAAAATGTTGATTTATTCATGTATTTTGCATTGGGTAGTAATAGACTCTGCTGACCTTATCGGTCGTATCCACGTATCGTTACCACCAAGTCATATATCGAAAACTTTTAATTCTTATCTTGCATATATGTGTATGATAGTTTTCTGGTTTGACGAAAGCAATTCTCTCTCTCTCTCTATTATGATGAAATTGTATATCATTGAATTTAGATTGCTAAACGCTTGTCAAAGGTTCCCGATATTTTACGCCCCAACGGAGGTGGAAAATTTGAATTTTTCAAATTTAAATACCCAAAAGAGTAGTTTTATAGAAAGCTATGTTTTGGCGGGATTTTTGAATACGGCCTTTAGAAACTTTTGAGACTTGCATTGCCCGTCTGAAGCAAAACACAATAACCCACGCACACGAGACGTGCGAGTTTTTTTTAATGGATTGACATTCCAAATATTACGCAATGCCAATTGTTCCTTCTTCAGCCCTGCTTTATTATGGAAGTAGGGGGAATATGTTATTCTCAAGCCCTCAAAATAAAAGTCAGGGGCTTGTCGTTGGTACCGTGAATATCCTATACTTTTCTACAGAATATCGTTTTGTGCCATCTGGGTTTTTGAAAACCCACGAAATCGAATATATTACACAAAAACAGTCTCAGAGAAGAGCGAATTTTTTTTTTTTTTTTCTATTAATTTTAAAATGCTTTGAAGTACATCTTTTTTCCAGATCTGATATCGCTAATTCACTATCACCGCATTATTTGTACGATATTCATGAATATCCGGAATAGAAACCCTAAATTATCCAACGTAGGCACCCGACACAGAGAAAACAAAGGAGACTTTAAAAGTGCTTCACAATTTGTTGCATACAATACACATGAACAAAAACTGCACTATTGTTTAATTCAAATAAAGTCAGGTACTGCTGATATGCTCAAATATACTAAAAGACAATTTCTATTTATGTCAGCTAAGGAATGAAGTAAACCATTAGGTAATCCATTTACAATGTTGACTGAAGATATACCAACCAATGAGAAATTGAAATAGAAAATTCAATAACCAAGCTCAATCTACATAAATTATGCCTATTATACACGGCCAAGCAAAACTAGAGAACAAATTCTCCAACAGTTGACCAACATCTATAATAATGTTATCACTACATAGGGAATATATAAGTACCAGGCTTGAACATAGTAAGAATAAAGCCTCATTTATTTGTTCCTGTGGCTAAATATTTAACAAAAAATTATGACATTTTCTCAGAGGGGTTAAGGACTGATTCTATCTTAAAGTTGATATTGCGCTTGCTTGATTTTGAAATTGTCTGACTATTAGATGTCAGGTTGAAGCAGATAGAACAAAAACATAAAAAGGAATATTATTTTACACAATGCAATAGTACAACACAAATAACAAAAATGATTTGAAGTCTTTTTATGCTAGAACATTTTTGACCAATTAATGACTCTAAGCACAGTTCCTCCAATCACCGTCTTGCAGGGAGCCATGCTTGTTCCATTTCCAATATCAGTGACAAATCATTTATGTAGCAGGATTTCTCAAAACCAGATATTTTGTGAAAACTGCACAATTTGGAGTACCATTTTATGAAATGCTTAATTTAGGAATAAGCATTCATATTTGATCATTTGGAAGTCACAATTTTAATATAGTATGACTAAATTCAGAAAGATTAAATTTCATGCCATGACACAAATACATAAACAGCTCGGTAAAAATTGATTGTGTTATATATATATTATACAACAGTGTAAATTATACAAAAGGACCGTTTAAATTCCAACCAATTTTTTACACCATTAGTAATAACAGCAATCCGAGGACCATGCATACAAATTTAGTCACCCAATTGAAAAAATGCTGGTTAATAAAACAGCAAATAAGCATTTGGAGACAAGAAATTCAAAATGAGTACTAGCATGTATAACTCGCCCTGAATAGAAATCAAAGTACAGTCTATTCCAAATAAATAAACTTTACCCAGGTTTACTTGCACCTTGTAACTGACAACAATTATTTCATTAAAATAATAATATACCATATAAAGAGACACAATACAAGGAAAATAATAATAAAACCTATCTTAAACGGAAGAAGGAAAACATGCCTGAACCATATACATTACATGGATGCCAACCTGTGTATACACATATTCAACTGGCGAAAAAGTTTTCTCAAGTTCAATTTGTGTGCTAGCGAGGAAATTGGGTAGAAGTAAGATTTTTTTACAATATAATGCATTAAGTCATAAAATCAGCTGTAATTCGTAATTTTTAACACAACCCACTGACAAAAAAGTGTGTAAGCCAATACCACTCAAGCGATGGTGGGAAATCAAACGGGCTTCAATCAATTGTGCTGCTGCTCTGTATCAATATCACTAACATCGTTTTATCCACTTCCACTGGCAAAAAGCAGCACCTTTACATTTCTTTAATCAATAGTTTTAACAAAATTACGAGGGGTTGGTAATAGCTTTGTAAAATAAAAATGTTGCATGCAACAAAGTACATTTTAGAATTCTTCTAAAAAATATGTTTTTCCACTTCAATTCTAAAAGGTATAGGCTCACATGCGAATGCTATCTACGTTAACTATATTTTTAAATCGAAATTGTGCAAAATGTGTTTCGTATAGAATTCATCAATATGTAGGCGGCTGATATTCCGGTGCAGGATCTTTTGCTGAAAATGGTGGGTCTTGATAAGATCCTTGCATTTCGCTGTCGCCTGGAAAAGAACTGTAAGGAGAACTACTTTGCTCCAGACTTGGATCATTGTATGTTGGTGCAAAAGCAGACAATGTTCCTTCTCTGTAGTCTGAGATGCAGAAGTATGTCAAGCATCCCTGTGAATCGGAAAAAATTTTTTTTTTGAATATTTATTCCTGGTGCTGCTTCTCCAAGCCTTGTTTATTCCATAAATTATTACCTAATTTGAAGCTATATCAAGAAGAATCCTCTAAAAATATTGAAAAAATTATAAACCTTGCACGCATTCTTGAGCTAGAATTTCCTCCAGTTTTATATTCTAATTTATTATAATTCAAATATTCTACTTTTATATGGAATTCAGCTTTAGCAAATTTTGAAATTCAGTGACTATGAAATACTCCAAAGTGGCATATCAACTCCCTAAAACACTCAAATACACATATTTCATTTATTTTCAATTTTATAATGTGAGGTTGATGCCTATAATGAGCTACCAGTATTGAAAACCCGTTATGATATTTCAAAACAAAGCTTACACCAGGTGTATGATAACAGTACTAATTATTTTAGTTAACCCCATGGAAGTTAAATAGTAAAAATGCACTACTACATTCTAATTAACTAATATGTCATAAGTAACTCTATAACAAAAATTTTAACGTTTTAAAATAACTTTGTTACTACATTTCCATCTGACCATATGCATTATTAAATATTACTGACACGTTGAAACTAAATGCTTGCGTTAAAATTCGTTTCTATAATTTAACCTATTTCTTAGAAAATTGATTTTTTTATCAATGAATCTGCCTCAACGATAGGGCACCTTCTTCCCTAAGTGTCTTTTATATAATATTGATTGGGAAGGCTCGCAGGTTGCAGCTCAATAATGAAGAAAAATAATTTAAGGTAAATCTACCCAAGCATGATCGATCGATAATTGGCCTATATGAGAGGGCTTACCCAAGTTAAAATAGAGAAGAATGAAAATGCAATTGCGGCTTTAGCATTTCCGGCACCAAAAGAGTGATCTTCTGGTTTTGTTTCCCATGAATTCCATGCATGGGTCAAGTAGCAAAATCCAACAAAGTATAGGAATGTCCATAATGCTAAAAAAAGAACAAGATAGCAAAGCTCAAATATATGGAACTCAAAGTCAAAGGTCATATACAAGTATTCCATATGCCATATATAAAAGAATTTGCATGAATGAAAATAAAATTGCAAAATTCAATTTTGGGTCCCAAAGGATTCAGAGGAGAAAAATAGGACATAACAAATAGCCTTTTATAAGTTTCCAAAATCTTCCAGCAATGTAAAGTTAAAATTGTTTGGTCCATTAGTTGTAAAGAATAGTGATTTTTTTTTCACAACAAAAACAAATGTCAACAACAATTTAGCACAACCATACGCATTTGAAAAAAGAAAGAAAGCAGAAGCCCACCAGTGGCTTCAACCACTGACAGTTTGAAAATTGATTAGTGCATTAGTTTCGAGAAAAAAAAACAACTTTTTCACAACTTAAATATTAAGTTGGTTAAGTATTAACTATTATTAAGTGGTTATGAAAACGACCAAGTAGTTTAGCAAAATGATCCATATCTTCATGTCTGAATGTGATAGAGTCAATATTGATAAATACTAAGAAAATGCAGGATGTTAGCGATGATTGGATCAATCAGTTTCCAAAAATTGAACAGGATGTAAAAAAATAGCTTGAAATTGAGTATAGTCTGAACAGGTATTTGACAATTATGAAAAATATGTTTCATAATCATTGTTCATAACAGAGATACCCAAAATGAATCAATTTGATATCAACCATATTCAATATTTATATTCTTGATTTTAGAAATATTTTAAAGTAAATTTGTCTGAAAATTTATTATTTGGAATGATCAAAAACGTCTCTATTGAATCTTTGAAAGAGAAAGTAAAAAGAGAAAACCAATAAAATTACTTTATCTCAGCTTTCCCAAATTAAAACTCATTGAATATAAATTTACTTCGAATAAAAGTTTTTTGTCAACATGATCCAATTTATAATTTCAATATTATATCTTGAAAAGTATCATTTCAGATTGTATTCGAAATAGTAGATAACGGTATTCCATTTCGAACATCACTGAATTATATTTTATTTGAAAATTTTCACTTATTTTGTTATTTCTCTAAAACAAAGACACTGTTTATTGAATAAAACAGTTCTTTATTCTTAAATGCAACTTTCTTTATTAAATATTATTAAACACAAGTTTTGGCTAAATCAAACTTGATAAGTGAAAATATCTAAGTGTTCAATATATAAATATATCGTATATGAAGACATCAAGACATTTATATTAAATTTGCATTATAGTGTGGGAGGCTATTATAAACAACTACAGAATTGGTTCTTCTCTAGACCATGCTAATAAAATGCATCAGATGTGCCACTAAACGAATTCATTCAATAAAAGAAAATCAATGGCATAACAGAACACCTAAAGTAAAACAGTGCACATAAAATTCCTCGTAATACCATAGATCGAACCTTAATTTATTATAGCGAAAAATAAATGCTACAAGTAAAGTATGGCCCATACATGCTCATTCTCTAAACAATTTTGACAGAAAAGTAGCCAAATGCACCGGGGCAAATGCAAGTATATTGATTAATTGTGCGGTGAATCAATAAATAATTCAGCTCCAGAAAATTGTTTCTGCGGTCTAACATGTCAAAGGACTTAGGGACACAAATCTCCTGGGGAAGAAAAACATATAAGCTACAAAACTTGTATCGCAAAATTGCAGCAAATGCCAGTCGAAGGGTAATAATGTAATTGTGTTAAAAGTGAGCGAAGCAAGGAATCATTGACTTATGCCCATTGTTTTTTATGATCTCTTCTATTTGGCTAATATACCTGAAAATGCCATATCAGCTATGACAACCTTTTTCCTCTTTTCTGCACTAGTGATGCTTGGAAATATAAGATCGCTAACAAAAAACACAGTTGCTCCGATGAATGCTAGAATTCCAATAGCAACCCCATAATGGCAAGCATTGGCATCCTGAATAGAAAAAAATATTATTGATATAATAACCTCGATGCAGCCATTATTCTCACAAACTTTTGCCAGAGGACCTTAAAAATCAGATTGATGAATAAGAGTTTCGGTCATATTTTCAGATCTACTGGTCTAGTAAAAGACTGTTTAACAAATTTATATATACAAATACAATTATTGTTGTTTATTCATCAACCTAAAAAGGCTTGTCTGTTGAAAATTCGAAGCATACGAATGATTGATAACCAAGCAAGGGCTGGATAGAATAAAATATTTGTCATATCATACATGTTCAAATAAAATTTATCTTGAATGGAAAACTAAGTACTGTATATTTTTTATAACGATAAATTTATCATGAACTGTCAATTTGTTCGTGGCCATTTCGTAACAGAACTGAATCTTCAATTTCAAAATTGGACAAAAAATAATTTCAATAAATTAATATTCGATTTTTAATATCCAAATTATTAGACATCAGTCATTACTGGTTATAATATAATTCATCACAAGATAAGTTACTAATACATACCATAATTTTAGTTATGTATACAAATTTTTTATCTCCCACACCATTTATCTAAATTATGATGTCATTATAGAAAACAAATAAACTTACGTTATTATATACACATTTCCCCATGTGATATCCTTCTGAAACAATGCATCCAAAAACTATGATGGCAAACAACTGAAAAAAGAGAAAATAGAAATAATGCAAAATACATTACAAACTGACATCTAACAAAGAATGTGTGTTATTGAAATGTAGAAAATAAAATGCCAGAACTTCATACTGAATGCTGTTACCATCAATATTATGAAAAATTCAATATTTCATACAGTCCACATCAATAAAAATTTCGATCACATACACACGTCAGACACGTGGCTCGACAGCAACTAATACAGTGTATTATTAAATACACCAATTGAACAGTTGTTATTACCGGTAAGTACGACTGATTGCCTAAATCAAAATTTCATAATCGAAACATATGGAATTATATATATAGATATAGAATACATTTTACAAATTTGGCATTGCCAAATAAAATAGAAATAAAATCATTCAACTTCATGATACATTGTATATTCTGCCAAAACAAATGTATCACATAACATAAATATTTAACTAACAACTTTTCAATCGTGATGACATATTAGCGAAGCTTAATAACAACCGAAATTCGTTTAGTGAATGTTTTATCACTACACTGAAACATGTGACAATGAGATTTGTTTACAATTACGTCTTTATGTATACATTGTTGTTGTATCGTATGTTCAGCCTATGTTCATGATAAATTCCATACTATTTTTATTCTGACAACTTTGGTATAGATCACATGCTATTTTATATAGGCTATATGTATAATTAACTTCTAAATAATATATTCAAAAAATCCTTCTGGAGTCGATTGAAATTTTGAAACTTAAATAACTCAAATAAATACTTTAGTTTATCATGTCAGTATAAGTTTCATACAAATAGGAAACTTGGGAGGCCTAAAAAACTAAAACTCGAATTCAAAAAAGTTAATAGTGTTAATATATTTGAAGATGTTCTAAAACTTTTTGTCATATCTCCTTTAAATATTAAAAATTCTACAATACAAAATACGATCTTAATTGGAACTGTTTAAAAATAACAATTGGCTAAAATGTCTTGTCTGAAGAAGTCTGACCTCGGTCAGACGAAACATTACATAAATATATTTGTGTTCGTGTGCAGCAAGACTCTTGAATTGAATAGAATGGCTAAAATGAGTAGTTGATTCATACTAAAATAAATTAGGAAGTATAGTTAATATTAATATGCAGTTCCAATCATACCCAACTCAGAACTCTCAAAATTGTTTTTGGACGTTTGATAAATTCCACTGCATTGAAGGGTTCTCCCGCTTTTGCTGCTCCGTACGCTCTACCGGTTGACTCCATGATTAAAACTAGACTTCAAAATTTGATGTTTTACAGACAACGTCACAATACAATACAGTGCTGTTGATTCCAAGATACCAAATATATACCAGAGGAATATAGATAGTCAATGTAAAAATCAATATATTATAACCTACAAAATAAAAATCATTATCTCTATTAACCTTATAATGAATCAAGTATGATTGTCAAGTAAAAATACACCCAAAGATCATATATGGCCTGGCATTATAAAAAAAATCAATGTTCTTATTGATTTATTTTTTCATTTGAAAAGGTTAGATTGGGTTCTCTCCTCTTCAGTCTATAGATCAAAGGTATTGATGAATGAATGTTAACATATGGTAACAATAAAAAGTAATTGGCAAAGAAAAGTAGGCTAATAAAGTCAGAAAGTACGACTCTACTTCAGTTAAGGATATAGAAACAATTTACTATGCATACATTGACTGCTGGACTGTGAGAATCAAAAATCACAACTAAATGGGCTTACAGACTTTTCGCCATACAGACATTTCTTAACAACTAGATGGCATAAGATGGTTTGAGTTTTGAATTTTAGTCACCCTGGGAGTAAAAAATATTGATATATAAGTAAAACATCTGGGACGAAAGTCTGAATACTTATAAAAAGTGATATTTATCAAAATCTGCATTCAAAGTCTCATAATTCCACTGTTTACAGTATGTATATTCCGGTATTTGAATAATTGAAAAATAAAGAATTATGAAAAAAATAGAAATAAATAATAATACCTCTTTGGGTACCGTATCACACCTAGTTCTGTAGTTCAACCTGCATAAGCTAACATTCAGACATTCTACTCCTGTACTCCACTGTGTCTGTTGATAAAGCTAATACTGTAATATCTGAATATAAAAATAGTTCGCCATGTGAATAACGCGTCTTTTCTTCTGTCTCTCGAAATATATATAAAAATACGTTTCGACACGTTCTGTCAGATTTAAAATTAGTCAGATATATTACAGCAAATCATCACAACCCCATGATAACGATGCTAATGAATCACGTGATAGCATCAAAGAACAAAACGTCAGAAGATTTTGAATTCAGGACATCAGGAAAAATAGACAAATATTTTGCGCGTGTTTCTTGATCAAAATTGAGTTTAATAATTTATCTCTATTTTCTTTGCTGATTTCATAATCATTTTTTTTTATTTGTTCTTACCAACCATTCTATCACCTGGTATGCTGAGTATGGAGTCGATAGGAAGGCTAAGTTATCAGTTGGATTTCCTGGAGCAAGAAATTGAAACCGACCATCGGTTGCGCGAGCTACCGTGTTTCCCCGAAAATAAGACCTAGCCTGAATTTTAAAAATGATTTTAATATAAGCCCTCCCCTTAGAATAATACCTAATCAATAACGCATTTTTTTTTACCTAGTCGATAGCAAACAATCCCTCCTCCACGTTTCAAATATTTAATAATCTATGTTTTACAGTTATTTTGACTAAAAGCGTGTTATTTATAAGTAAATGGATATTGGTTTTCATATTTTGTATATTTGAGGATCTAGTAATTCTCTACTTTGTAATTTTGTTTTTGATAAATGAAAATATAAGTCATCCCCCGAAAATAATCCCTAGTTTGAAATAGGACTTATTTTCGGGGAAACACGGTACACGCACCTGCGGTCTGCACACCCCCCTAAAATATCCACCTCCTAATTTTCAGATGTGACACCATACTTTAATTCTTAAGCTAAATAAAAATGTATTTGGATATTTAGGAAGCGACTTATATGCCGGTGAAGATGATCAGTCAAATACATAACACATTTTTATAATTTAGAGTTGTCATATCTACCACCCACGAAATTTGGAAACACCCCCCGCTAAAATGAAACGCCGGAGAACATACTGGCACAGGGTAATTGGCGGTGAGGTGGCATGCGTACTGTATATCCCAAACGCTGATCTCGGTGTGCCAAACATTGAGCTAGTTCATTGATTTTGAAATTTCTGCAGGGAAGTTTTTGTTTGATTATTGAGTAGTGACCACTGGCGTGTGTATTCAAGTTTTGGATCTCAACGAGGGACAAGCCACTGAAAAGGTAAACGGAAAATGTGATATGTTTGTTCGTTTTGAAATGTAGGAGCTAGAATACCCGGGTTGTGGTTGTGTTTATCCTCATTGTTTGTATGACGCAGGCATGTATTATCATAATGCTTGCAATCTTAAGACTTACTAATGATTATCTGGTGCTCCTGAAGTATGCGCACCAAGATGTCGCATAACCTGAACCCAAAGCTGATACACAACCTACTACGGGGTTCAGGTTGTGTGCCATCTTGGTGCGCATACTTCAGGAGGTCCGATTATCTTTATTATTGTCTCTCTTACATTCTGTGTGTCGGGGTGTCGTCGCCTATGTACCGTTAGTAGTTTCATTATAGAGGGTCAACTCATTCTCTGTGGTTTCATACCACATGTTTGGCCGCGAGACGAGGCCCTGGAAAACGCCCAGAAAATGAGTTTCGTAGCGCACATAAGGGATCTACCTCGAAATAATTCTAAAATGTTCCTTAGAAATTCAGTAACAAATTATACCTTATTCCCATTTTCAAAAATTGCACGAAAAAGACGCTTTTACTGCAAGAAATATATGCTACGATCTGTCCTATATTCTCTACTTTTCCGGCAACATTGGCCAATGAACGCAGACTTCTGCATGACGTAACAATTGAATTTGATCAGCTGTTATCGGGCGGATGAATCTCAGTTATTACTGCTCGACCTTGCGTTGAGTTGAGTAGCCATTCCATCGACTTTTTTAGTTATCATTAGTTAAGTTAAGAGGGTGTTAAAAAGAATATGTAAGTTATTAAACACTTGTAGATCGCAGAATCGCCATCAGGAATCGGGGTTATCAACGCCTACGAAAACTCAGATAGCTTACGGAGCATACTGTGCATAAGTTCGCATTCGCAAAGCCGAAACTGTAAGTACCATCTCGAAAATCCTGCAATGAAATCACGTACTGTCCTGGAAATATATATCTGTGAATGAAACAGTATAGTATAGTAAAGGGTGGTCCAAACCCAGGCCACGTGTGGCCGCCTGCGGCTTCATTATCTGTGGCCCGCGTCTCATTCGGAGAGTAATCAAAAAATCACATTTGGTGTTGTTTCTTCATAAAATCACCAGAAAAATCACTAATGTTACTGAATTGACTAGTGTTATTGCTAGCTGAGGTAACTAGCGAAGTTGAATTCCTGGCAGTCTGAATTGTTGTCTGGCTTTTTACTTTTTTGGTCGGGAATATATGCTAACAATTTTGGCATCATTAAAAACTAAAAATTAAAATTCTTTTAGCCTAGGTTGGCTATGCCTGGTAACTAAATATTAATGTCATGGTTAAACAATATAATTCATGCTGGGTGTTTTTTTGCAACCACGCTAAACAGTATTACAGAAAATGCTGCCAATTTAGTAATTACCCTCCTGTACTTCACACATTTGGTAATCAATCAATCTGCAGTTATCTGTGAACATGAGTTTGAAAAAAAAGCTATATGTGGGAGAGAAAATACCACAATGCTTGCTTGATATGTCGGTAACAAAAGAATTGAATTTTAAACGGCATTTTAGAATCTTGTGAGCTATTTCCAAAGTTGGGATTTTTGCTTTGGAAAGCTTAACAATGTTCGAAAACTCTTACTCAAAGTGTTGTCCTATATTGCACCTATTGTTCACCTATTCCTGTCACTATTCCGGCCCGCAAACAATGCAAAATAATTTTGCGGTCCCAGAACAGAGAACCGTGGACCACCCCGGTATAGTACTAAGCTATAGTTTTTGGACACGTAGTGGACATAACGATCGTTTCAATATTATGTTGTTGTTGTTGTTGTTCTTGTTATTGTTCTTTGACACGTTTTTAAAAAGTCGCTTTTCTCTTCGAATACTGGACCAATTGCTTTGAAATTTTCAGTGGTTAAAGATTAATTTTCGCTAGAAGGCTATTACTTTTATTTATTTCAAAATTTTGCGTGAATTCTATGAAATTTGATATTTCGTTTAAAATTTTGCTGTATTATTTTTTATCCACGGGAACACGGATTTTCGTCAGTGTCGTGACTGGCTGTACGTTTTGATTCTGCAAAATTCTTGCTACTGGAAATTCAGAACTTTTTTGAGGGTACCGGTACAGCGGTAGCGTCAAAGGTACCGGTAAGGACTGATTCGCTCTGGTCTAACGTGTCCATATATTTGTGCGTAGCTCTCTTGTTTTTACTGAAATCACGTTTTTCGTAATCGTCTCGATAGAGGGAAAATAAAAAAACAGAGCTTAATTATGTGACGAACGATGGAATGCATTAATTTCGTTGAGGTCCAGTCTAAGCAGAATACAGAGATTTTATAACTATCTTAATCTTACCTGATGTATGACCTGGGGTAGTGAAGGGGGTGGGTGGCCAATGAGAATCTATACATTCTCACTGGTTAAGCCAACGTTTCCCAGACGGGGAGGAATTTTAATGTTCTTTGGAAGGAAATATCACTTTGCATTTGGTGTATATTACTTAGGTGTTTAGTATAATTGTAATACGAATTTATGGACTATTCACGCTGTGTAAAAGTCAGAGTGCGAGTTGTGCATAGCCCTAGCCATGAATTCATTAAAGATTGAACAAACAACGGAAACAGAATTTTTGTGTAGTGAGAGAGGAATGAAAAAGATTCGAAATAGACAAAGGTAGGAATTTGTCGAAATAGGTTTGGAACCGCTAGGTTAGTCAAACCCTGCGGCGGCGAGATGTCTCGTCTGCCACATTATCATCAACTATGGACCGTGGGATTCGGACTATGCAAATTCAAGCATAGAAATCAATTTGAGAACATATCTTGTCTAATTTGAAATGGAAAAGATCAGGATCAATTGATGTTAAAAGTTGGTTAGCATGAAAACTTTGCTTGATCAATTTGATTATAGATATTTTTTGTAAAACTTTTTATTCTAGAATTTTTGACATAAAGTCGACTTAGTTTTCTACCTCAACCGCACAACAAGTCGGAAACGGCCTTTGTATAAAGTTGTACCGAGAACTCGTTTCAGAACTTGTATTGACGCACTGTACCCGTGTGACCACTTTTTTCTGTATGTTTTCGTCGTTGCGTAGTTTCATAAGGCCAAAAAAATAATTGTAATCTAAAACAGGAATACATAGTCACACGAAGCTCAGAGAGTTGGGCAAACAAGCGATGACAATTTTTGCAATAAACGCACCGGTACAAGGTAGTATCAAGGTAACTGTCATATAAACCAACTTAGAACTGGCATAATTTATGCATTTCGTCAACCAGATAATCAGGTGCCATTACATATTTAAGTACCGTAACGTAGTATAGGAAAAACTGAATGCATTAAGTTAAAGTATTAACGAGGGCGGAATGTACAATGGAGATGTTATGGAAGTGATAATGGTTGAAAGTAAATATAACAGTAAAGCTCATGCAGCGCTATAGATACCAGTAACATTTGCTAGGAATTGCACCTTAAACAGCCAGGCAGTAACAATTTGCCAGGTAAACGTAAAATCCCATCAATGGTTTGATACTGTCATAATTATACTGTGAAGAAACACTAACGCCACAAACTGCGGTAGAGAATACCTATACTGGAGCCTGTAGTAAAGCGTCATGGTACCGGGTAACTGACTTCATGACAACCCTTCCCAGTCGCCAAAGTTCGAGGGAGGGTGTCATGACCCAGTTTGCACTTAAAATGGTGGGCAACAAAGGAATAGGATTCGAATAATGTTGACTACGTTGGTAGCTGTCAATTTATCGAAAAACTAAGAAAGAAGAAATGATCGGTCATTTTATATGGAACTACATTGCACCTACAACAAGGCCCTCACGTCTGATTTTATTCACAATAAAGGATTTCATGCAAAAACATTCAGAAACTTTTTTTAATCTTGCTGGCTCTGTTTTCACCTAACCTACGTTACTTCACAGTTGTTTACCTCAATCAAGTTTGGTTTGCTTTGAATGCGTCAAACATATTCTAAACGATAAGCAAAGAAATACCATGTCCGCTTCAACAGTTTTATGTTGTAACTCACCATGCCTGCAGTGAGTTTATGTTGCACAATTTAGACGCCGGATCGATACACGTTCGTGTTTTTTATCTTCCTTTATACTACATGTTTGTATGTGTGTAAGATGGGTAAACTGGCACATGTAAATTTACATGTTTAAAACTTTTTTAGGGTTTTTCCGATTTTCCCAATCTTTTGTGTGTTCATTGTTTTTGTGCAAAATAAAACTATACTTATTGGAAGAGAGGGAGTGATGATATATATATTTTTTTAACTCATTTAGCTAGGATTCTAATGGTAATGGTGAAAGATAAATGCGTATCAAGTAAAATAAGTTGGAACAATTACAAAGATAATGATGTAATAGAAATATTCGTTTGAATCAGTGCAAATTTAGTGGGCTAAAATTTTAATTGATTAATTTAATAGTACGTGTCCGAGTCATTTTATTTAGATAGATAGTGAATAGCGGGCAGCGGCGATTATGGCTTAACGCTCAATACGGTGTAGAATCCTGAGGGTATTTTAAGCAATAGAAGTTACACTGCATGATTTCAACCTCACTACAAAATTCTGTTCGATAATAATTTAAGTACACGCAACAAGGACCCTTGCACTCTTCCAACGTGTTAAATATTCGGTTCCATTACATTTGAACCCACGTACATTTGAACCCATGACAATTGCACCTGTATGCTATTGCACCTATGGAATTTTTTTTGTTTCACGGATAGTTAAACCCATACTAACCCTAACCCATGGGTTTTAGCACCCGCATATAGATTGAACCCGTGGATATACGCATGGGTTCAAATGTACATGGGTTCAAATGTACGGTCACCTAAATATTCATGTCCACGCGACTGCAAAGAGTATTCGCTACAACATTGGAAAAATTGCAAAGATCACGTGCAAGGAGTTTGTTTGGAGCGACAGGCAGCGGCGCCAGCACAAACAGTTAGGTGGCGCTCTGAATACATTGGGAATTTGAGTAAAAAAGCGTAAACTTGAGGTTGGTTGTGGATACCCGCACACCATAACACCAGTCAAAGCATCGCGTGCTGAAGTAATATATTCATATGATATGTACATAAAAATGGTTTTATTTGATTTTAGTTCTTACCATGGTAATCATTTCTAATATTGCACATTTTCTTCATCGAATGAGCATGAATTGTTTATCCGAATTTATCCCATGCGTATATAGAAGTACCGAATGTTAAAAGCTGCACAGTGTTTATTCTAAGATGCGGTTTTTATATCGTAATGTGTAAAAGAAACACTTAAAACTATTGTGATTTTTCCAGACACTCTGTTATAGTATGTAGTACAGTATAGGACATGTATCGATTATGCAATGAAGGACTAGACGTGGATATTTGCAAGTATGACACTTCTTTTCAGAGTATCCACCTGTTCTTGACAAAACGTAAGATCAATAAAACGTCTTTGCTTAGTAATATGAACGGCAGATGCACCACTATGTGATTGGATACGAAACATCCATGCCAGAAACCTCACTGTATTCTTTACTTCCAACAACACATCTTTAGCCATTGAAATTTAGGTTGACAAAGATTAATTTACTTATCAGATCGTTTGAAGTGTAGGTAGTTCGAAGCTTGATTCCTCCTATATTGAATGTTTCGCACTAAAGCGGAAAGTGGTGGTAGTTTTAACAGAACTGCAACGACCAAATGACTGTTAAAATAAACTCAAATATATATATATAAGCAAAGTATTTCTATTAATTAACATGTGTATGACCATAACGTCCGCAAGGGGGAAAACATCTGTCGATAGCTTAAAATAAGAAAACGCATCTTTCCACACTTTCGAAGTCATTTAATGTGTTATAATAGGAGTTCGTTAAATCCTTACATTCTAATAGATTCTGTTCTGCTAAGATTGAAAATACGGTCGCCTTCACGTCAAGTCTCTCGGAACCTTTTCGGGTTTAGGTATTCAGTAAAACGAATTATATCAATGTTTACAGATGTCACCGAGCTTCTTACTCCTAATAAAAGAGAACCAAAGCATCTCTCATCTCGCACCTACTACTAAGCTTTAAGTAAACATGAAGTATCGCCATTAACATATGCCGGTGATGAAAGATTTTTGTTATTACGATAACGATATTTTACGGTGGTCTATTTTCTTAATATCGTTTGAAAATTGGAAAAATAATATTTGGAGTTATTTGCATCGTACCCTGCTATATGCTGTTGAATATATATACGCTAAATTCATAGTGATATTTTTTGAAAGAGCTGAGTCTAACTTGGCCAACATTTCGTGGACTGTGTAAATGAAATTACAATCGGCAAAGGCCCCAATTTACTTCACCTTTTCTTCTACATACATTACCAAACAGATACTTTAGCGTCAATTTTGGCTTGATAACATCGCATTAACATTTTACCTTTTTTTTGACGCATCTCTATGAATTTATTCTCTATTTACGGAACTTTAAAAAATCATAGCAACCGATTTTATCAATTATATACTTATCATTGCCTATATTCATCATTAGACAAATAAACAATTTTTATCCTTCATATTTTTGATAAAAACTGAAGTGTTGATGTTGCAGCAATAAACTCATAACTTAAGTCGTTGGGCCTGGAACCACTGTGTATTTTCTGATATTTTCTCGTTTTTTTTTGGTATCCGGGAATTCTATTGGCAATTTGTACGCATCGAAGTGAAAACTGACTGTAATACCACCATGCAGAAACTTTATAATTTCATGGCAAGTGCTGTAGAAATATTATATTTGAAGACATTTCATCGAACGATAGAGAAAGAATATAATATTATATAAAAATTAAAGTAAAAATTGTACAATATCGCAGTAAGGTTTTTAATTTAAATGCATATAATATGATTGTTTTTTAATTTATACTTTTACCAAAAATGTGCCAAATTTACCAGAATTTGAGAGTTACCATGTTACCATTTTGGGAGGGAATTATTACACTTATTTGAACTTGAGTTCAAGTCTTACCTCGTTTTCAATTTCTCCTAGTTGGTGCTGTACTTCGGCTTTCAGAGTTAACCGATACTGGAAATTTGAAATAGGTTTCAAGTCTGGTGCGTTTGGATCATTTTTGTTACAGCATGTGTAAAAAATTATTAAAGTTAGAAATTTTCAATTAACAAGTATCAATTTTCTTAGAAAGAATAGGAGGATTCATACAGTGGTAAGGTTGGTATTCGGCCATACTTGCGTATTCGGGATGATGGTCGTATCCATTTTGATAATGGTATGGTTTTCTATGCTTACTTGCAGTACTGTGAACACTTTCATAATGTTCATTTGAATCGTGAACTGCATTTTCTTGTGAATTTGGGCCTGAAGACTGTCTGTGATCTTTTGCAGCATCTGAAGAATAGTTTTTAGCCACAACACGAACTGATGCAGGATTCGAACCCGTATTCTGTTGCTCGTTATTTACGTAAATATTTATTTCGTTTGTTATTGTGCAAGAACCATTATGAGAAATCATCTGATTGGTATTTGGTAAGTCTTTGGTATTTTGGTAACCATTCTGAGATCTGGTTTCGGAATTTTGATCTGTTCTGTGCTCAAAACACCCATTTGCATTAGTTTGTCGGCTGTAATCAACCGGAGTGTCTCTGGTAGAATGGCCGCTCGAAGAATTCTTGTACGTCAGAGGCGATTGCGTAGATGATCTCCCACTTCTTGTATCTGAATTTCCTTTTCTACTTCCGCCATTTCGAGGTGAAAGGTTAAATCTATCTATATCGTTGTATTCTTTACCGTGAATTATATTTGCTAAGCTTGCACTATACCCATTAGTAGCAGACAAGCTTCTTGTAAATTTGCAAGAAGATTCGAAACTCCTGCTGGGATGTCGAAAATGTTGAACGTCATAGTGGTGTTGACGATCAAAATGGCTGCTTCCAAAATAACTATCGTTGTAATTTTTTCCACTGCTGTCGTTCATGTAATACTTTGTTTGGTGGCCAAAGCCTGGCCAATGTGAGTAATAGTAAGGATATGAATTCATTGACCTAAAAGATGGGTCGTAATAACTTTGCTGCCACGGGTCACGAAGAAACTGCGTATCGGCAGGACTGATAAAGTCTCTCGATGTCCAAGGTATGTGTGGATCTGTTGGATTTTGCCATATTTGTGAAGGAGGGTAAAGTCGGTCGTTTGGGTAATATGGATTATAAGGAAGACATTGCATTTCCGAACTTACTCTCTCATGTGACCGAGATGCTGGGATTTGGGAATCATATGATGTTAGTTTTGACGATGAATTATAATGTTCAAATCTGCTATTGAATGAAAAACTTTGTGCTACATCGTCTTTTGTATTGATGTGGGGTACAATAGGTGCTTTGCAAGTTTCTGGCATTTCAGTGCCGGACACTGCGCACGACTTGCTTTTCGAATCAGCCTTTTTGTTGATTTGAAAACTTGGATAGTTGGAATAAGAATGTTTGCCTCCAGTTCCTGAAGAAGTTGACTTATTTTTGTCCCACTCATCATTCGCGCTTCGTCTGTTATTTTTTGATCCATTTGTATTTTCAGTATTAGAAACAACTTCTCCTGTAATTACTTGACTACTCCGTAAAATTCGTTTATGTTCATTTTGCGCCTTCTGACTTCTTTTACTTTTTGATTTTTCGTCTGAGGATTGGTGTTTACGTTTCTTTTCGTTAGCGCTCCGCCCGTTGCCGGAATATCGTGATTCACTTGACCCTGAACATTTTCCCGCGTATGCCATCGCAGTTGATGGTCGAATCTGCTGTTCCGAAAGCACTTCATTCGACACGTGGTGACTGGAAAAATAAAACAATTCACTTATAAATTGGAAACAAAGAAGCTGTTGGGAACCAATATGCTGTAGCTATCTATTTTAAAACTGATTTTAGAATACGCTTTAACAATTATGCATCCGATAGAAAATTTGTTGTCTGTTCATAAATACTTACTTATGCACGCATTCCGTACTAATATTACGGTGGCCGCAGGAAGCAATAATCAATAGTTACGTAAACTACTCTACACAGCAATCTATATGCATAATAGCTTAACACAATTTCCTTACGCCTAATTATCAACCAAGGATTGCAGCCCACGCGGCTCGCAATAATATGGCTTATATCAAGAAGAGTCTGAAAGAATATATACTGAATGGGCAAAGTATACACGATACCATTGTTACATTATGAAAAAATAGGCCTCTGTTGAGATTGAACAATCCAAAATGTTGCAATTTAGGGATATATTTGAATTAATAAATTTTCATAATTACGAACAAATTGACTAGGTGTTTGTTCATCGTAGTCGTTGCAATATTTACCCATTGGTTAAACGTTGTTTGAATTAGGAATTCAATTATCTTTGAATGTTTTTATATACTTTTTTTGAATCAAAGCTAGTTATATATGGAGGTTTGTACTGCCCTTGAACTCGTACTTACTAGCGTTCATCTCTGCAAAAATGTAATGGGTCGGACGCGTAGGTCACTGGCGGAGCTACCACAATTTTGAAATAAAAGTACACACAGACAAAAATCCACTGCAAACTAAAAAATATATTTTATGAGTAATATCCTACCTGATAACAGTATTTATGCTGACAATGCAATGTGGTCGAGACGATCGACTGTTATGCACAATCGTGATTCGACTCTGGACCCACGCCCATCCTCCGTTACGGGTTAAGATACGATAATATCTCGTCTCCACTTGTCCCTTTATCAATACTAAAACAAAAAATATATACATAATTGAAAAATTCAAATAAAACCAAATGTATTTTACAGTTATTCAACCTTTCAACATCAATAACATGATGATACTATTGAACAACAACAACCATGGAGGGTTATAGGTTAATTGCTCCATATTGTAATTTCATTTAGGGCTTATGATTACCTTGTTGTCACATTATGCTTTAACGTTTACAAAGATAGGTGTGTTAAAATAACTTAATTTTCATAGCAGTGTCCACAGGAAATTATGTTCTGAAGTTCAGACTTCCTAAGCCAAAATTATACAAATTTAAAATTGTACTTCACAGGTGACAATGTTTTTGATCGTTCTGATAAGAACGGTCCATTTGTATTCTATTCACCAACACTACGACACAGATAATGTAAAAAAATAATTTTGTATTTAACAACTTAAACTACTTAAACAAGAAATTTTGTTGATATAAAACTCAAAGGTTTGTATTTTGAAATGTATAGTATATCGGCTCTACAGCAATCTTTTCCTGCTGACATCGCCTATTTGATTTTGTGTATTTGTAAATGTTTATTTGTACAAAAATCTCCATTTTTTATGTTACATCAGCAAAAAGTCAGACAATATATGCTTGCTGTTTGATACTTTTTAACTTCTACTTTGCTCCGTAATCGACCTTATACCTTTTGCGGTAAACATAATACGGAAATTGGCTCATAGCTTTCAAGAAGTTATGGGTCGAATGAAATGTCTAGTTTCAGTTTAGTTTTCAAATTTGTGTAAGCTTTTTTCCGCTTTTTGCAATTTGGAAATGGAGAGATTGTATCTACAAAAATATTTGACGTTTGAACTAAGCAATGCAGAATATACAAAAATGTTTTCTCATTCAAAAATACGTAAATAATATTTCATAACAACCAACAAAAATTCTATTTTTTGCCTGCACCAACTAGTTTTAAAATTACCGTTTGTTTCTCAAAAATTTATTTTTATAACATGTTTCTTATTTTAACTTCAATAAATCAAGCAATACTTTTTACCAAAAAAATTTTTGTTTCATCAAAAAATGTTAAAAGATATTTCTCTACAAATTCAGTAATTTTAATTTCAGAAAACGACGCAAAAATCAAATAATTTAAATATAACGTTCATTTCTATCTGGTAGCTGCGATCAGACTTGTACATCATAAATTCGCATAACTCTTCTCACTAAGGCATTCGTATATTTCGCAAGAGCGATGGTCATTGGTGATATCGAATGACTAATCTGACCTATGATATGTCTGATAACAAATGAGTCACGTGGTATTAACGGTTGTAAAGACAATTTGTTTGGTACTCAGACATGAAAACAAGCGTCTATTCTAAGTATTACAAAAGAAGTTTTTTCTTTTAATTGTCTGCCTTCAATGAAAAAGTGTCCATTTTGTTTTTCATTTTTCATAATTATAATCATACTAAATGATAATCTTGTTTTTAATTAAACATTTAGTTTATTATGAGCGATTGAGCTATAAAATTGAGCAATTGAAAATGTTATATCGAAATGTTAAGTTCCGAAATGATAAACTATACTATAAAATGATAAATATATAATAGAATATGAAAAAAATCAGTTCAATTCGAAAATTAATTGACTGTTCAAAATAAAAATAAGTGGTGGACTGATCTAAATGGATTGATATAACTCTATAATATTTGACATATCTTAACATAATGTTTACTTCATTTTTGCAATTTAAAATGAATTTATAATTAGATGGTTTTGTTTTATGTCATGTTGTGTCTTTACTGTTATTTATTTTTGAATCTGATTAAAAATCAACAACTTACATTTATGATGAGCTTCTCTCAGGTCTGCCATATCCATTGCGTGAACATATTGGTATAATGTTTTTTCTACCATATCTTGCGGCTCATATCCAAGAAGTTGCGAAACTCTGTAGTACAACATAAAATAAAGTTAAAACTTAACTCAATACCCTAAGCTCAAAAAAGTCATCAGAAATTTAAGTTTTTACAATTCATTATCATTTTATTAAAAGTTGTTTTAAATTAAAATTGATAAACTAGGACTTTTTTCGTAACTTCCCATTGAATTATTTTAAACTAGGAGCGAAAAAATTTCAGTAGGTAAAATATATTCGACAATTAAGTAATAAATAAAAACAAAGCATCGCTTGATTTTTACTGAATAAAAATATATATCTTAGAATATATATTATTTTCTTCAAATTAATATTTATCTTTTAAACAATTTAAAGCAACAACGAATAAAAAGCCAATACAACAGCCACAACTTTATGTTCTTATTCATATCCTTTTACTTCTTTATTATTTTGCATATTGAATACGGTAAACAATATTCCTGATATAATTAACTTCATTCACTTAAACCTTGTTTGCGTAGATGAAATGTCAAACACTCAAATTTTGCAAACTGGCAAGATAGGAATGTATATATTAATGAAGTGTTTAATTTGATGAATACTGTACATTTCGCCATTTTGAATTTTACACCTCACTGTTGACGGTGTAGGACAAACAAGTGTTTTCACACTTATATTAGATAAAGGGATTAACTTTTCCGTGGACAATTGATGCACAAATATAAGCTATAAAATCTGCTAGAATTGTGAGGCTTCAAGTACATTATGGCTATGGTAAATATCGATGAACAGTTATAAATCAATGAAATATATTTGTAAACTTTGGTTTCAGTTTTCTGTCTTTTGTGTTTTTCTATGAACTGCCTAGTTGTACGTAAACTCCGACGATGCAAATATAGAACAAAACGTTTCACTTTCTGCCATAGTGGTGTTTATTATTTAGTTTTTTTTATTGTCGAAAAACTCATAATTCAAAATTAACTGATAATAAATATCAAAAAAGTCTGTTAATTTTTTATGTGTACTTTCAAACTTTTGATGAGAAATCATCACAGAAAATAAAAAAAATAATAAATCAATGCGATCTATAATAAAAAAGTCAAATAGTACAAGAAATAGTTCAAATGTCAGACGTTTTGAGAAGTCATTGTTCCCGGAATTAGTATCATTATATATTTATTCCTAAAATATATTTTCCCTTCTTTAGTTCAAATAACACTCATTGAATTATCGGAAATATCCCTCATATATTTACACATACACAGAATTTATAATTAATTGAAGACTGAAAAGCCATAAAATTACCTTTTATTTTTCTGTTCCTTTTTTTACGTTTTACTTATTTGATGGTTTTAAAATGGGTCTAAATTAATCTATAACTGACTATATATAAACTTTTACAAAAATTGTTACTCCACTAAATATATTTTTGTCAAAAAACGAAGAGTATTATTAATGTCACGTTCAACAAAATAATTTTGATTTCCGATTTCTTTAATATTAATTTGTTTTGGTGTAAAATAAATAGTTTAAATATTGTATCCATTATTTGAGTAAAGGGAGGACAATATCTCACATTGTCTTTATGATTAAACGCCGAACAAAAGATATGCAACATGGGTTTTATAAAAAAAACTATCATAAATTGGTCGTTATTCGAATATCAATTAATGGTTTCCTATTAAAAACCATATATCAATAGTAATAAATGTTAGAAATATTGACAGAAGAAATTTAAGCGGTATTTCAGAGATTTCTTTACCTCATAATGGCATTTGCTGTCCCCCATATGAAACCCGTTATATTGCTCATATAAATATTACAAAAACAAATTTTCTAATGTGTTAGACATATTATTCACGCGTTTACTGAAACTGAATTTACAATCTATTCAAACAAGTTGGCGTGTAGAACTAAAACCAATAACGATGTAATGTGTATTCAATGATTTTCTTTTGCTGTTCTGAATTGGTATTTATTTTTATAACAAACTAAGGTAACAAACTACATAAAAATTAGATCATGTTCTTTGAAAACGTTCTACTACAATTCAAGTCAAATCGCTCAAAACACTCACATATGATCCAAGAATATTAATTTCATGTCCAAGCTTGCTCTGAACATGAACATATTGTTGTGCAGTTCTACTTCTGTTACTGAAGTTGACGGTAAAGATTGTCCAACAGCAACCAAACCGATATTTTGGTAATACCCTACTCTTGTAGGTTCATATTGATTGAAAGTAGGTTCACAAACAGAGTACCGAACTTTCAGATAACCGCTGCAGTGTATAACCTGGTAATAAAAAAATTGCATTAGTTATGCAACACGATTTAGAATTGCTCATATCCAATCATACAAATCTAAACGAAGTCAAATCTAGAAAAAAAATTACGCCACAAAGATGCACCAAATATTGTCTTTCTTTTTATTTTCAATCCATTCACAGCTTGATATAACCGAAATAATTTAATGTCATTAAGGGGTCATCTGATGATGGTATCTATTATCAATTATAAACAAAAATCGTCTACTTTTTGAACAACTTGTTTAATTGCTGAAATTACATTTATTATTACTGGAAAATGTGGTATTTGTCTTGAAAAATATCATCAATCATAAATGTTGACAGGCGTACAATTTCTTTTACTTCTCAGCCAAACGACTTTTTATTTTATATTTTAGATTATTGTTATTTACTAGACCATGTTTATGATTTGGGTTTTTTGTTTTGAAACGAAGTTGAAAAACAAACAATAAAAAATCTAGATAGATTCGCTCGATTTGCGAGCAAAGTTGAAAGTCAACGCAGCTATAATATAGAGAAGTAGAAGAGTTTTTTCATATTTATTTATCCACTTAACTTCAACTTAAAATAAAAAAAGAAATAAAAATACGTTTTTCTATCTTCAGTCGTTTCCTTTGTCGAATATTACTTTTTAGTAGTATAAGTTGAGACATTACTTTTCAATTGAATTAAATATTTTTATTCTTTACTTAACATTTTTCTTGCTCAAGAACTATTTACCCAAACTTACCTTATATCCCCCGCTTGTTAATCCTGAATTTCTTTTGGCAAGTACACATTTCATTCTCATCATGAACGAACGTTGGACTTCATATTCGGGATAGAATTGTGGAAACACTGAATTCTAAATAGAACAAATTATGTGTTTATTGAAATTTATCATTCATCTTACGTAATTTAAATAAAAAATTTCCTATTTTTTTCTTGGTTTTGAATACTAAAATTTATTTTTATTTTTGGAGGATTAACCCTTGAATCATCACATGAACTCCCACACTAATTATCTTTAACTGAATGTACCAATGAGCGTAGTAGTGTCTAACGAGAATATTTTCGCTACACTTGATAAAGTTTTTTCTACACTGTAATACAAAACAAGACCTAAAAATGTTTGGAATTTATATTTTTTATTCTTGACTTCTTCTCAAAAATGATTTGCTGTTGAATTTATTCAAGCGTTGTACCAAACAAATACCAACCAGAATAACAAAATTAATGTTTAAAGAAAAATTTATTGGTCTTATAATACCACAATATTTTTTTACAAAGTCAGCATTTTGTACTCAAGTCAAATTAAGTCGTGCATACCGGACACGGGGGTGGTGGAGTCGACAATATTGCTGCTATTTCGTCCTGATCTTCAGGTTTTATGTATTCGTATATACTGTTTCCGGTCAATTCAACCTGTGATACATATTTTTATGGTAAATAAACTTTTCATTGATGTATTTTTATTTATATTTCACAATTTATTTACTTCCATATCACACATTTAGATACAGAACTTGACATTTTCACCTTTGCAAAGCTTTCTTCTAACTATTCAGAAAGAAAGAGATTATTTATATCGAGGAGTGATAACCACGTATTTAGTAACCTCAACGATTTTACCACCATTTTTGTAATATTTTAACACATAAGTATACAAATTTGTAGTGAGAATGCAGTTAGGTGTAGACAAAAAATAACTGATTTCAAATGAAAATATATATAATTTGTCGTTTTACTGATTCATAAGAAGCTATTCCCATGTATCATCGATGTAAAATAGCTTACAACAATGTAAAGTTGCAGTGTTCTGTGATTGCCTCTCAGTATTTTTGGTTTGAAAAGTCAATCGAATTTGGTCCATTTCAATTAACATATGTCAAAACAAGTGCGCTTATAGTATTGATTTTGGTAGTCATAATTTATTTTGTAGATAACTATACAATCACTAACCTGAGAAAGTCCAAGATTGACTGACGCAGTTTCTGAAATATAAATAATTTTCCCATCTGGTCCCAATATAAATAAAAATCCATCCAAACTTTTCAACAGCAATGCACCAAGAAGATCTCTTTCTAAATCAATTCCGTTCGGATATCTGGTTCTTTGCCAGTAGTGGGCTGGTCGATGCATACGAAGATGATCTAGATAAAAATTTAAAAAAAATGGTTATATTAGGTATACTTTTTACTTCTTTTTTTCAGTACTGTTGTACTAAATGATTCAATTCTAATTTTTTTATTCTCCAATAAATCTTACTATTCTACATATTCTATTCTACACAGTTGTTATAGTCAATAAATTGCAGAATAAGAAGAATCGCATTACATTTTGTTCTATGTTTGGTTTTGTTGATTTGGGGCACACATTAAATAATTGCTATTGGTAAAAACACGACCCCTTAGCACTAATCATTCGATTTCATTTTTGAACCAAAATACAGGATAAATAAATTATTTTTAATTTTTTTTTATTAAGTGTCAATACTTATTATTCTCATTCATTTGTTTGAACTCGAGGGAAAAGTGACGATCGAACATTTTTTGTAGCAAAATCAGGCATTCACTGTTATTACTAGTAATATTTTGGTATATATTTGTATACAACTGTTTTGTTCAATATCAGGTCAGAAAACAGTAAAAAATTTAACTGGAACAACGTCGTTTTGCATTTCGTTTGGGAAAATGACATATAGTAATAATACCGTATATGTTATTCTAAATTCCATTTATTGTAATAATCCAAGTATTTAATGTTGACTCCGAAGTTTTTGACTACTTATAAAATATTCAATTGCAACACATCTGATGTGTGTGATTCCAAAAAATTATGATTGTATCGTCGGTTTTATAAACTCAAAATTAAGAAGTCGGTGATGTTGACTTTTGGGATGAGTAACATGGGTGCTAAACACATCTTCAAACGCGCAACATAAATGAAAACTTCCCCTACAAAACGGCTTATCCAGATCGGCCATCTGGCGATACAATTGTGAAAATACCTAGGTGTGCTTGTGTAGGGATTTGTAGGGGATTGCGTGCTTCACACACGTTTATATCAGCGATTCACGATGTTTACTGATAGTATTACTTGTCTCAAAGTGCGGATAGACAAATGGTTACCGGGATAGAATATACGGGTTCAATATGACATAAACAAGCGTGGACCTATATTAAAGATTCAAATATATAAGTTGATATACGTCTATAATCGCTCCATATTCAATTTATGAATAGCTATACAATATACTGTTGAAAATCCTTAATTTATCTCGCGTTTTCGGCAAATCAGTGCTCATAATGTCACTTGCAAGTTCCTTATACCTGTAATGTTTAACTCTAAGGAATATAACTGACTTTAAGCATATTAAAAACAAGCATCGTAGCCCGGGCGTTAATTAAATTTGGCAATTGGAAATTGTTAAGACGACCTGATTGACAGTTCATAGCACAAATATCATCCATAGCAGTTTCAGGCCCTACGAATAATTCCCACTACCCACTTCCCACTACAAATTTGGTACGCCATGCGGGGGAGGTTTGCCAATTCGTCCGGTAGTAATCAAATGCTATCAATTCAATGATAGTCAAACAACAATAGCAAAATCGCGAAATAATTTTGTATAAAAATAATGTTTTCCCTTCCTAGTTTCCCTCCGTATTCGAAATTTAAAACCTTCCGAAAACGTCTGGTTGTAGGCTGGTGGCGCAGTTGGATCACAATACACAACTCATTCAGCCATTTTGTTTTAAGACCACCCAGGGAGGCGTAGAATAGCTATTTTACGCACTTAACATACATATACATTTTTTTACTATTATAGATCTAAAATCTGCGATGTCGAAAGGGTTGCTCTGAATTTTCAAGTGCCAAGACCAGAAGCACCATAGATGCCGTCCGCATTTTTTTTATCGGATATATAGTTTTCTAGTTCAGTTGTTGAAATTCGGGCACTCGTGCTAATGAAATGTTCTATGGTGTTAAAAATACGAACAAATTAATCAAACTATGCGAATACATGATCCACTATTACACTACAATGTATGTAGGTAGTAACTGTATATCCAAAGGTGCGCCTATTTGCGTCATTCACTTTTATATAGTGCTAAAAGTTGTCGTAAAAAGAGAGCAATAAATAAACTAAATCGTGTTTGATGTGATACATTTCTAGTAAAATTAATTATCTTATGCTCTCTTTTACTAGGTCGCTTAAGCTCCTCCAGTTATGATATAAAATTTGCGCAGGTGCAGAATAAAATTAGTCGTCGACATGTTTGTGTGAGATAACAAAACGGGTTATGCGATCACTGTGAGTAATTCCACATATATTTTTAATACAATATGCCACGCAAAGCCGAGCTTCCAGTGTCATATAATACTCAATTTAAAGCTATTTAACTCCGGCCTAGGAAGATTTGCCTTGACAGCTGTGTGAAATAGCTCAGAATTTTGTAGTCAACGATACTGCTGAACCTGTTTCACTTGGGACGATAATTTATTTGAGACACTAATAAATGCAAGTTTATCAAAGTTTCTATATGGGGTGTTTAAGTTCTAAAAACTAGTTATGCTTATGTTTTATTGCTCTTTAATTCTGACTTATTCACGTTAATTCTCTGTTATTTTTTGAACTTTTTGTTCCGAAAGTATTCCATCGTTTCATTTGTTTGTCGGGAGATTTACGTCGTTCTCTTAACTCTACTATTTGCATAGGTGTTCAATATCGTTTCGCGGAGAATAAATAAAAACGGTGTTTGATTTGTCCACCTTCCTAAAACGACAGATTTTGACCATTTGTGAGAAATTCGTCGACTTTGTTTGTCCGATCTCCGGCTTGGACACATTGATTTCACAAATTTAAACAAAGAAATTTGCAATTTGTTAAAGCCATCAGGTGTGTTAATAAACCTATAGCTAGTAAACCGAAGGTAACGACTGCACAGAACAGACTGGCAGCGGCATTTTAGTTCTGGAAACCACCTTTTCACGATAAATGTATGTGGCCGAAGCAAAATGATTCAATCAACGCAACATATAAGCTTAAAGTCAATATTTTTCCAATTGCATACTTGTACATCGAGCATCGTCACAAAGAGTACCTGCAAATATCATTTAGAGTGATTCTAATTTTAATACAACTTTTGTAATAGTTAATTGAATGGATCATCTTTATCCTTTTACTGACACAGCTTCCACATAATCATTATGAAGCACGGGCCTTTTTATAAATAACCTAGTTGTAACTTGTACACTTGTCGTTTTTATAAAAGAAAATTTAAGGACTGCACTGGGAGAAAGCAGGACACATAAGCCCCAAAACCTGCAAAATGTTAAGTGAGAATCAGAAACTGGTAAAAGTTGATTATATAGCTTTGACAATTAAATCAAACGTAGGCCAAAAAAAGAGATTTTCGCTTCACACTTGGTGTGCCACCGACTTAAATTTTTTGATGACTCCCCCTCACTCAGTGTACTTGCTAATGTTTATTGAAAAAATAGATATTCTAATTTTTCAAAGTAGTATTTATTTCGCGTTTGAAATGCATATGACACTAATGTATATGCATCGTGAGCGGTTGTATGATTCATTACAATTCGTACGGCTGGGTAACTTGGTCGACCTCCCAAGAGAAGGTCAATCCAATGAATGCCTTTGAGTGAGTCTTGCAATAAATCATTACCAGCTAACACCCTTCTATTCTATTGACGCAAGAAGGAAAACAAAACTAAAATCGTGATCGAATTTTTATTCATCCGTTTCGTATAATGTCAGAATACAAATTACGGAGTCTTGAATTCAATTGTCGTTGTCCGTGGGCCCGATTTTGTTACATTAGGTAAACATTTTAATCCCCGACACGAGACGTTTTCTCAAGAATTTGTGTTTTACACAGCGGTCTATTCGTCTACAATGGTATTTAACCCTTAACCTGAAAACCCATTTCCGTGCTCATTACCTTATCACGTGAGCTAGTTCATATTTGCTCAACTTGAACTTGATACAATGTACAGTATTGAAAAATACATCAAGTTTTCTAAAATTGAAGATAATTCACATCACGGGTATTATTCAATTTAGATTTTAGACCAACCGCAGCGAGCATTGAAATAAAGTCAGTACTTTATAGAATAGAGTATGTCAGTAACGTTATGCAATTGCTCAATTAGCTAGTAGTGTAGTAAATTGATTGTATTAGAGACGGGATTACATCAAACTTAGCATACTATAAATTCCATTCCAACCTTTTATTAATAATAATTTGTTATTGCGATTAGTTTTTTTTAATTATTCAAAGAACAAATCTATTTCCATAAGAAAACAGTCAACTAACTAGTTTATTTAACATTTTGAGCATCTGCTAAAGGACGCTTCTGGTTCGGGATTTGACTCCGAGTTTGAGTCGACCTCCGACTAAAATTAAACCTGCTTTAAAAGTTTACAACCCCCAGCAAAGGTATGTTGCCAGAAAATGTCAAAATTGAACATATTTTTGTCACCTAAAGTAGGTTCTGATTTATTTTTTAGTGTTGTTTGAATAAGGCCAAGTTCATGTTTGGCGCGCCTTTTTAGTACGAGTACCGCACATAACTTGCGGTACCGGTGGCCGTTTCACGTCCGCCGATTGATATCACAGACTCGGGGTTTCTGGTTTTACGACGGGACGAATGAAAATGGAGACCGGTAAGCAAACAAAACGTGGTCACGCTCTTCCAATATTCTAAAGCCCGTTGCGAGTCCTTCGTTCGTCTACGCCAACCTCTTTGAAATCGTGAGATGTGAAGTCTACCGGCACTCGCGTTAGAAATAGTGAGAAACTATTGGATTTATTTGTTGATTGTATCTTGACATGGGTAAATATACTGTCAAATTTATAACTAGTGTGTTTTATCTTTTTTTGCAAGTGGTAACAAGCCATGCCTCTGTAACAATAATGTAATAAATATACCAACATTTTTGTTTTATCCCCCAACAAAAGACCTATTGTTTCCTAGGCCAAGTGTGGACTGATTATATATCTATATAAATACATCTGAAAACCGAACTTGGAATGTAATGTAATTTATGACAAGTCAAATTATACTGATATATCATAGCAATTTCACTTGAAATGTCTTACCGCGTTGTTACAAAGTATTTTGCGTCATAAAGTCACGAAATTACAACTACCGGTAGCAAACAATATCAAGATCAATGCTCAAATTCCCACCATTTTATATTTGCTTACCGCAATGTTTTTGAGCTCAACCACATAATGAACCAGCGTCTGATACCCATTCTGTTGTACTTGACAATTGACAAAGAATGATTTTATCTTGGTATTCTATACAATTGTGATTTTTCATCAACGTTACAAAGAATCTATGCTTTAGAATTGAAACATTTTTGTTTCATATAAGTACCTGGGGTATATCATATGCAGAAGTTCGAACTTGAGTCACGACTTCGCACCGCATTAAACATATGAATTTTTTAGAACAATTCACAATGCGATTCTTATATATATAAGTAACATTGTAATATCATCTAGCGATTCAAAAGATTTCAGTTGACGAAAAAACGTTTATCAACCCTTTTTGGTACGAAGCAATGATAAATATTCTATCGAATTTTCATTTTTCGCGTTCGGGCCTGGAAGGCGCCCAAGACTATTGCTACCATTTAGAAACTGAATAATGCGAAAATTGCAAGCATCTCCTGATGCATTCTAGATTCGAGACTATATATAGAAATATAGATGCTAGCATCAAACTTTACCAATTCACAACACTGCTGGGAAACAGGTAGATGGGAGAAGCAATGAAAAAATCACAATTTCGTATCCCCACACTTGGTAATATATATATATTGTTTTACCAAAATATTAGGAGGAAATTACGTCCACAATGCCATACTATTCAGATTAAGATTCTTCATTGTTGACCCGAATCAAGCAGCAAAATTTACGGTTAACAATATATCTATATACTTTGTATTCCAATAAGTCACGTTTGGACAAGATATTTATGTTTTTGTTTTGAATAGTGGGATGCGTCTAGCGACCGTCCAATTATGTAGATAATATCTTGTCTTGTACAGTCAAAGAAATACTCACTATTACCACCTATTTTGTTGCAAGCGCAGTTTCTAATATCGCAGTAGATTTCTACTATAAGTTGTATTTGATAACGGATTAGCAAGTAACTGAAATGCATGTTTAAGACCTTCTGTGCTAAAGAATATAATGAATGAAAACTCAACGATAGACCCTTGCCAGATTTTTCTGTGTCTGTAAGGCGGTCACACTCGCGCGTGCTTTTGACATGTTTATTGAGATTACCACTCATAGTTAATCGCAGTACGTGCACATGAAATTATGATATTATTGTTTTCACGGAGATTTACCATTCATAACCTAAACGTTTTGTAATAGGACGTTTTTACGAAGCAAAATATCCGAAATACGTGACATCTCTTCGGCCACAGTATATAAAAGCTCGGACACGCAGCTGACGTAAACAGTGTTCTTATGAACTTGATGTCAGTGCGACGAGGTGTTTTCAGTTTTGCCTTAAATTCCTTCGAAACCAATAGTATGTATATTTTCGAAATTCCATTAAGGAATATTGCAGAATACAGAAGTGTAACGTCTAAGAACCTGGATTACACTTTATGAACCAAATGTTAACAATGATCAATATTTTAGTATTGTGTAATTTGACTAGAAGGCGTATAAAATTAAGCCCATTTTTTACTTTTATCAACTTAAAAATGAAAAATGAAGGTGCCTCAAATAAACTATTTTTTGGGAATTTGAGCTACAAACTGGCAAATAAAATTTTGAAAACATTGAATAAGATATAGTTGTTTACATTAAACAAAATTGATTTTAAATTTCGACTGTTTATACTACACAAAAGGCCAGTGGATAAACTTTTAGAAAACCATCGCACCAGTGAAAAACACAGCCATTTTGTTTCTCCCAGAAATAATTCAAAAACAAATTCACTCAGAATTTTATTCAGAAAACTAACGACAATGCAATGAACTGTATATTCACTGTCTTATCTTACTTCAAACACTATTCAAAACTTCTTGCTGTTGAGTATAATTTATCGGATTCTAACCTTACCATATAGGCATACTTGCCAATGTAAACTTTTCGTTAAGTGTTCTCGCGTTTTGGACAGTATTCCATGATATCTGAGTCCTATATTGATATAGCAATTAGTGATCACACCTATCTAGAGTTTGAATTGTCTGTGCTACACAGTAGTCGTTCCTGGTACGGATGCAATCTTTCTAAAACATTAACATTGGAAGTATACAGTTCAGGTTAACACAACGATGTGTCATTCTCAGCCATCAACTAAATATATATTTATATATATCACAACAGGTTTTTATTATAACACGTCAAAAATAGCAGAACATTCCCAATAAAAAAGTATTTAAAGTTAATTTTATGCAACGTTCTGAAATTCAAATCACACTATTCTACTGGTATTTAATAACCTATCCTCCCTCTTACGCAAGAAATCCCTTAAAAATGACCTCGAATTATATTTTTCTATGATAGTTTGAAAAATGCAGATTTACACACAAAAGTGCGTTGTTAATTTTTTGAGTTAATGGTTACGCAAGGGCGTTGAGCAAAAACCCCCTCGTAATACTCTTTCTCCTAATGCAAAATTTCTAGTTAGATATACAAACACATTGAAAAATTATTTTTAAAATAATCTAAAATTATTTCTAGTTCTTAATGAGATTGTGCAACTAACATTAGTGTATGGCATACTGCATAGCAAATCGTTCTACAAGTCCATCAGGATTATAAAAACACGTCTATGCTATACAAGTCTAATTCTATTAGTGTTTAATGAATTAAAAGCTCTTGAAAGGGATTTGTAGTTACCACTATAAAACATGACATTTTTCAATCTTCTCTTAATCATACTGTAACAAGATACTGTTTTGGATGGGTTCTCATTAATCAGTTGACCTGCCTGAGAACTTATTGGTGATACATTGACAAGAATTGTAAAAAAAACTACAACTAAAAGCACAATATCTCTGGAGAATGATTGAGAAAATTGAGTTTTGAACATATGTTCAAAGCATCATGAATTTTGCCAAATTTCATCGCTGTTTTTTTTTTTTGCATTTCATTTATACTGGGATAAATATATAATACTGGGATAAATAAATAATATTTATTTAAAATAAACTTCATTCGTTAAAAAATATCTCGGCATTCATATATTAAAATCGAGAATTTTTTGATCGTTTTTTCAATCCTTAGTGTTTTTTTTTAATTTTTTTTTTGAACAGTAAGAAATGGTATTTATATATTGGCTTAATTTTTCGTCTTTTGATTATGATAAACATAATTGGTTCAGACACGACGTCACAACTTTAATTCATTCCAAAAGAAACAATTGATTTGGGTTTGAGTTACCATTGACCACTTGCGTTATCGACTGACCATTGAAATATTTTTTAGAAATTTGACCACCCAGTTACTTGGACCACCAACCGCTACATTACAACTGCGAACAATTAAACGGTGACAAAATCTATCGAATTACAAAAAGACTAGCTGTCCAGTCAGCATTTAATTTACGGTACCCTTTGACATTTTAAACTGCAACGGCAAAATACATTTACATTACTGGATCAATTTTTTAATTGAAGTTAGACGCTGGCACTCGCCTATAGCCCAGAAGGGCGTATGAGATTTATTTCGAGAGCACGGGAGAGCAGTTTTTATTGAAGAATCAGACTCAGCTTAGCTTAGAAATAGCAGTTACATGAGGTCAGATTGATATATACATTCAACCTCCCTAATCTTGCAATCCTGATAAATCCATATGTGGATTTCGCCGCATTGGTTAAATATACCTGAAGCAGGTAGGCCTATTGCCTAGGCCTAAAAATACGTGTTTATGCTATGAAATAAAATAGATTTTTACCGTCTGGGAAAATCACACGCATCTTTAGGTAGCTCGCAGTGAGTCTAATGATTGATGCTTTATCCAACTGTGACGTAATAGCAGGTGACAGTGGAAGCATTGCTGCAAGTTCCGCAAATTCGCAATTTTCTTTCTCTCTCCTTGATCTGGCGGCAGTCTTTGATCGTTCTTTCATTTTCTCTTCGCTAAATAACAATGTATATTTCAAGTCGGCTTTATTTGTAGTCGTTAAGCAAGTCGATTTCTGACTGAAAAAGGTAAAGTAGTTCAAATATCAACTTTAGAAAAGCAACTACGACTGTGCGCTTCCGAAGATAGACTAAACTTTGTTACTGTTCGGAAATTTTTCAATATGCGGGTTTTCTCAATAAAATTTGAATTATAAGTGATTTAGAGAATCTTGAAATTTATACTGTTTCGTTCATACCGCAAATAATCAAAATTGGTAATTTTAAATCTATAAAAGATTTATTAGAAAAAATGGCACTGTTGAATGGAAAGTCGTGTCCAACAAGTTTTAAGCCAACGTGCATCACATGTTCAACGGTAGAATATATTAGCAAGGCTAACTTGAACCGAAGTATGAAATATATTTCATACAGTATTGGCTAAATTTTAATTCACATTGTATTGACTATTAATTCATAACTTCGTATTGGATAATATATTATGAAGTACCGCTTCGTGAATTTTCTGATAATTCTGTCGTTTTAATGAATTCACTTAATACCTTCTTGCTAGTAAATCTAAAATGAGTTTAAATATTTCCCACTCAAAACAAATAATTTGATTTCTTTTTTCTGACTAATTTTTATTAGAAACCGCTATCCGTGTATAAAATTGAAAATAATTAGTTACTCTGCTGCTTCACTCACCGTTTTGAAATGTCAGCTCAAAAATAAAATTATTTAGTAAATAAGTATTATGTTTTCCATTTATTTTATATGCATAGCCGAAACAATTAACGTGAAAAAGTTGAAGTCGAAAGAAAAAAATATAGAATTTGACGTCACAATATAGCATTCCGCACGTGTATCATGTAAATTGATGCAGATCATCCTATGCTCAACGAAGCGTTGGCACAAACACAATGTTATATTGATTTTATATCATGCAAGCGCCCCACTTCGCATTAAATAACTGGATAATTAGCCCCATAAATATTTTGAACAGGTGACGGTAGTTTACCTTGCTCATTAATTCAGTTTAGATTTGGCATCACATGGTAGGTCTCGACACATATGTCAATGTTAACCTGCTTTGAGTAGGTACGGTTACGTACGTAAGCGTGAGCGTGACTTCGCCTAAACATGATCAGAAGCTCCAACAAAGATTGTTTAAGTGAGTTGATTACATTTGTACTTAAACAATATCTGTTCTGAACGAATAACACTCTATATACTGTACTGTGTATTACGATACCGTTTTGTCTGCCGGCATTTAGGCCTACTGTTTATTGCGTGTGCATGCTATACCGTGAAGGCATACATGAATTCAAATCACTGTTGTAAGCCCGCATTGATATTGTTGATGAAAAATTGTTCAATTTATTACGAACACGCGACCAATTTTTAAGAATGTGTAACATTTCTAAATAACTACCGCTTGCGCTTTTATCACCGGATTCGTTTGAAACGTCTGTTGATTATCATCAAGTTAATACCATACGTACAAAATGGACGAACAAGTTGATAATGTTTTGTTTGTTTGATCTTGACTTATATCGAGCGAGTGAAAGTACTGGGAGTTCTATGTGCATACATTCGATACCTGCAGAATAGATATTTGCTAGTTTAACCGCGTCGTTTACCGGTACTTCATATCGCAGCACGGTAGTTCGGTATGATCTTCATCATGATTTTGATCAGTAGCATGTTTGTGGAGTCCACATCAGGACTTTTCAACTTTGTGCAACCCCTGATTTGCTATTGGACTCATCCCTAAGTGTTCACAATAAGTGCTTTGCGGATCCCCAGTTGAAAAGTACCGGCCTAAAGATCATTGCCAAATCTGCGATCGCGTGTAAATTAAACGTGTATCAATATGTTTTTTTTAATATGAGACTGCGGTGTAATACATATAACGATTTGCTAACATTACATTAGGAAAGATTTATCTCCCAGACTAAGAATTTTCAATTTAATTGAAAACTAACAAATCAACTTCTACATACCTCGGTGACGAGTTAATTCCATTATTTGACTGTCCTCTCGGTGAACCAGCGTGTGTTTGCATGCCGCTTAATTTCGTTCCAAATTATTAATTTTCCAGATACCCCACTACGATAACATGACAAGGTAATTTAATATAAATATGTATATTTAAATATTTATTCGTTCTAACAAATAAATGAATATCTGAAAAACACTCTGATGATAATTTTATCCGAGTATAAATTTTATTATACAGCTTGACACTATTTGAGAATGTAAAATAACTTTTTACACCACAAGAAAATCGGTTTTCAGTCTTCAATTAACCCGATTTCACGGCTACACATACGTCACAACAGGCTCACAGCGAATATCTAAATATACCTTCCAATAAAACTAGACTTCTATAGTATTGCAGTGACTATTTTTACAAAGTGATATCTCTCGTCCTCTCACTGACGTTTTCACAGTCATGCATTGAGTTTGCAAACTGGCAAAACAGTGGCATTATTGCACAAATATCGTTTTTTCACTTGTATGTTGCCGTATTTGCACTTTACAAATCACCTCCAATCTAAAACCTATTGAAATTTTGGGCTGAAAAGTCAGAGTAACCTTTTGTATTGATTGCATCCTAGAGGCAATACAAAATTTAGCGATAAGGAAACGTAAAGCTGCCGAGCATTATTTTTCCTTCGAATATTCTAACAAAATATTCACTAATTCGTTTTTTATTGATTTAAATTGAAACAAAATTCTGTATATTTTTCATATATACAAAGTTTTGTAACTAAGATTGCCATCAAATTTTAACACGAGTCAATATTTCTATTTCTAATATTATAAAATGTCTAACTGATATCAGTTGTATATCATCACATTTTATTATGTTGATATTAGTATTATCCCAACTCATTTAATTTATTTTATTTCTTATCAACATTAGGCAAACTATGAGTGATATTAGTTTGTTCGAAAACTCATCCACAATAGAGTGATTTATTAGCTCAAGAAGCGCGTGAAAGTTTACTCGCAAATATGATAAACTGCGAGCAATGCGGCCACTGTTTGATTTCACCTGAGCCAATACTCTGGTTTTCACAATATTTTTTTGTGCGTTTCAGTAAATTTATTAAAGGTGCAAACCATGGCCCGATGGAACGATAAAGAATGTATATTTTTCACATTCCATTAAGTAATAATATGTTCTTCGTCCTATATTGTGTGGGGTCATTACATCGAATAATATTTTTTTTCGAGAGAAACTTATATAAAATATGTTGGTTCTCTTTTTGCTTGTTAGGGCAAGTATGCAATTAAAATGATCATACCGTAAGAGTGATCATATCACCGACATGTTGTTAAAATTGATCAAAAATAAACGCAAATTGTTTGATCTTGAAACTTAGCCATACTAGAAATACACAACCCTGATAACTAACCATAACAATTTTGAACCTAATTCAACTATTAAACAAATTCTTGAAATTATTTGAAATAATTGAAATAGTAATTAAACTTATATCGACTCACGAATATTACGATAGTAAGGCAATTGTCATCAAATTATGTACTGGATTTTTCTGACCTTAATTTGTGTGTAATTTCGAAATCATTTGAGGAGATCATATTATTTGCTGTAAGAGGCCTTTGTTACAAAATCATAATACATGATTAAACTGAAGATATGCTGAGAAAATTTACTTTTATGTATAGTCATTCCGTTATTGATTTTAATAAAGTGGAATAATTACAGTTGCAATAACAAATTTTTATCTACACTAATAATATATTACAATGTGAACTTAGCCTAAAAGCCATTCAATCAATTATTTCTATAGCTTAATTGAACATCGTGCAATAGCACAGAAACAATTGGAACACTATCACATTTATTTCCTTGCACCATACGTTGATTTTCTGTGATAATTTTTTGCTTTCTTACTGGCACATTGGTTGCATATATGAAGACCATACATTATTTATCTTATGTTGTCAATTGACACAATATTCCTGTTACGTGTGGGAAGCCATTATCGCAGATCGCACAAAATGGAGGACCTGTATAGGCACGCGGTCAGCTCCAGATTACATCTTGTTGGTATAAATAGCACAGAACATTTTACCCGATGATAAACTTACTTTCCTTTCCTACTTAGTATCATGTTTTGTATGACGTTTCTATTTTATGAGGATGCCAAATGACTGGTTGTGTTGAACTGGGACTACTCTATGTTTCTGTTCTTCCTCGAGAATCCCAATTGAAGCGTTCTATCTAACTATTCCACATTCTCGTGTAAGATGGAAGGAACTGATCTGAATGAAATAGTATTTCACTTTCAATAGATACTTTTTGAACAGCTCTGCCTGTCATAATGCCTGCAGTAGCCTGACTGATCGCGCCTTTGTCAAACAGCCCCTTTGTTGTCTGACAACCTATAAATAAAATGGCGACACCACAGTGGTTGGATTTGCGCTTGTGACATTTAAGACGTGTCTTCCATTCATTCCTACGCATAGTCTGGAATGACTCTTTATGGAGAATTACTCAGCTGAAAGATTGGAATGACACAAATTGTTGTTATGAATTTCTGAAATAAATTCTTTTATTAGAGTTAAAAATCTTTCCAGCTAAAAAATACAGATCGTTTGAGTAGTATTTTCGATCTAAGTTCCCGAAATTATATATTTCCTTGAAAAAATACTACTATATATATTCACTGAAGTTTTTTACTCTTTTTCATTTCCCCTGTGCTATTTAGGATTCATTATTTTACAACGGCAAGTGGTTTATCTATTATATAACAGAAATGGAATAATTATCACTTGAATGTAGGAAGAATAGCATTGTCAGCGTATAATAGCAATGCATAAAAAATAATTTGAGACTTGAATAATTTGCCAATTTTAGTTTTTGCATATTTTATGTCTCACGAAAAAAAGGGATTCATATTAATAGAATCAGTATAAATGGAGTAAAATTTATACAGCTGCAAGTATAAATAGGTTAATTTATAAGGCCGCTTCCAGTTCATTTAGAACTTCTGAAAAACCAACCGCTACACTCTTAATCGAAAAGGTATAAAAAATTTGTATTCCATATATCTACTGCTCTTTACCTTTACTTTTTTTTTATAATTTTAAACTTTTAGTACTAGACATAAGATTGGTTACAAATACATTCAAGTGGCTATTTTGACCAACAAAGGACGCCGCCCATCGCGTCCTGTGGTCATTGTTTACCTATGCCAAAAAGCCGTGTCAAATGGTCAACAGATCAGTGCTGCTCTACACACCTTATACGCGTGAAACCGAGGGTAACTGGACGGATGATTTAATGGAGGAATTATCCAGATGACAGAAATCAATAAAATATAAAATACTCATCTTATGACATCCATAGGTGTAACAATAGAAAACACTGTTAAAAAGTACAATTAATATATTTCACTGTAACTACTTGAATCAAATCATTTGCTGCCGATAAAACTTGCTCTAAAAATACCTCTGAGCGTCTAACATATCTTTGCTGATCTGAGAGTTTAGATATAATATATATAAGCATTTGTATAATGTTAAAATTAAAGTTAAATATGCAGTTATACATCACTAACTGCTAGACCCATTTTTCATCGTTCTTAGAGATATCTGTGGGTTAGGTGGTCTGACACCTTAAGTGGCCAGGTCACGGTATTTTACACTTGAAAGGCCTGATGTCCATCCCTGTATTTAACAAAAGATTTGATCTATCAGTTCTATGGTAGGTTTATGTATCATTTGTAATATTATTTTATGTGTATGTTTTAGATATTAAAATATCGATTTACTTTTCATATAAATTCGATTTGTTTAGATATAGAAGAGTGCGGTTTTATGATTAGAAAAATAACAGGAAAAATATAATTCATTTTCACTTTAATTACAAATATATTTTATTTGTCACCCGCGGATAATATTTTATCTGTTTCTGCTTTTAATTTATTGTTTATTTAATCCTTTTTATGCTTCGAATCAGGATATTTTAAATTAAAATCTCTACATATGATGTCAGAATCATACAAACAAAAATAAATGTCATAACTAAATTTGATATGTACATTTGTTCAGAATGTGAGTAACAGAATGTGCAGATAATTTTAAAATTTATTTCAGGTAAAAATATTTCACTTTGAGTTATATTTTTATTTCTATTATGAAATATGACATCGAGAATACATAAATATAGTTTATATTTTTGAAGGGGCCGCTTTTAAAAATACCTATTTATCACATCGCATATTTTTTATTAGTAATTGTTTTCTTTAAATTAGTTTATTATCCGGATAGTCGTAGAAAATGCCACATTTCTAACTTTCTATCAGTGTGTGGTGTTGATGCACACAGGGTGTGGTGGTAAAAGCGCGGGAAGATCAAAGAGCTGCTAAAGGTTTGAGTTGGTTTATCTTACTGCTACGGATCGCCTACAGGGTGATTTTGCTATTAGCTTAGTCGAAATAATAGACTCCATGATTCATTTGCAGCAACATACCGTAGATAAAACCAATATTTGAAAGTCCTCAGCAAATTTTGGGGAAGAGATAGTATGGCGTATAGGAGAAAATTATTCTTGATATTACGTCTGTTTATACAAAACTACTTTACTGGCTATTTTGCATGAAAATTGTAACAACTATACTCGATCTAAATTGTTTAACAGACTTTAATTCTGTATCATCAGATTCAATGAGATAACATATTACCAAAGTGTTGCAAGTGAGCTTGGCTGTAAAGAAGATTTGCTTATTTACTAGTAATATATATATATATAAAGAAAGAAATTTGCAGAATTGCCAAGCTTACATCATTTTATATATCATTGCAGAGTGATTTGTAATAAAATATCGCAATTCAACTTCTATCACGTGTACTTCTCAATATTATTAGCATATTTATTGAATTAGATAGTATATCTGCTTTCCAAATCTCATATCAAATCATTCACAGTATGAATTTATGGTTGTAGTCACTTATATTTAGAAGGGGTACTGAGATTAGTTAGGTAAAAAAAACAAATAATATATAAAAGTTTCAAAATACGAAAAACAGGAACAAGTAAATTTGAGAAAAGTATGCTTATACTGCCCGGGTTTTGGAAAGTTAGTAATTCAAGTGAAATACGGCAAAAGTTTTGTTAAATCACTCAATGTTTTTTTTTTTGGAAAACTAAAGATATATATAATACGCAGAGGTGAAGGAGGTTTTAATAATAGAGTTTTCAATTCCAGTAACTGAACTGAAGACGCTTGTAATCTGGCACACTGTTTGGATGTTTAGTTAACCAGTAGTAAGTTACAATTATACCGATATAGTAAATACCTATTTATAATAATCTAACATATACAGTATTATTATCTAGGACATAAAATTCAAAAAATGTCACAAAAAATTAATTTCATGAACTAATCAAGTTTCGAAATGGAACAAAACATTTTTTTTTGTAAATTTGTGAAATGCTTATATATGACAATTGTACTATGTACAGTACCTAATAATGAAAGGTCGCATATTAAACTTTGATAATATAAAAGTTAATTTTTTTATTATCAGAAAAAAAAACTAAATGAAACTGCTAAATAGGTACCTAACTTCTGTACAATCAGAGAGTGGAACAGCATATAACTGAATTAATACCAAAGTTCTGAATAAAATATTAATATAAATATTCATAATTATATAAAGTGTATTATATAAGTATCAATACACATATGATCAAAATTTACCATCAAGGTCCCATATATTGAATTGCTTGTATGAAGTGAGTTATTTATAATAAGCTTATCATTTATATATATATTGAATTAATCCTGAAGTAATATTATAACCAATGAATTGCAATTTTATGTGTTAATCATGTAATAATCGTATTTAGAATTAACACATATTATACTCGTTACCTACCCCTTTAGGTAAAAACTAAAACGCCCTAAACTACCCAATTATTTTGTATGAAAGTGGGGAATTCTTCAATATTTATAAAATAAATTTCATGGTGACCAAACAACTATACTATCACGACAATACGAACATCTGGCCAACTGACCGATGAATAGCATGTGTGATTAATTTCGATCAAACACAGTTTTAATATTATGACAAATATTTCGTCATTTTCCTGTTAAATATGAATGAAGCGTGCATTTGTTTTAGGTTTAAGTCGAACAATAACTTTTCCAAAAGAATAGTGCAAATCATGGGCGAACGTGACGAAAATTTACAAAAGATTTTCATACAAATTAAGCTTAAAATGAAATGGTTTTGATCCACTGACAACTCTGAATAAGAAAATGGTATCTTGATATAATCTTAGGGGATTAGCGTATTTGATCCTGTGGGTGTTTAAAGGTAGATAATAGTTTTGTCATCGTTACTAGGAAAAATAATTCAAAAACTGTTAATACTGAATAAATATTAAAAAATAATTTCAAAGTTTCTACTGAAAGATTTTAGAAAGAAAATTTGAAATTATCCTATACGCTTCAAATAAAATTGAGTAATGCTCTACAAAACAAAATGGCGCATGTGGCGATTTTGTGCTTTGCATATTCACAACTGTTGTTACAATTTATAAAACAAATTCATTAATTCACAGTGTTAGTATTATTATCTTAGTATATGCCATATAGAAGCTTGAATAACAATACTAGATTCTCTTACAATTTTAATACGAACTAATAATATTCAACTATGGATTATCTCGGAAGCATATTCGCGCCTGGAAAAATTATTTCGATACAAATAGAATTGTTCACTATTAGCGCTTTCGGTTTTCGGTTCGGTAGCTACAAATTGGAGATCTGTCCTTGCCAAAACCAAAACACAAATCGAGATGTTAATAAAATGTTGGATGAAATTTATTACGGTACCTAAAAATTTATTCATTTAAATACTGATGTAGCACACTTATCTTTGATAATTTAAACCTTGAGTAGATAGCTATAGTATATATAGTCTGAATATATATAAAAAAAATATTATGCTCAATGAATTGGGATGTACACTGATGCAAAAAGTTTTTAAAAAAAATAATATTGCATTTTAAAATTTTCCAACGAAATATTTTATCCGAAAAACATCCTATATATATAAAAGAAATAGTAATGCTATACTATATTTAGCTATATAGTTCATCTAACTAAACCTAACTCTATCTAGTCTATACATGGATAACGCGAGAACTTGATGATTATTGTGTTAAACAAATACTGCACTTGATATATTTTTCTTACTACGTGCGACCTTCAGATTGCCTTGAATTGATTTACATGATTACATTTTTGCCATAACTTGACTGTAGCAAAATCATATTTCAAATTTATATCCTTGACAAAGAACGCCTACCTTACTCACAAAAGAAAACCCATATCGCTAATGGACTCATAAAAATGCCACTGATCACGGGAATCGCAGACACCCTGTGTGAAATATGACGGTCGCGATGTCACGATCTTTATTGCCTCAAGAAAGAAGGTTTGATATGTTGAGGTATGGTTTACCAGTCGTGACTCATAGATAGGTTGTTCATTCAAGGGGACAAAGATCATTTCAATGGTGATTTCCCATTATAAGCCACCTTATCAATTTTAAAATATTAACGAATATAGCACAGCATAGTTTGAAATTGAAAATAATCATAAAACAATTATTTGGTTAATTTTATGTGGACAAATATTTTTAGCAAAAACCATAAAATTAAAAAATAATTGGTTGTATCACACACTTCATTGTGAAAAAATTCTGTTTGGACAAGTTTGTTATAATGTAAATTAATATGTTTGCGAGTTTTCATTTTGCAATCAAAAAATTTTGAATTATACGACGCTCTCAAACTAAATTCATTATTTTTATCCGGTCCTTCCGAAATGCAGAAACCCTTTTTGTTCGCTTCGTTGAGAGTATTATTCTGTAAAATGACGTTTAAAATGATAATCAAATCAAGAATCATTTTAGTATATAATGCAATACTTCTAATTAATTGAACGTGAAAAACTGTTCTGTTTAGCTTCATCCGCCATATTTTATGTTGCACAAAGTGGCGTCACACTGACCGTGGTAGAAGTTTGATTAATGAAAGTGAACGTGACCACAACGCAAATTTACATAAAGGAACTCCAAGAAAAATGAATTCCTCGGTACATAGAAACACAGTTAGCGCATATCTACCTACTCACTCTACTTCTTTGAAATTGAAGTATAATTTTATCATTAGCAATAGGAGAGTCTAAATAATTTTTTATTGTATAGCAATGTGATTGTTATTTAAAATGTTATTTTTCTCTAATGATTTATTTTATTTTCAAGCATTTCTGCAGACATGTTATTGCATGTGGGATTTTTACTTCGAATAGTTCAAATGTAATGCATTATGAACTGTGTTTAATAGGTTTCCGCACATTCAAACGTTCGAAATATTTTTTTAAAATAAATTGCACTTTCACTTTTGTTTGACTTGACCTTCACCGTAGAACGATACGACTCATTTGCGTTGTGAATTGGCACTTCATGTGAATTTACAGTTTACTTAAAGACTCTGGGAGGCCATTTTGCTTTTCCTTAATCTTAATGTAATTGACATGATCATTAAAATCTTCCACCGAGCTCAGAAAACATTTCTCCCGACGACGGCGAAGGGCGGATAAAGTATTGGGTTTCGTTTAGTTATTTCGATAATGACAATTACTGTTGCTTTAGAGTGTCATAAAAAAATATTGCAAAATAAATGTTTTGCGTCGCCATGGATTCTTTGAGTAGAAGTTACACCGCGTCTAGGAGATTTACCATACAAAGTTTTAGAATCCGCTAGTGGGTAATAGAGGTATATGTACTGTTCAATGGTAAATTCCATAGGTTGGTGCTTCTATTATTTAAGTCTCTATTGCACTAAGTTGCCACTTAGTTTTCCATCAAGACGAAAAAGCTACGAATACGTTAATAAAAACACTGTACTGTATTGCGCTGTGTAGCTTGTTCTAATTTCAAAACACACTATCAACTATACCAACAGAAACACTTAAAGCTTTGTGTTATACTTTATTTTTAAAAGCTTATGTGCTGTTAAGGTATGTATATAATTATATTGCAAATACTGCTTAAATGATGCTACATAAAATTGACAAAAACATGAAATGCATCGAATAATATTTTTTTAATACGAAAGACTAATATATAAAGATGTATAATATCCAGATATAGACATTTTTCACCCGGCCGATTTATGCACGGTCATTTATTTAAAGTTAAATGTAAAATGATACTATGGTATTTGACCGCTGTACAGTATTTTAAAGTCAAGTCTTGTGCAGTGAATATTCATTCTTATGCCAAACCAAAACTTTCTATATTTCGTGGGTGTAAGTTTTTAGTAACCAAAGAATTATGAATTTCTTTCATATAATTTCGTTCCTCGTAGAACTTGTTTTCCATGTGTGAGATTTTCCTTTTCAGCAAATCGTTTTCAGATTTTTGTTGCTGTATAATTTTCTCGAGTCTGATATTCTTCTCTCCACTTCTCTCTAGCTGTCGAAGTCTGTCCGCCAACTCTGCTTTATTTGCATCCACCCTAGAATGACAAGAAAACGGTGTAATAACAGAATTCCAAGTATATATATTAACAGAATTAGTAATTGTTTATCATGTTGGCATCTTAGAGCCTTCCACTACATAATATCATCACCGTCCAATACTTTAATTAAATATCGGCGCAAATATTATTTATTGTCCCGCTGCAATCAGCCAGGAACACTTCATAACTGACACCAATATATGTGAACATTCATTGTTCATAATATAAAGTTTACGACAAATAGATATCAACTCAAGTTTCATCCAATCAGTGTAAAGTTTTTTATGGTAACTTTGGAGGTTTAAAATATGCGTAAAATTGTACGTTCATAGCTGAAAACATCCTTTCGAAGAGTGCTCTATGCTGATTTTAGTGTTGACAACTGAACCACTTTTTCTAACACTGTGTTCACATTTAACTGCGCCTTTAGCAAGTAAAATTCGCTTTGCATAAAATTGGCTACATTTTTGTAAAAAATTGCTCACTTTTCTTGAAGACAAAGTGCTAGATTTAAAGTTAATTCCGCTTCTTTTTCACTGACAATCATTTCATCACCCGTTTGACAAGAAACTTCTGATGTTTCGTTTGGAAGGTGAACTTGTTCTATCAACATAACTCGTGTTGGTTCTTCCTTCTTCTGAACAATAATAATTTTTTTTTGCCATTGTTCCAGTAATTGCTATATTTATATGGTAAAGGAAAAAATCCAACTGTCGAATACAAAACATGATGCACTTTGACGATTATACAAATCGATAAGGTACAAATTTATAGAAGTCATCAATAAATGTATGACAATATATTATATCGACTGAAGGAATAAATAGAACTAGCAGTTTGATACTAAATTATGTTTGTAAGAATGTGGTATATTTATTAATTTCTACGTCCAATGATTACTATTGAACGCAAATGGAAACTTTATTTTCTAGATCCGCTAGATGGCATGTTCAGGCAACGCCGAAACATACAATACCGTTTCGGTTGTACAATGTCGTGGACCTATAACAAATAAATCAAAATTACTTTTCTTTCAAGTTTCTTCTTCTCTTTTTCTAGTTCTTGTTTTGTTGAATTTAAAAGTTTTTCGATGCGTTTGCATTTATTTTCTAATTTCACATAATTTTCTTGGGATGTTTTGAGTTTTGTTTCAAAGGAACCAAGTTCGTTTGTTTTCTTCGTTAGTGCTTTTTGAGCTCTGCAAGAACGCAAAAAGCATTGAAAGTAAAAATTGAACGCAAAGTCGTTAGCGAGGCTTATATATATATATATATATATATATATATAAGAGTGGTACACAGTTATGTTTAGATAAACTTGTTATAGTGTTAATTGGAAAAATCCCACGATAGGACAACAGTTGTTTTCCTTTAATTTAACCTTCGTATTAGGCCTTTTATGCGCTTTGGATTTTTAAGTGTTTTGCAGGCATGAAAAACAAACTGGTTGTGCAGTTGGGTACAAATTTTACACTTTTATGAAGAATATCAGCCTAATCAAATCAAAAAGTATAGCTTCTACTTTTGGTACAAGTCAGCATCAGTTACAGCTAACAATCACACAACAGCTAACTAGTTGAACTTTCCAGAGACACGATGATGTTGGATAGAAGTAATTGTATCAGGTTGGCGGATAGGTCTACTGCGTGAACATGACGATTCGAGTAATGCCCCAACCCCGGGTGTAATAAATTGAGGGCGCTGCAGAAGTGTGTGTACAAATATGGAGGTAACTAATTTTGTTCGCCTACTTTACATCAAGTTGTGTGAAGGAACTGTAACCTATGGGCAGTGGGTATATTTACTTGGCTAACACAGACAGTCCCCGAACTCGTAATAAAACTAAAATAAGGAAAATCGGAATGAAATTATTCCCTAACCCTAACCTGGTACGCACATTGCGGGAGTAACAAATTGGGTAGGTTAGGCAATGCCTAACGGGAAAGATTCCGCTCCTTCTGAACAATAGTAGTTCCTAACGTATCGTTTAGTGTCAATGGCCGTGCGAGGGAGCGTCGTGTAAAAAATTGTCTTGAACAATACCAAACTCTTACTCATTAGATTCGCACGTGCGTTTTACGTAATTTATAAAAAAGTGTTTTGAATTAGTTTACACATAGCAACATTATAAGAGTTACTTTCTTACGTGAGATAGATACTTGATACACTATTTATTACCTTCCATGTGATTCTTTCAAACTTTTATTTTCAACAGCTTGCTGATCTCGAGCCTTCAGTGCTTGCTTCATTTTAAACTGAGCATGCTGAATAGCGATGTCTCTGCTTTCACATGCCAGGCCCGGATCGGTTTGTATTCTAACATCGCGAGTTACCTTTATCATCCTTCGTCTTTCCTCTTCCATCTCTTTGTGAAGCCTTTTTATCTGAAATTTAATTCAACAAAATAACGTGCGATGGTTTTGTACACATTTTACAACGTTTCTCCTCTGGGTTAAGTAACTTACCGTATCACGTAATTCTTGTTTTAATGATCCATCCTTCCTTGCTCTCTCGTCAGCTCGACGATATTTTTCCCTCAGTTCATCAATTTCTCTCGTTAAGAACTTGTGGTCTTCCGTAAGTTCCTGGTAAACCAAGTCTATATTTTTATCAGTGAATTTGTGAAATTTAGTTTGGCTACAAATTCGTGCAGTTAAGTCATAAAATTCGACCAATTATAATCTTGATCAGTTGGAATTAACAGAGTGGAGTTGTTATCCACTTCATATGGAAATGAAAAACTATTATTTATAGCATATTATCGAATTTTATTGGGAGTACAAAATAAGATGAAACAATAGTCAAGGTAGCTCATTACTTTGTTTCTCTTTGTTATCCGAAATTCACGAGATACCAAACGATCTTTTTCTTTTCCAACCACCTCTCGATCGTGTTTCATGGTAGCAAATTGCTCCTAAACAAAAATATCGTAAATGTCATAAAACTAAAATAATATTACTTGCTTGTAAACATGCATGTTCTTAGTAAAAATTATATTGATATTGCCTTAGCCTAAAGAGTTTTTAGAAATTGAATTATCAGTAAAATATGCCATGATGAAGCACAATGACAATGCCAAAATATAAGTGACTGTTTTTTTTTTACTGAAATCCTTGATGCAAAAATGCAAAAAATAAAACTATAGCAGTTCCCAACCTTTTAGGGCCATGGCACCCTTCCGGATTCTCTCAGCCCTCGCGGCCCCCCTGTTCATCATTGCAAAAATGCGAACATTGCGCACATTCTAGACAATCACGATCTACTCGGATACGGCCAAAGTCAACATAACTGTCGTTCCATTTTTTGGGTATGAGACATTTAAAATTATAGTTTTCTGTGTCAATAACACTTTTACGACGGCTATTTTGCAGTCTTGTGAAAGTGTCGTTCTAGTTAAACTAGATTCGACCTTTGTCTGCAGGTCGGATCGCCTGCCAACCAACTACAAATATTAGAATTCTCGGAGCACAGAGGTATTTATAGTATTGTTTTGATTGGTAGATTTCAAATCTTATTACCAAATCATGCACAATAAAGTGAAAACACCACGTGAAATAACCTTTTTGGGCACTGAAACTACGGAAAACGTGGGAGAAAAGTATGCAAAATAAATCGCATTCAAATCCCTTTAACGTCTAGTATCGTGACGCCCAGGCCACCATAAACAGCCCCGTGGCCCCCTTGGGGGCACTGAACTGAAGACTGTTGATACTAGTTTTTATATCCAGTGGTAGACCACCCACAAACTGGTTACACATTGGTTGATCGCGTGTTTTGAATGATTTCTGATTAACGCTTGACAAAAGCAAGTTTGGATACCTCCATGATCTCTTTTTCTTTCTTCATTTTATCATAAGCTTCCTTCATCTTATTCCTTTCTTTTATTGCTTGTTTGGTTGCTTGTTCATAAATATCTCTGTGCTTCTTTATCTTTGTTAATTCTTCTTTGTTTTTCACCAATTCAATATTCATGTTGTTTGATCTAGAGAAATTATATATTTTTGACATCAACATTTGATGTCATCTTATCCAAGCACTTTTGTGACCCGGTCCAATTAAATCCCCCAAATAGAGATTAAGCGCGAAGGATCCTGCACTTCTAATATATTTTGCCCAAAATAAATTATTATTTTCAGGTTTCTTTTTATCGTGTTTTTTAATATAAATTATTTAGCAATTATGGTAGTAAGAATTGCAGTATTTTTGTGAACAAATCAAAAAATACCTTAAACTATGATTAAGTTTATTGGATGTGATTTTCTTCACCGATATGGGAATTTAAAAAGAACATTTTTGTTCACATGGGAGCCATGGATTCCAAGTGGCAGAGGGATAGAACAAAAAATGATTTTGTGAAAGTACTAGGTAGTTGTACTGCAACTCAGTAATTACCTTTTCTTCAATTCATCTAACTGACTCTCTAACTCCGTCGTATTTTCCACGTGGTATGCAATCTTTTCATTTAAATTCTTTTGATCATTTTTTCTCTCTTCAATATCTTTGTTCAATTGAGATATTTTCATATTGCAATCTTCAACCTAAAAAGGAAACTATTTTAGTGAAACGTTACAATTATTCTGCGCTCTTGAAACCCATTGGTCTCAGCTTTGCCGTTTTAAAAGATTTGATTTAAAGTGATTCAATTGAATAACGATGTAAACAAATATGTGCCAAACAGAATTAGCAGGCCTATCTCTTCCTTTGCAGTATTTTATGGTTGTTTCACTACATGCTCTGTATGTACAATCTAATTGTATTGTGTTTTTACAGCATGCTTTTAAATTTTTTTCCGAAGTAAAAAAAAGAGTACACAATTTAATTGATATGATATTTATCCATTTAATATCAGTGCGTTCTCTGTCTATTTTCTTCTTTGACTGAATCTCTACTTGACTTTTCCAAGATTAAGTCTTGTTGCAGCAGGATTTATGAGCTCATATTAGATAACTTACTCGCATCTCTTTGCAATTCATTTTCTCGAGTTTCCTACACATTGAATGAATTACTTACTGACTTTTTCACTAGAAAATCCGCCATCATATTGTTAGATATTCAATCATCTGACCGTATATAACTTTTCTAGCTATGAAGGACTTAGTTTGACACTTTGATGTTATGCAAAGTGGTGATCGTACATTTGAACCCATACTTTTGCACCCGTATATCCGCGGGTTCAATCTATATGAGGGTGCTAAAATCCATGGGTTAGGGTTAGTATGTGTTCAAATATCCGTGAAAATAAAATTCTATAGGTGCAATAGCATGCAGGTGCAATTGTCGTGGGTTCAAATTACGGGTTTAAATGTACGTGGGCTCAAATGTAATGGAACCATGCCAAGGTAATATTTTCCTGTAAAACGAAAAATACGTTTTATTACCTCCTCGTTTAATCTTTTAGATTCATTTATGCTCTGTGATAAATTTTGGGTTAAATTTCCATTCCTATTTTTGGTATCTGTGAGTGTTGAAGTCAAACTTGCATTTTTTCCTTCCAGAATACCCTTTTCATTCAAAAGCTCTTTTTGACGCTGAAAATAAGGATACAGACATTTACAGATATCACAGTTTCGAACACTACGCTGGTCTAATACCGATGCTCGACAAATACGTCATAGCACACAAACAAAACAAGAAGCATTATACCAACCAACTCATAATTCTTGCACTTGTCTTCTAAATTATTCCCGAGTTCTTCCATTTTACGCAAATCGTTTTGCAATCTAGATATTGTTGAATTACATTCCTGAACCTGAAAAAAAAATGGATGAATGAATATAACTGGACTGTTAACTCTTCGATAAAAATTAAACATCATTTGATATTATTACTGGCATGTCATTTTGAGGTACTCCCGAAGTATGTGAACCAAGATGGCGGACACCGGAACGTAGTATATGTATCATGTTAGGGTTAGGCCGTAATTTTATTCCAAGTTTTCCTATTTTAGTTCTATCACGAGTTCGGGGACTAGCCAAGTGACTCCCGTAGTATTTGCACCTGGAATTATGACCTAACCCTAACCTGGTACACATACTACACTCCGGTGACCGCCATCTTGGTTCACATACTTCGGGAGTACCTATTTTGATCTTCCATGTCAAAATAATAGTTCCAGAGCCACGCTAATACTGTTGATAGGAATATTAGTACAGCGAAATTACTTTTAACATGAAGATATTATATTTCATATTGATACTTATTTTAAGGCAACTAACATCGGTAATTATTTTCAGAGTAAAATATTTGAGATACAAATCAGGTAATACCTCGTTCTGTAGCTGAGAACAATGATTGTTGAGTTTCGACTTTTCTTTCTTCGTGTTTTCATATTCAACGTAATACTTGTCGACATTTTGCAGTAATTTATTCAAAAATTCCTCTCTTTTTTCGGAGTGTTGATATGAGTAAACAACGTATGTCGAACATCTAATATAGGTATATAATATCAACATTTAGTTACTTAATAGAGACCGTACATTAACGACGCCTTTATATATGTTGAAGATGTAGATTAGTATCCAGGGTCGATATGTAGTCAGTCAGACATTATTTTGATCAAAATCAACACCTGTGGTGTATGTGATTGCAAAATCTTGAACATACTTGTATGCCAGCTTTTGTGATTCTAATACATATAAATCTTTTTCATCTCTCGCTGTTTGTTCCAGTTGGAAGTATGCATCTCTGTCAGCCTCACTATATGTTTTTGTCTAAATCAATCAAATATTAATGGTATAAAAAATCATTCTATTAACTTTGCCCATATATACCGATTCGAATTTATAACTTCAATACATTTTTATATAAGTCAATATAAGGCTACATATAAATACCATACAAATAAATTAAATCGAAGGGTTGAGCTGCATTTTAGAACATGTATTTCATAATCAAACCTTGTTTGAAAAGAACCATACTCGATTCATACTTTCCTATCATACACTTTATTATCATATACCATACATACGTGATTTAAAGTTTTGAAACGGTATTTTTGGTGGCTATTGTGTTGTATTCAGAGAAAAATCCATTTTAAATTCTAAACACCGAAACCTTCCCCCCTGTCTACATATTATACATACAAGACTGCATAGCTGGCATTTGTATTATGAATTCTGGAAGTAGTGTATATAGTTCAACATTTGCCTATGACAGACGACTCTTTGTATTAGGAACATTATTTCTCAGGATATATATCTTAAAATCGAACCGGTCCATCTCACTCGAGAAATAAAAAACTCACTGTGAGCATGTCATAATATTTCTGTCTCAGTAGTTCTGTTTCGTCTTCTCTTTGTTTCACATTTCCAAACGAATATTTCATTTCGTCTGCAAGTCTCTTGATATTCTCGTAATGTTCATTCAGTTTATCTTGAGAAAGTCTCATTTCCTAATTGATAAAACGAAAGAAGTTACAATTAATTAATTTATTGAATATTTATTGGCGAATTGTTCAATTGGTGAGCTGATTATGGCAGTAAAACAATTTCTTTTTAAACTTTATCTCGAATGGTACTATCATAGATTTCTATCATGCAATGTTTAGGTATCTGGAAGCTTTCTGCACTCGATAATTAATGTAAATTAAATTATAGGATGTCATATGATATGATAATTTAATATACAACGTTAGGGTAGACCAAGGGTGGGCAAGGATTATTTTACCAGGGGCCAAAAACTTTGCCCACCTATACTGGCGGGGCATGTTACAGAAAAAGATAGAATTTATGAACAATATTTACAGTGTTACAAAAAAAGCGGAAAACAATATGCCATATGCCAAAACTAAATTAATCGGAATCTCAACAAATTTCTTCAGCTATTTTTTTTTTAGCTAAAACGTCAAAAATGGTTTTAGTTTGGTAGTGGCAGCATCAGGCGGGCAAGTTTGAACCACCCAACGGGTCCGATTTGGTCCGCGGGTTGTAGTTTGTCCATGTTAGGGTTAGACGTTGTCGGGGAAACAGTTTCTGTAAATATGGGTAAATAAACCATATTACAAGCTACTCATTGCATAAAATGTACTATTCTATTTACCTGATAAATGTCCCGATGTTCTTTCTTTTGCAACTCCATATTTCCTCGCAAAACAAAATTTATCAGATCAGCTGAATAGTATATAAGACGACAGTTTTCTTATCTATATAATAGATATATATTTATTATAATATAACTTTAGATATATTTAAAAGTTATATTCTGCGACTAACTTGAACCGTAATTCCTCATTTCTCTGTTTGAGGCCACTGCAATGCAAATGCATGAGACTACAATGAACACATTCAATGGCGTGTTAGCGATAAACTATTATTCTAACTCAAAAATTAAGTTGCCTGCCTGCCAAACTAGGAAAAGATACCTCGCAAACAAAAATTTTACTGCGATTTTTTCGTCACCAAAACTTCTAGATCTGTAGATTTAGAGTCCATGTATTTATTCCCATAACAATATTCTTTTCGATGCACAACCCAATCTGTTGCTGTCGCAAATCTCGAGTTCCATGTCCTGCTTGTCTCGCCAGCATTTACCCAAGCTTTAAAAAATTGGGCACGGCTAATTTATGTCGAACCGAATTGGTCACAATTATTCCAAGTCTTACAAGACTGTTTGATCTGAGCGCGGTTCGGTGGGAATTTATTTATTAAAAAAAAGTCTTCTTAGATGGATACAAATAAAACATGAGATATTTTACAAACTTACGCCAACTCTGTTGACGATAAGGATCAAAGACTCAGCGAGCTTTCGATACGATCCAAAATCTAGATTAAACCCAAAACTTTTCCGAAAATAGTTCCTAAATTGACGTCTTATGCACACAAGACTTAACTTGCCATTTTTGTTATTCTATACTGATATGACCACAATACGTTTAAATCTCGTCTGCTTTTATTGGTGACGTACTTTATCGTATATACATAGGGGTCACCGTGGGCAATGTAACATTACACCAATATTAAACATGTGTTCGGGATTGTCTTTCTGCCAGATGAGGCCCAACGATAACTTGAAGACTAGAATTTCTGTTTAGTATCCAATAAACTCATGTTAAAAACTGTTTCAAGTGAGACGAAATACAAACTAAACACAATTCGGAATATATTGGTAACATTTGTTCTAATGAAGTAAATAATAAGTCTAAAATGCCGACTGAAATAAACATTTATATTTTATGAAAATTTATGCCACTGTATCCTTCTTCGGGTAACCTTATCCTGTTTAGACATCTAGGAATCTGTTCATATTCACGAGGTATCCTATTGCCGGCAGACAATTCGATATCTTCAGTTAATAACTTTATAACAATGAGTTGTGTAATTTAAAATACCTCACGACGCCTTTCATTTGTTTTCTGAATGAATAGCCTGTAAAACATAGTGTACCGCACGCCAAATTATATTGGGGAGGTGAATTTATACAATCCACTTCAAGGTTCGGTATCATTATTTGCCATCGCTACCTTAGCTGTTCTGTAAAGCCAAAAGTCGTTTGACGTTTTCGACGTAAGCTTTGTTCATTAACGTACTTGCCATGATTGGGCTATTAATCAGAACGGTACAGCCACCATTACACGTTTTTTCTCTGTTTTAAGTGGGATATTCTTTTCAAATAGATGTTTCTATGACTAAATTTTGTATCGCGACCCAAGGCAAAATAAATTACTAACACAAAACAATTATTTTACATAACATTTATTTGAGTTGCACTAATGAGAAAGCTACCCAATAAGATTTTCAGGCGAGGCAACTTTGGGTTGTGACCCACACGTTGGGAAATACAGGTTCAATTTGATTAGTTTAGCAACAATTTACTGCCAATAGCCAAACAATGGAAGAGAGAATTACAATGTATTTGTTGTCAACAGCCAGGGATGGATTTAGACAATATGTTTTTTTAATTTGATTAGAATGCGAAATTTTAGTTATGTTATGCAAAATACGTTTGCTTATGACGCAATATTAGTCACGGGTTTATGAGCATGGATCAATTTGGACAATCTAAACAAATTCATTTATTCGACCGTATTTAATACTTTTTTAACTTTTTAACGAGAAAATCAACCCGATTAATAAAAACTTTTTTTCCTTTGATTAAGTTAAAAACCGAGTCAGTTCTGGAACCCACCTTGTTGATAATTCAAAATTGATGTTTTTCTTGCACAATGGTAACCTAATTCTAGCCCTGTAATCCAGCACATTCCTCGTGTTATGAACAATCAACCGTTTTGGGGGGGCATAATGACATCTTAGATTGCAAGCTCTTGTACATATTCATGTACAACGGGCGGATGAACTTAGAATTTGTGTTCATTTTCATTCACAAGCACCATGTACAGACTTAGCGCTAAATGATGCCTATATCAAATCAATTTACTACATTTACTTCACACTTATGGTAAGTAATGTCTCATATTTCAATCAATGTTCCTTGTGCAGTTTCTGTAAGCCTTTTTTAACGCCTTTGAAATATGAGCGATCAACAGATGTTGGTCAATGTGACTTATTAGCTTGCGACTTCTCTATCCATCCACCACAGACGGTGGCATTTAACTTGTAGAGGCAACCGCATTGGTACAGCATTATACATAAAGTGCATGTATATGAATTGGATTGACTTTGTTTGTACATCCCTTAAATGAATGTATATGTTACTATGTATATTTGGGGCTGGCTGTATACGCATATGACTTTGGTTGCATATGAATGGCGCGTTATCAACCCTATGCAAATTTCGTGGTAAACTAGTTTTGTGTTTCGCCAATATTCGTTGATGTGGTCGATGCTGCAAAAATGGAATCTTTTCATCAAAACATCAATTGAGCAATATACATAAAGTACATGTATATGAACTGGATTGGCTGTGTTTGTACATCACTTAAATGGATGTTTACGTATTACGTTGGCTGAACATGCATATGACTTTGGTTGTGTATGTATTGCGCATTCACAAACCCTATGGAAATATGTAAACGAGTTTTGTGGTGAAACTCTTTTTGATTTATCCATATCGATTCGAGTACTTTTATGCGTAGAAAACGTATTTCTCTCAACCCCGTTCAACTATTTTTAGCCGCAACATTTTGAAAATAAATTTTTTGTTTTGTCATCTCGATAATTTCCCAGAATAAATCAAAACAAAGTTTCCATGATTTATGGTAAAACCTGCTACTGCCTTTGACCCCTAGAGTCTATGGAATTTTTAATAATAATTGCGTGTTAATATTTTTTATTCAATATAGGTGTTAGGTTGTTTAAAAAGTATGCTTTTTCAATTAGTAAAAATGCAAGTAACAGAATAGAGAATCAATCCACAAAAAAAAAATTACAATGACTTACCGTACAATATTTGCTATGAGAATTTCAGAGTGTTTACAATGAAAATGACTTGCACGAAGACTATAACACCGGAAAGGCCATTATCAATATATATAAGTTGCATCAGAGTAATTTATTTATTACATTTTAAAATTGTATTCAATATTGGCATTGTATACTTAAGATAAGAAACATAACATTATAATTTATACCGTTCACATTTAAAAAAGTACAATAACAGAAAAATTGATAAATCTTTAATTGAAACTAAGCTACAGATGTAGAGTATCCATTACAGCTTATATAGCTCACAGATGGGTTGCGACTTTGTAATCATTTTTGTTTTAAGATCAGCAATTCAGAGTTCCCTTACAATGAAAGGACCGATGTACATCAGTACATTTTTTTATCAAAATCCGTACCATTCTTGTTAGTTTCAAGCTACGTCATTATTTTTACACAAAACGAAGTAAGGAAACAGATTGTTCTTCCAATCGGAAAAACAAAATAAGGCACAAAGCATGTTAATAAAAACGTTAATGCAATAAGGGGTAAAATTGTCAAAATGAAGTAAAGCAATAACAGTAGCTATATCAGTTGACATTGCAACAACTGTGACCACCACTGATCTTTTCATCAGTTGTAGTAGATGATCAGGGGGGCCCTGGCTGTCCGGTACATGCTGCAACAAACGATGGTGCTTGATTAATGGGATTAAGAAGAGAGCTAGCACTGCGAGTTGAGTTTCTACTTGCACCGCTCCGACGATTTTGATGCTTGTGGTATAGGCCGGCCAAATCAGCTTTATTTCCATGTAACCCGTGAATGCTGCCAACGCAATATTTGATATTACGATGAAACAACCCTGGAAATAACTGAAGTATCGTAGACATTTAGATGAAAGTGATTTCAAAGCTGGTACGGTGTGGAACATAGTTTGTCGGAGCCATAATACAAGGTATATGAACATGATAAAACATATGTATAATAAAAAGTCCGTGTCCAAAAATATTTTAAACTTTGTATACGTGGTTGTTGTGAAATCGTATCCCTGTAATTTGAAAAGATTTGCATAATATTCCAATGCCATGAAGCAAAGAAGAATAGTAACAGCGATTAGTCCTGATATGATGAGCATAACCTCCATGGTGGCTGGCAAATTGTCATTCGAAAGAAAATCTTTCATTTTCCGAATTCGAATTTTGTAAAATCGTTTTTTTAAGAATATCAATATTTGACCTATCGTTATGTAAATCAATGAAGTTGTCATGAAAACGGTTATCCAAAATATGACAATGTCCTTCTTTTCGCGGTGTTCGAAAAATCCAATGTCCGACGGAAATGTTGTGTTTGGCGTTGCAGTGGACATAATGCATCAGCTTGAAGCAAGAGCTCAAATCTCTTTTCTTTGTAATTACTTACTGGCGATAACTTATCTAGAATTTTATTCAACTATATATAATCTGTACATAATGAGGTTCAATTAACTTGAAATTAGTCCGCTTAAAATAGTCCTCAGTAGAATACACAAGGAAGCAAAACAATAAAAATGAGGGAATGATACTTGCGCATTGTCAGCCTTGTTTTGGTTGAAGTACCTAATTCCTAATGATCCACCTATCTTTATACCCTGATTAGGTATTTCCCGACATTTTCATTGCTAACCAGCTGCGCATTTGTTGATACTATAAAAGCATCTGACTCAACGATCATGGCTATCTCCCATCGCTTAGCTAAACGATGCATAAAATACTGATACGAATT